AGATTGATCAAAATAATAAAGTCCTTGTACAAGATTGAGACTTTGACATTCGTCTATGATACCGAAAAAAAAACAATTTTAGATGACAATAGAATGAATTTATAACACAGAATGTTTTGAGATGAAATCTTGAGGGTGGGTGAGGGTGTGGGTGTCGCGTTTATCATTCTCACCCACACCGCACCCACACCCTCAAGATGGTAAAGTAAAATAAAATGTAAAATTCTTTTTCATACTATTAGATATGACGTTCAGTTGTTGACTTCCCGTTAATAAATCTAGTCGTTTGCTTCGATCCCATACAAGTTCGCCATTGATTTTAAAATATCGAATTCGATGTAGTGGAATACCATACTAGAAATAATCGCAATCTGATTTATAAGTATGAATGATGAATCATGTTTTTACCTCATGTTCGTGTACTCTCCTAAATTCATTGAATGCTATTTCATGAATGCCAATAAAACGATCTTCATATCCAATGACAACTTGAGATCGATCAATCGTCTTATCGTGTAAAAAGCGATTAAATATTAAATCGGAATGACGAAATCTATTTGTCAATGTTGATACATCTTCTGTAGTAATTTTTGTTGATTTTTTCGCTTTTCGCTTTGACTTGCGGTTGTTTGTCATTATGTTTACTAAATAATCTTGAATTGATTGAATAACTGATTGAAGTGATGTTGATTCATTTGATTGTTGGATAAGTTCATCAAAATATTTACGAATATCTGTCCATTGATCTATATCTAATGGACATTTATTCGATGATTTAATAATTCGTAAATCATTTAAATTATTAATAGTTAATGGTTTATTTAAAATATTTAGTAAATCAAAGAAACAACTTATTTGAATATCATAATCAAGTTTAATTTGTAGTTGTTGATAATCTCCTGACGGTAAAACCTGAAGATGATCATCAGAATGTAAGATAGAACGAAGAAAATCCAATTGATCAGTAATTGTTGCTGTGGTGTAGTTGTTTTTATCTCCCATCACTGTCGAAACTGATAACTATTCTATCGAGCAAAGAACGAATACCTTATGTACGTTTCATACGTATTTTTATATGAATGTGATTGCGCAACCAAAATTTCGCAATTACAGTGTAAGAATAATTATACCTGCGTCATGCCTTCATGAAAATAGGTAACAATAATATAATGAGTCATGAAGAAATTACTTACTTCCTTTTTCAAAGAAATCGATAAATTTAAATTTTTGATTTTATTGATAATTTTCAATAGTAGAACTTTCGACTAGGGGAGGAAAATCTCATTCGCAACTATTCGAATAGCTGGATATGTCCGAATAGATTTTTCCTCCTTCGATTTTACTGTCAATATATTTTCTTTACTTTAAAGTACATAATGATAATAAACAACGAATATGATATTTCGATTCTAAATCAGTTTTATGTAAATTAATTGTTAAAGAGAGTGTAGGTGAGCGTGGGTGTCAATGATATAGAAGATTATGCACACACACCCAGCTCATAAAGCAAAGATGTTTTTTTTGTTAGTAACGATATTACCTCTTATCTTTGAAAAAAGTTGGAAAAAATGAATTTGTTTTGTTCTTTCTACTCACCACTTTACTTTGACATATAAAGTGAGTGATATACAGAACGGAGTTTTATTATAGGTCATAGTAATAACTATAAACAAAATAGCTAATGACACAAGGAGAATAGAGCGGAATCCTGAGTTCCCATAAATTTTGTATGATTCTTTAGGATTCTTCAACATTCCTCAACATTCTTCAGAATTATCCAAGGTTTTCTAGAGTTGTTCACTATTCGTTTGAAACCAATAAGACTGTTGCGAGTTTAAGATTGTACTCATATCCACACATACACAAACCCTTCTATCAGAAAGCGTCGCACACAGTTTATGGTTTTTCGATCGTGCATCCCATCCGACACAGACGATTAGTATGATGGATGTTTCCGGGAATCTTATTGGAGACAATGGAACTCAATATCTAGCTAATATTTTACAAAATAACGCAGTAATTTATTATCTCAATTGATTTAAGTATTGAGTAGATTTTTCATTGTGACATAGACAATCACTGAATTGAACCTTTCGCAAAATAAAATAAGTGACATTGGAATACAATATTTAGCTGATGCATTAAAAAACAACAAAGTGATAGCTGAAACACATTTGATATCATAATCATTTTTACTTTTCATCCATAGGTACTCACTACTCTAAACCTTTCCCAGAATCAAATCGGTAACGATGGAATGCAATATTTTTATGATGCGTTCAAAGAAAATAAAGTAAACCTTCGACATTTCTCATTTGTCTTAGATATCGTCATTATTTCGCATAGATATGTATTCAATTGAACCTCGGAGGAAATCCTGGCAGCTGTTGTACAATTGTGAATGCAGCAATTCAACTACGAAACGATAAAGTAATTCGATTCTTCCAAATTTCTTCTCACAATTGATTACCTTTTTGTGAAGACAATCACTACAATGAATCTTTATGGGAAGAATATTGATGATAGTGGGATGAAACTTTTGACTGATGTGCTAATCAACAATGAAGTAACATCATTTCTTCCATTGATGATCATAGTTTTCCTTGTGATATAGACAATCATAAAGTTGGACCTTTCTTGGAACAAAATCGGAGATATTGGAACAAAATATTTGGTTGATACATTACAAAACAATAAAGTGATTAGCACAAGGGGGAAAAAGCAATTTATGATTTAGTGATCAAAAAATGATTAATTTGATTTAAAATGAGTTAAACTGATCTTTGTGATTTAAAATGGCTAATTTGATTTAAACTGATTAAAATTTGATTTTTGTCTGATTTAAATCAGCTTTTCCCCCCTTGCAATGTACCTTTTATTATTATTTTTATTTATCATGGATAGACTCTAATCACTCTCGAACTTCAAAATAATCAAATCAAAGATGAAGGAACTAAATATTTGTCTAATCTATTAAAAATCAATAGAGTAAGTATTTATACTTCATGTTTCTACATGTTTATTTGTCTTTTATAGACTCTTACTACACTCGATTTACGGGGGAATCAAATAGGAGATAAAGGAGCTCAATATTTCATTGATGCATTGAAAATTAATACGGTTTACTTTTTTTTACTCATTTCTTGCTTTGTATAATTATGACTTAACACTTATTTATTTAGAATCTTCGACATCTTAATCTAGAGAATAATAAGAGCCGTGTTTGCGCCGCTATCACAAAAATCCATGAAAGTCTGCGTTGGAAAGTAATTCGTTGATATTGTCTGTAATCTTCAGTTTTTGATAATTCTTTTTCTAGCATCAGTCCAGTTTATATCTTGAGTGTCACGGAATCGGAGATTCTGTGATTGAGTATATATCACTCTTAATACCAACGTCAAAGGTAATCATATAATGAATTTATTGTTTGACATATAATATATTTATCATAATGTTCATCAGGAAATCAAACATATCTATCTTCCTTCAAACAAGATAAGCGACACAGGTGCGCAGTATCTAGCTACAGCAATAAAACAATCAACAGTAATTATTTTGTTTATTTGAGTCTTTACAAGTGACTATAATTATAGACAATTATCGATTTGGACCTTCGATCGAATGATATCGGAGACGAAGGAGCTTATCATCTTGCTGATGCATTAAAATATAATCAGGTAACATCAAATTCAGTAAAATCTAGTGAAATATGTTGCACTAATTCATGTAGACACTTTCGACACTTAAACTCCGTGGGAACAGAATTGCGCCAAGAGGCAAACAATATTTGGAAGATGTTCAATATATTAGAACGATGGGTCATTCGTTTTTCTTTTATTTTTTTAAAATTATATTCAACAATTTCATTCAGACCCCAACAGAATTCGATCTCAGTGGTAAGGAAAGTGAAAGAGAGAGAACGTGTGCTAAAGAATATATTATGTTTTTTTATAGGTGCGATTAAACTTTTATGTCCACAAGATCATCATCTCAAGTTATGTGATTATGAGCAACGCAAACGGAATAATACTCACCAATATTCAATAAGTGAATATAGATGTGATATATGCTCAAAACTAAATCGGGGCCTCTCATGGCATTGTTCTTGTACATCATGGGGATTTGACATTTGTGAAACATGTGCAAATCGACAGAGCTAAACAACTTAATTATCGAACTATCGAAAACAAACAAACCGACAAATGTATGACTAAACAATCATTTTCAACATTTGTATTTTCATTAGAAACGAGGATGAGTGTGGATCTACCTCACCTCCATCCTTCTCAAGAACGAAGCCCAAAAATCACACCCAGAAGACTCTTCACCGACATTCAACTTCTTCTCCTTAACTCTTACCATTTTCCTTTTAATGTGCATCTAAATGAATAAAAAGATAAACCATCATTGTTTTCTGTGTGTTGTTTTATTATTCGTTTCAGTTTATGTTGATAATAGAGGTAAAACCTTGAAATATTTCTTTATTCTTCGAAAGTTACTGTATCTTTATATTTATATAAAAACGAACATGCTATATGAATACAATTACGAGTATGAACAAACAAGAGCTGAGACAGTTTATATATGGTGTATATCAATTTCAATACTATGGAATATAATCTTGAGGGTGTGGAATAAATAGAACACCCACGCCCAAAGTCCCACCCACACCCACACCCACACCCACTCCCACACTCACACCCGTTGTCCAGTATGGGTATTTATGAAACCAACATTCTCACTCAGTGTAAGAAAAAAGTAATATTTATTCAGTTAAGCGAGTGTTTTGACAAATTTATCGTCAGGTAAATAATAGTGGGATTTTTTCTAATCTTTTTTCCCACCAAGGACGACGACTCCTTCGTAGAATTTATTGTGTTTCATATTGTTATCTTCCACTCATTTGCATTTAGTAACAACGTAAAAAGAAAGGCATATAAATAGTGCACACAGTGTGACAAGAAATAGTTTTTTTCTTCATTTACTAAAGTGAATACATCATGCAAACTATGCTTATAGTAGGTTTTATATGGATTCTAGCAAGTATTTCTTATTGTAGTGGAGATACATGCTATTGCAGATGCTGTGCCGGTAATTTTTGTACACCAACTTTACAAGGCACCGTTATTATTCCATCATGTGGCTCATCTTGCAAATCTGAATGTCAAAGCAAATATCCAACACAATGTACAAGTGGATCCGGTAGTGCCAATTATCAATGTACGAGTGGTGGTGGTGGCGGTAGCAGTGAAACTCCTAATTGGACTGGTACATTTGTTGTACAAAACAGATGTGACAAAATTTCCTGTTGTTGTCCTGCTAACGAGATAGTTCTTTCATCTGCAAGTACAAGTACATTGCGTATTCAAAGTCGATTTACATGTTTTGATGCAACATTTTGGGTTAACGACACCATTCAGACTCCTAGTGGTTTCAGTACCACGCTATTATTAGCTGGAGATCCAATTCATATTACAATTAGTCAAGACAGTCGTACGATTCAATTGAATAATGCAGTATCTCCTGAATGTAGCGAAGTTGCTGTACGAAATGGACCTCTATCGAGCTCAGCGACTGGTGGTATATCCGCTGCTACCATCAATTTAACATTCGTTTCTCTGTTGGTTGGATCGATAATCATCAAACTATTTATCAACTGAACAGCTTTCAGAATCTTTTTTATTTGTTCTAATTTTTATGTTTTTCATGATTCATCTATTCAATACTTCCGAAAATGATTTCTTAACCTTTTGTAGTTTTTTCAAAAATAAATTCATATGACACGATTATCGATAGTGTTTAGAAATATTGCTCAGGTAGACTGATGTGACGCGCTATTTATCTGCTCTTTTTCGTCATTATAACCTAAGTTTCAAAATACTAGTATCTTATTGCGCCATCTTACTGTTAAAAAAGTTCTTTGTCATTATTTATTTTGTGTCGAAATACTTGCTATGATAAGACAGGAAGACGATAATATCAATCACATGAATAAGTATGTGAAAGAATTGAAAGTCAATGTAAATATTTAGCTAAAGGTAGTTCCGATGAAATGCATAGTTTTAGTATGAAAATTATACACCAAGTAAAGAAGAAGGTGTGGAATTATATTTGAAGATATCATCAAGCTGTCAGTGCTGATGGAGATCTACATAAAGAGGGTAGAAATCGAAAAAAATTGTCAATATTGTATTTTCACAAGGTATTGAACACCTTCAAATATAATACAAGAGCTATTATTACTAACATTAAGGTATTTAAACGTGCACCCTCACCCCCACTCCTTAATACATAGGAAGGAATGGATGAAATAAAGAATAAGTTCCTTATTTATTTTATTTAAAAAAGACTTTTAGGTAGAAATTCAGGGACTTCATTAATAAAGTAATTTACAAGAATGACGATATGGACACTATTAATATACAGAAGAAAATTATAAGTTTTGTTTTTATCCTAATATTTGACAATAGTGTCATCTATGATGAAATAAGATTTTTAATATTTTTTTCAATTTTTTTATAATTAAAATAAATATTTTTTGAATGATTTCATTGATTTGACGTCGTTTATTTTCCACAATTGAAACAAGTCCGTAACAACTTCAACACGTGAGTCTAAATTCAGTGTGAAATATTTAATTGTCATGGTTGAATAATTTTCCATATATTTTTTATCGTTTGACGTAGGCAAAAACTATCTTAAAGGTAAATTATATATTCATTTACCTTTACTCTCTTCTCATTACAAAAAAAAACAAGAAGAAAAAATTGCAATGGCAAATAATCTAAACAACAATACATCTTCTGAAAACGTGAAAATTTTCAATCGATTGAACGAAGTATGAAAAGTTTTTCTTTTTCTTTTTCTTTTTCAAGCTATATACTTTTCTTTCTAGTTAATCAAAGATAAAATTGTATCAAAGGAATATACAACTGATGGTATTCAAATAAATTTGAATTTTGCTAATCTAAAGAATGATGATTGGCCTATTGTACTCGAACAAATACAAAATAAAGATTATCCTTTACGAGGTTTATCATTATCATGGGATGCAACTAGTAATAAAATAATCGAGCCTGGTTTTATTCAATTTATTAAAATAATTGAAAATCATACAACATTGATTCATTTCAAAATCAGATTATATTCCATTTCTGATAATACGAAAACAAATTTTTTATTAGGCGCATTGAAAAAGAATCGTTCGATCAAAAATTTATCGGTAAATGCAACTGACGTTAATCAACAAACAACAAAAGCATTTTCAGAAGTATTGAAGGATAATCAATCGATACTTTCACTCGATTTTTATAACTGTAATTATGCCGATCCTCGTGAGTAAGTTTGTCTAACGATTACTTTAATACTTCAAGAAACAGATTAACTTTGAATAATATATTTTTTTAGACCTGCATATCCTATGTTCGATGATTGTGCTACTAATTTATCTCATTCATTACCTACAAGCGTTCTTCAACGACTTAAAATTGGTGATATTGATGATAGAACCTTCAAGATATTACTGCCATCATTAGTAAAAACGTTGCATGTTCTTGATGTATCTGGAAACACGAATTATACACCAGATATTTCTACCTTCCAATCTCATCTTCAATCAAATGATAATACCCTGAAAGTATTAATTCTCAATTCTTCCGGATTTGAGAAATTCAAACAATCGGAATTGTCTTCAAAAATTCACATTGTTAATCGTAATAGTTTTCTAGGCAATTTATTTTCTCTCGAAGGTCCTATTTCTATAATACCACATACAGTGAATAAAACTGATTGGCCTATATTATTGACGGAATTAACAAAGGATATTAATAGTTTACGTGAAGTGGATTTAAATTTATCTAATGGATGTGATGAAAATTCTATGAATTATTTAGAAAATTTATTAGGTACCCAATCGCAATTGAAGAATTTGAAAATAAGTGGTACATCATTAAATCAATCAATTCAAGAAAAATTATTTCAAATATTGAGAAAAAACAAATCGATTATTAAATTTGAAATGAATACAAAAATTGAATTAAATATTCTCAAATATTTGATCGATTTTTTGGCAAAAAATAATAACATTGCTCATTTGAAATTTTACGAATGTTCAAATCTGGGTGATCAAGAAGCGATTGTGCTAGCTGATGGTTTAAAAATGGCTACGAATTTAAAAAGTTTTCAAGTGAATAACAGTGACATAGGTAATAGTGGATTTCAAGCTATTCTCTCGTCTTTACCAGATTCATTAATTGTATTACACTTTACACATAGTTGTCTAAATGCAAAAATTTTACCTTGGTTTGGGAATTTTATCAAAACTCATCCAAAGATTAAAGATATTTCTCTCGAAAATAATCCTATAACTCTTAACAGTGCACCTGAATTAGATGTAGCTGGTTTAATTGATCAAATATTAAAAATTACAAATGCCAATCAGTGCAATTGTTATTTGGAAATCTATACAAAAATTCAAGATATAATTTCAAATACACCAATTGGTTGCATTTGGTTACCTAGAGAACATAGACGAGATTATGATTTACTCGAATTATACAATGAAATGAAGAAAAATCCAACGAAATATTGGTCAATAAATATGAAAACTAATTCTAATATGTCACTTCATGCATATGATATTTTTCTTGATATTCTCAATTGTGATATTCGTGTTGCTGAACTTCATCTTGGAGAGAACGATATGAACGAAGAAGTACAAAAATATTTTTTCAAAGATTTTCGTGATAATAATACAGTGGAACGTTTAGAAATATCACAAAATAAACTTTGCAGTCAAGCTATGAAATATATTGGATCTTTTCTAAAACACAGTTCCAAAATTTGCATATTTAAATTACGTAAATGTCAAATTGATAGTGAAGGTATTCGTTGTTTATGCGAAGGCTTGTCTGAAAGCCGTTTATATAAATTATCTTTATACGAAAATCCACTTGATGATGATTCCTGCGCAAGAATTCTTTCATCTATTCCTCCTTCATTGAAATCATTATCACTTGCATCTGATGAGATATCGGAATCATCCTTTCAAGCAATTATTGATTTTTTGAATACAAATAAAACATTAGAAACACTTAATCTGATGTACAATCCAGTTTATGATAATCGTGTAGATCAATTAAAACGCGTAGCAAGTCAAAATGGTATTTGCAAATTTTCCACAGATATTGAATAAGAATACCACATCTATACAACGGCTTGGCTGAGTTGATATGAACTATCACATAACCACTAATTCTTTTTAATACTAACAGAATTCAATATTAATGTAGTTTTAGATTACTAACGAAATAAATTTTAAAACGCGTATTCTCATAATAAATCTAAGTTGAGGATGTGAGTGTGAATTTGAAATTTGTTCAGTTATACCCACACCCACACCATCAACTGCAGTATGATCGCCTAGTTTTTTCTATATGAAACGAGCCACATTTCTTTGGCTGACATGGTTGGCTCATTTTCCATGACCGGCTTCAATTATGTTTTAGCCAGATTTTATAGGAAATGTTATTATTTAATAATTAGTAAAACCTTAGATTAACTTAGGATTCTTTATCCTCTAGTATAAATGGATAAAATATGGATGGTAGACTCCATTTTGGCTCGCTTCATATGACTCATGAATACGACATTAGTGTTGAGAAACAGAAAGAAAAAAGACGTTAGTTTTTTTCTCGTGAAAGCGAAGAAAGGAAAAAAAGAGCTGAACATAGTTGTTTTTCTTGTGCTAACACAATAAAAATGAATTTAGAATCATTGGCAAATGAATTACTTCTCGATCTATTTCAATATGTATCTTCTGCCAATCTTCTTGATACTTTTTATAATCTTAATAATCGTTTCAATTCTCTTCTTCTTCGTCATTTTCAAAATTATGACCTTGATTTCCAATCAATATCTAAAGATGATTTTAATACAATGTGTCGACATCTTTCGTTCATTTCCAATCAAGTAACGTCTCTACATCTCTCAGATAGGCATGATACACCTGGTCAAATTGATCAATTCTGTTCTTTTGGTTTTACTCTTCATCAATTCATTTATTTACAATCATTGTCCATTTATCATCTTCATTCCGAAGATATTATGAATACATTATTATTAAGTTTACCTTATCGTTCATTGATTTCGGATATAACTTTTAAAGAATGTTCTTTTTCGTATGATGAAACAAATTCTCAAACATTTGTAAATATTCTATGGAGTTTACCTAAATTGATAAATTGTCATCTGGATATTCAATTCAAACCACAAACACATTTTCCAGTCTCAACTGTTCTCTCATCAACCATTGAATCTCTATTTATTACTGATATAAATCCACAAAACAGTCAATTGTCTCTTCTCTTTAAAAATACTCCTTATCTACGAAATCTTTCTATTGATTTTCATTTAAACTTTTCTAACGAACCTCCAATATTAATAACAACATCAATTATTACATTGAATGTTTCATTTTTCATGATTGAAGATCAAGTTTTAGCGAATTTTTTTCAAATGATGCCTAATTTACTTCGATTGAAAGTTGATCTACCAGATACATATATCGATGGACAAACATGGGAACGAATAATTGAAAAATATTTACCTCAATTAAAAATTTTTCAATTTCGAATGAATGATGAACTTGATGATGATGATACAGATGAAAAAGAAGAAATAAATGAAAGATTAAAACTTTTTCAAAGTCCATTTTGGCTCGATAAATATCAATTAGTTGTTCGATGTGATTGCAATTTACTTAGTCATAACATGATTATTTATAGTTTACCATATGCATTTGATAATTTTTATTTTCAATATCCTATTTTATCAATATCAACTCAATCTGTTGATGAAAATGTATCTTCATCATATAATCAAGTCCATCGATTAACTTGTAAAACAAATTTATCAAATGAATCATCATTTTCATCTATGATTCAATTTACTCAAATTCGAGAACTTTGTATACATCTTCCTATTAATAATTATTTTTGGAATATTATTTCAAGATTAGAACGAATAAAAATACTTGATATATTAATATCAAATGAATATAATGAAAATTATGAAATACAATTAAAAGTTTTATTTGATAAAATATCGAATGTATCGATAGTACGTTTTAGAAATTGGTCATCAAGAAGTTTACCAATATTACCAATTCAACAAATATCTCTATCACTATCTCAATTAGATTTAATGTGGTATAAATGGTACAATCTTGAAGAATGTACTCTTTTAACTCAAATGTTAATTAATACTTCATGTAAAATACTTTCAATTGATGTTCAAAATCGAAAATGTATATTAAAAATTATTAATACAATGAATAATCTTCAATCACTTCATGTTCGATGTCACGCTGATATATTTAATCATAATACAATATCAACGAAAGATGAATTAATTGAATGGTTACAACAATATATACCAATATCATATACCATTACTCGAGATAATTATCCTATAAATTGTATTCGTCTTTGGATTAGTTAAGAGAAATATTTATAATTTTTCAACTGTTGTTAAATCTTCAATAACAGCTAAACTTATAACTGGTTTATGGATATGGTCTTGTGTTGAGTCAACTCCATAAAATCCACCTAAAACATAACAAGTTTTTTTTAAACACGTACAATGATTTTCAACTTCAACAGGAACATGAATTGAATCTAATTTAATATCAGCAGCCATGATTTGTTCTGGATTCTTTCCATTAATTTCATAAAATAATTTTAATATCCACCCACTAATATATTCAATACTTCCTGAACCTAATCTTCCACGTTTAGAATCGGCAATATGATTCCAAAACTCAACATCAACTTTCCCTTCATACGTTTTAATAAATTCATTTAAAATTGGTAATAAATCTTGAATATATTTATAAAAAGAATCATTATTTACTGTATAAGATAATAATTGTTCAGTTTTTTGTTTTAATAATTTCCAATCGAAAAGATTTCCCATAAAATGTACATTACGTATTCCACATGAAGGAATACATCTACTATATTGAAAATATGTTTTAAATGTATCCATAACACATGCATAAGATAAAATAAGTTCAATTTCAGTTGTTGTAGAAAAATTATTTATTAAATTATCAACAATTTCGGAAGTTTTTATATTTTTAGATATTTGTGTTTGCATCATTTCAAAAAAATCTGTCCAATCTTCTTCTCGTTTTCCTAGTGGTTCAACAACAACAAGCTTTTTCTTTCCTTCATGATCAACAAATAAATGTCTAAGTTGTTCGGAATTCGTATTAATATATTTTGAAAAATTAATTGTTATCATTAACCAAAGATCATCAGGTGATAATAAAATATCTTCATGACGATTGTAAGCAAGTAAAAATGCATCTAATATAGCATTTTGTGAATACGTACTAGCTGATCCATTTGTTAATGCGTATTGAATTTTATAATCATTGGATGATTTTCTATTAGGACCATTTGTTAATTTATCTAACCAAATTTTATCATAAGGTAATGGAGAATTATCTTCATTTACAGTCTTTTCTGGTTCAAGATTGTTGATTTTTATTGTTTTTAACATTTGAAATATGTATATGACACACAACGTAAATACAGAATAAATAAGAATACAGGTAATGCAATCTGTAATAATATGTTATTTCACAATAATAATGATTCATATGTAATTAAAACACAAGATGATAAGAAAAATCGGTGATTATATTTCATTTTCAATAAATTCAATATTCTAATTATTTACATTCATAATACGAGTCTAATGATGCACATATATAATCATTTTGAAAAACTTTATCTAAAGATGTCGCATCCTTAAATTCATCATGCGTCATCAAAATATTAAATAAAGGTGTTTCATCATTTATCATTTGAAATACAAGTTTCCCTATTTATCAAAATTTTACTAAAAGTGATGTCAAATGGTAAACAAACTATTATTTGTATAACAGCGTCAGTCGATGGAGATTCATGTCTGAAAATGCTTACATATTTATATGTTCATTATCAGCTAAATCTTCCTCATGGAAACAAAGCAGATAGACATGAAAATTTAAATATTCATTGATTTTTTTAAAAAAATTTCCTTCTCATTATGATAAATAAATACGAATTGTTTAATTTCCTTTCATTTGATATAAAAAATTATATTTTTGTTGGAATAGATTGTTAGTCGATCTTCATTATACTTTGACATATATTAAGAGACAGTCCATGAGAATATCGAGCAACGTTCCAGTATACGAGGCACAAGACAAAAAATACTTTTATGATTTAGCATGTGCATTTGAAAGATCATGTTTTGAAACTAACAAATCCAAATTTTTAGCTCATTTGGATGTATTTTAAAAAAGTTAGCCTAGATCGACTTTTTATCACTACTGATCTATAACTTAAGTTATAGATCAGTAGTGATAAAAAGTCGATCTAGGCTAACTTTTTTAAAATACATCCAAATGAGCTAAAAATTTGGATTTGTTAGTTTCAAAACATGATCTTTCAAATGCACATGCTAAATCATAAAAGTATTTTTTGTCTTGTGCCTCGATTCCTTGGTGCTGTCATGGACGCTCTTTTAAAAAAGAGTCTTTGATATTTTTCCTCTCGTCAACCGTATAATAATGATCGTTGTACAGCGTTTTATTAAGCATTTCTATATTGAAATCGCTTAATTTTGAGATGTGTGTGGGAGTGAAACTAATAAAAGAGTAAAACATATAAGCCATACCCACACCCTAGATAAAATAATCGATCAAAAGGTTGTTCGGTGTATTTTATTTGCTGCCCTCGGAATAGAATTCTATCGATGAAATTTAAGAACTCATATGAGTAAAACACGTTTCATCAAAATGGAATGTATATAAAAGAAAGAAAAAAAAACTTTTGGAGAATAATAATAATGAGGTTATTACATGTGAAACTATTCATTTGTATTAATCTGAAATAAATAATCCATGTACGAGTAAATTTTTTTTCTTCTAATTACGACGATTGCCAAAAGAAGTGTGTCCTTGATTGAAATTTAATATAAGAAGAAATTGATGGAGGTTGTTAAAAAAAACTCTCTTGTTCTCATTAACGTATTTGTATTTTTTTTTCATCGTGTTGTTCGTATATAAATAGAGTGAGAGAGAAGTTGTTCTTATTTCATTTCAATTACTTCAAAACATATTCAAAGAAGATCTATTAATTTCACGAAACAAGAATGTCGACTCCATCGAATGTTGAATCTGAAGGTGGAACAATGACAAATGCGACATCAGGAAATCAACAAGGTCAAAGTGGATCATCTGGAAATCAACAAAATCAAGGAAATCCATCGTCTGAAAGTCAACAAGGAAAACAATCAAATCAAAATAATTCAGCTGGAATGGGTGGAGCAGCTAGTTCGAATGCATCAGGTGGTACTGATCATTTAGCTACGAAATGAATATCAAGAATTCATTGGCATGATAAACTCTCTCACTTTTCATTTTTCTCTCTTATAAATAATATCGTACTGAATAAAAGTTTAAAATTCTACTGATTGTTTATCTGCACTTCATCAAGATCATCGCCAAAGAATAAAAAAATCTAACTTAGGTGGTCCAACAAATGGAGATTTAGGTAGTAACTTCCGATAAACTGATGCATAATCAGGAAATATTTTACCTGATGCACAAGGTGAAACAGTCACTAGTGGACAAGTTGGTGAAGGTATATCTGATCATTATAAAAAATAGATATTTTTTCTTTTTGTTTCTATTTTTGTGTTTATAACAACCAGCATGTTAACGAGAAGGTTAAACACTTGTTTAAGAAAATTTTCTTTGTAATGATATTCAATACGTAGACGATTTTAATTGAAGACAAAGGAGTATTTTTCAATTTCGTCTTTATTGACCTCTTCTCTTCTCTTCTCTGTCGTTGTATGCTGGGGTGTGGGTGTGGGTGTAAATGTACAGACAAAAGTCGCTCAGATACCCACACTCACGCATCCATCACATCCACACCCACACCCTTTAGTCCTTATAATTCTATCTTATTTCTTAATTTTTCTTATCATTGACAGGATGAAGATGGAACACAAGAGCATTTTTCTCACCCACACGCATATCATCAATATTATATATGAAGATACGGATGAGAATTGCATTCTCTTGTTTTTTTTAATGGTTTTTTTGCAGTATGTAAAAATAAAATGAAAATAAAATAAGAAAGCAAAAAATATCAATAATAGCAGGATGTGTTCTGAACAACAAGAAAAAACGAGCGTGCAACAAGTAAATAAATACATAAACAACGAAGAAGGTAATTTTGATTGATTTATTTTAGTACACCGAGATAAGAGATTATATTGAAATCATTCCAAATTTGTTATTATTTTCATTCATATTACTGATCATCTAGATAGGAAAAGCAACTAGTGTTTCTTGATCGGGATCATTTAAGAATGTTAATGGTCCAAGTACAACGGAAGATCTATTTCTTGCTTTAGCTCGTAACCAAGATGGATATACGAAACCCAAACAATATAAAACAGGAAAAATGAATATGAAATATGTTTCAATATGACTATAGTATATTTCCAGTATGATAGTACAGGGAATAACTGGTAGAGTACAGAAAACAAACCATATTGGTCCCATGATTTTTGACCATTGAAAAGCATTCCTTTCACGTATATAGAGATAGAAAACATAAATAGTATGAAGAATACAATACAGGTAAAGAGATATTAGTAGTCCAACCGAACTAAACATCTGCCAATCATGACCACCACTAATTTTGTCTGTACCGGCTAGAATAAGCACACCAGTTAAGGGGATAGCCACAATGACATGAATAATATATACAATAATTCGATTAATAACTGATTGATTTTCTAATAGTGATCGAAATCGACCAATGATAATTACTAATATTTGAGGAAATAAGATAGTCACTCCAACAAATAAAATATTGATAATTCGATCGTATCTTTTAGAAAATGTTTGTTGAACATTCGATATATCGTTTAAATAACATATCACTACGGTTATGATCATAGTTAGAGTAGCAGTGAATGGTAAAATCAGTAAAGATCGATCCAAAATTAATGCTGCAGTTTTTCCCATTTTCCAAATTACAATTACCTTATTTGTTCCGTCCGAATCGATTAATTTGTGTATTACGTTGTATTTAACCTGGCAAACAATGAGAATCTATGTGCACAAACAATCTTATATGATAAAATGAAATATTTTGATTTTGTTAAAACTAAATCGGTATAAAAAAAATCAACAATAATTGCAGGAGAGAAAAACATCCATCTCATGGAATCAGATGAATAAACAGTGGATAAATGAAATATGAGGAAGTCTAGAGGTGACATCTATAAAACATCGTGTTTGTGGATTCTTTTCTTTCCTTTCTTTGAAAGCATTCTACCTAGAAATCTGTGCCTGTGATCGTTATACTGTTGCATCAATTGCCGACCAACAGGCAACGTGTGGGCATGCAACCAGAGTAGAAGACAATTTATGTTTCTTAGATTTTTCTTCAAGACAATGATAATAAAATAATAAAAAAGAGTAAATATTACATTCTTTATTGTGTTAATATGTATATTTGTTATGTTCAGGGGCAGCGGAGCGTCATTAACCTAAGTGAGACTCACAATATTTTTTTCTGCTATGAAGTTTTAAATTAAAACATGAAGCAAAATATAAGTCTTCTTTTAATAGGGTGGGTGGGTGCGTGTGGATGTGGGTAATGAATAAGGAGAATACAAACATGCACACACACCCCTAAAGCATATAAACATGAAAACTTAAATATTCATTGATTTTTTTTAAAAAATTTTCTTTTTCATTATGATAAACAAGTACAAATTGTTTAGTTTTCTGTTATTTGATAAAAAAATTATATTTTATTGAAATAGATTGTTAGTCGATCTTCATTACACTTTGACATATACTAAGAGTCTTTGATATTTTTCCTTTCGTCAATCGTATAATAATGATCGCTGTGCAGACATTTATTTAAATGAATCATTTTATCAAGCATTTCTATATTGATTATTTCGATTGAGGAGTGGTGTAGGTATGGGTGAAGATAAAGAAAAGATTATTCCTGACACCCACCCTTAAGAATCGGAATAAATTAGTTTCAGACATTTGTTCTTTATGACGAAACAATTGAACCGATTTAGAAAGAGAAATAATCTCCTTTCCATTCGTTTTGAAATTTCATCAATATACATATATTTATAAATACTAAGTATAATTTCTACATACAGACGACGGAACTAGACACATCTATCTTCAGTAAAAGATAAAATCTTAGAAATGTTCATAGTTACTGCACCATTTAGCTAATTGTCAGTAGGATCGTTTGGTAAATAGTTTTCAATTTGAATTGAAAGAGGTGCTTCAGGAAAACTGTTCAATATAAGATTTTCAATCTGCGATCTTATTTCAGCAGCCATCGTGAACCGACCATCTTTGCAAAGAGAATGATACTGTTCCACTAGAGCTTGAACTTGTCGATATATTTCTTCAGATGATTGATCCATTGATTGTGCAGCTATATAAAATAATGTTTGGTATAATAATGTAGCTTTTCACTAAAAAAACAAGGTCAGTTCAGATTATATTCTACATTATTTATCGGAATTTACATTCTTGAACAAACATTATTTAATACAATACTCTCGTTAAAAGGCATTCATGTATTCAAGGAGAAATATACTTATACGGTAGATCTTCTCTTTTTTTTCTTTAGGATATGTAAAATAATTTCAGTTCACTTACCTTGACGTAAAAGAAAGACAGATCAAATGGTGTGATTCACGTATTTATACATAACCACTCTGCTACGATAGGAAGTGTCATACATATCGGCGAAAAATGTTAGCAAATCAGACGGAATAAAATTAATATTAATATTAATAGCAAAGGCATCAGGCATAATTACGTTCGTATAGAATGATTATGAATAGTTTCGCCGATTTTCATCTCGTCACTTATTCTGTTTCCCCGAATAGCACTCACGTTTAAATAGAATTTAATATGAAAAGAAAATGCAAAAATATTCTCATATTATTTATGAAGTTATTTATTTATAACATGAGACATGAGCCAGTCGATGAATAGATTGGTTGAATACTCATTAGACTAAACAGAAACGATAATTGCTTTTATTTATTTTGCAGTCATACAAGCACAGTGCCATCTCAGTTGTATCTGTGTTACATTTTGAGACAGAACAAAAATATTTCCTCATTATCAGTTTGTATTTCATATAAAAATGAATAAACTGTTGTCAAATGTCCAGGTGCACGTTTAAGAAGCCTTCAAAGTAATAAAAACAAAACAGAAAAAGAAATTCGATGTTTATTAATAATGTAAAAAATAGGATTATATATTCAGTGTATATTTACTTAGGTTTGATTAAAAAGAGAACGAATGCTGCAGCACATTGAAAAAAAATCAACGTTATTTCTAATCTCAATCAAGAATAAACATTTGAAAAATCTAGTCTCTTGCTTTTACTTATATTCCAATCTCAATAATATGAAATTTTCAACGAATTGATCATAAATCTTGAGTGTGGGTGTGCTTCCCTCACCCATGCTCATTTTCAGAGCATGAAAACGAAAGAAATTTGAAACTGTTTCTCGAAATCAATTCTCACGGGTTTGCGAAGTGTGAATAATTTAATAAGATAATCTAATTGTCATTTATTGTTTTTAAAACAAAAAAAAGTAATATGAAAATTATTCATATTCTGCAGTGTTTCTTAACGATTGAAGCGCATCCATTGCGAATAAACTTGCAATACTACGATCACCTATCTTTTGATTTTCAATAGCTTGACGAAAGAAGCTCAACATACTCTGCATACATAGATGACGCATCAGTTCTTGTTCACTATCAATAACTTTGATATGAGGCGATTTGGAATCATTTAGAGATGCTAATGTCTCGTCAGCACGAAGATTATATACTGCAGTCACCGGAATGTTAGTGATAAGCATTTGCAACTCGGGAAATTGATGCGATGTACACACAATGATAGGAGATGTTGAACAATTTGTTTTCAGTACTTCTTGCAATTCAACCAAAGTCGAACAATGAATTGTTGGATTCTTTAATTTATTTCTTGTAAGATGTGGAAGTTGATAAATAATTATTGGCGTACTATTTAGTGAATAACCTAAGATTATATATCAGTTTATGTTTAGCATTATCTCTAATAAAATTCCAAAAACCATTGATCGATATCTTGAGAGTGTTTTTCTACTCATAAATAATTCAATGCTCCTTTCAGGTGACGTTTCGCCAAAGAATTAGTCAAGAACATCGATTAGTAATGACCTGAAAACTATTAATTTTAAGCTTTTGAAATTTCTTGAGAAGAGCTAATAATTTATTTTTAAAAGTTCATCTACTAAAAGTGATAGATCACATTTTTCTCTTAAATTTTCGATTGAAAAATCGTAATGAGATACAAATGATGAAATACGAGATCACACTTACCAGACATTTTCAGCAGTGTTTCTCATGTCGACTACCTTGTTTAAATAAGCGGCGTTGGTAAACAAATTATTTCGGCGAATGGTTTCAATTACTCGTCATTCTCGAAGAAATCAGAACAACAATAATGCATTGTTTTCGAAATCAAACCGAAAATGTTGAAAGGCAGTCATTGTTTTTTCTTACATATGAATGCTATATTCGTTGAAAAATTCGTCTCAATTAATTCGTTGATTTTGATTCAATATCATCGTGGAAGAAGAATTCTGACTAACATCCGTGAGGGTAAGTGAGGTAAGTGTGAGTGTGCATCTACGAACAATCCAAAGAAAGTAAACGGAATACGTTGCTATGTAGAAAAGTAAGACAGGATAATTTTTATTTTTCGTGAGACTCACGATTTTTAACAAAAAAAAGGGCGGTGCTCTATGGATTGATATCTTAGTTTTTTCAGGAGCATACATTCTATTCCGAATCAATAGTCGATAAAATTGAGACAATTGGATTCTCTCGAAATTTATTCATTATATAGTATCAATTATACAAATTCTTCTTGTTTAGTAAGTATAAAAAATGAATAAAGAATCTAGTAACATTATTACAAAAGTTACTTTTGAGAATGAGGATAAAAAAGACGTAACCTCACTCTCGCTCTTAAGTATGATAACAAGTAAAACAAAGGAATCATTCAGTTCGATATCAGCGAGCAATTCAAATTAAGTTAAATAATATGACGGATTTTCAAAGTTGGCTATGTAATTGCATGAGACATTGAATTGCACCAGTCTTAAATGCAGTAGCACAACCATATTCTTCCCTGTTCTGATAATCGATGCCTTTTCTCAACAAGAACAACATATTATTCATTATTAAATGACGCATCAATTCGTCTTCGCTGGTGACAACTTTTGTTTTGTTCCAGTTGTGACTGCTTTCCCAACATGTTTCCTCTCCACTATGAAGCACATAGACCATATCGATCAGATTATTATTAATACTGTTACTTAGTTCATCAAGCTCATCGGGTGTACATATGATGATGGTATCATGTACACCATTTTTCGCCAATGTATCTTTCAGTTGTTTAAACGTTGAACAATGTGTTATTGGATTCTGTGACCAAGTCAAATCAAGATGTTGTACGCGCAACAGAATTAATCTCAAATTATCCGAGATACCTAAGATGATAGACAAAGTTATGTTTTGTTACGTTAAACATTTGTTTAACAGAACAGTGTCAATGAAGAGAATGAGAGTATGCTACATTCTTGAACAATATGCTTTTCTGTTTGTATTTAGTTCTATTTATACAAGTATAATATAATAATACAGTTCACAATGAATGACATAACCTTCAGATACTGAAATTATGTCAGTGCGATTGGACGCATCATTTTTCATAGTTATTCGTAAGAGAGATATTTATAGTTTTCTAGTTGTATGATAATTTATTAATTTAAAATTTGCTAAATTAACACGAAATTTCCATCCTGTTCTCATGTTCATTTATATAAATTGATTAGATATATATATTCACACTAGAAAATCGATTGGTTGAAGAAATAATCGTGTTTTGACAAAAATAAAAAATTGAAAAAAGAAATACAGTCACTTACTCGACATCACATTCACGTGTTATAATCTAACAAAAGCGGTTTAACTGAAATTGTTTTTTATAATTTACGCAAGCAAAAGTATTCGTTTGTGTATCACATGTTTTTCAACTATTTTTCTGCATCACAAATTGCTTTTAGCAATGAAAACAATTTTAAAAATACTGTTTCTATGTACGACGTTGTTGATTAGTCATATTCATAATTTCATCATAAGTTAGTGAACGTCGCATAGTTATTGCATCGTTTATTCTAAAAGCACGTAATTACATTTATATAATCATTGAGAAATTGATAACGAGTATTATCTTTTCTATCAAACGATATTTATCGAATAACGTTCGTTTGTTTTCAAATTAGAACAACCGAAGTTTGGAGCAAGATTCAATAAAAAGATTTGTATATATGTCAGCATACAGATCATGATGTATCATGAAGATACGAGTGTAAATACTTTTTCATCTTGCACTCCCCAGCCATACTGTCACTTTAAAGATGTTTACTAGTAAATAAAATTTCAATTTCTTGTATGAACCGTTTTAGTTAGGAATTTTATTACATAAAAGATTTTTTTAATCAAGAAATGACAAGAAAAACAACAATGTGTGCATATAGAATATGTAATACATATAAAGCATTAATTTGATTCAATAATATATTTGTTATTTACATTGATAAGTCGTGCTAATTTCAAAGCAATTTGAATTACAAATACCTAGAAATATAACATGCAATTTTTTATATCATAAAAATAGATAATATTCATACTCGAATGACAATAAATACAATACCCACAATTGACAGTATGATTACGAATAACGATGGTCGAAAATGTTCTTGAAATCTTTTCGAAAAAATTAACCATGCAACAATACTTAAGATAATAATAATTAAGATACTGAGTATAGCGATTAAGACAGCATTTAACCATGCAAACTACAAAATATAAATAATCAATTCTTTATCGAATCTTCTTTATAAAACAAATCATATACCACATGTAAACCAATTCGATTATATTTATAAGCAACAAAAAGTCCAAAAATATTCAAAAGAATCCAAATTGAAGCTTGACTAATATAATAAGCTCTGATATGCATTCCTTGATCATTTAAGAATTTAACTCCAGTAATACCGAGAATAAGATCAACTACGGACAATATCTAGATAGAGAAAAAAATACATTCAACAAATGATATACAAATATGTTTTCTTATCTTACCAGAAGTATTCCATTTAAAATAAAATGAATTTGACGTGTTCGTTGAATTTTAGGGTTACTAGTGCATGGAAAAGGTTTTGATAAAGGCATATAAGGTCCATCTGATAGTATTACTTTTCCAGTTGATGAATCATAATCCATTCTAACAATTGTTTTCTTCTTTAACAAGGATAAAATAACGTTAGATAATTGTTTGAATGTTTATCTTTTCTCTCTTTTAACTCATGAACGTAACAAAGAAACAATAAAATTTTCTATGATTGGTCAAGAGAATAACCAAGACAAAGTACACCTTGAAGGTGTGAATCTTCCTTTTTCTTTAGGTATACATGCTCAATATGGCAGAAGACAATTACATAATTTACTTAAGGAGGATAGCATAGCTATTTTTAATGTACCAAATTATAATTTACAAGTTAAATTTACATTTTATATTGAAATAAAAAGACTAAAAAAAATAAATAACACATTCGCATTACTGACGTTAATATTATAATTTTTTTCATCATTTCTAATTGCTATTTGGCAGCATCCTCATCTAAATTGTTACAAACAATTGCGTATTTATTCCATAGAAATATTATATTTTTCGTTAATTCATTGAGTGCTAATATAGTTTCACTTCTGTATGTTATAATGAATCGATCGTCAGAATAGATACTAACAAAAAGTTAAACAAATGTTCATTTTCTTTTTGATAAATTATCTTATCAATTTATCGTCACTTGAAGAATGTCTTCTTCTTCTACAGTATTATTGATCAACGATATTGAAAGTACATTTATGATTATAATCTGTATTATAGTCATTGTCTTTGGCACCATAGGCAATATATTTAACATAATTCTCTTTAGAAAACGCACTCTATGAGCACTTTCGCCTTGTATTCCTTGTCTCTTCATTGCTTCTCTTGTCATCATATTCATCAGTTATGGATTTGTTCCATTACGACTACTGAGTGGTTTTCAAATGAATCCATCCATATATAAAAAAATTTTACAATGAATTATAACTATTTCATCACAAAGCTCTGTAATAATGGTATTTTTAATTTTTATTATATCAGAATATCTTTAATTATTATTTCTCTTCATTATCAAATAATACTAACGATTTAAACAAAATTAAGTTTCATCTCATGAAAATATTTTTTTCTCGATTGAAACCAGTAAATTAATTTAAATTTATAGTTCGAGAGACAACAAAACAAAAAATACATTTTTTAATTCTATAAAGCCTTGATTAATACTATAATAATTATTTTGATAAATAAATTTCTAATTACTGTATTCATTCTACTGAAAATTTATAATTCAAATCTCTATTTTATTTCATGTATTATATTTATCCCCTATGATGTTACTATTTGCACTGAAAAATACATCAGTGAAATTATAATTCTAAATCTAATAAAGTTACTTTTCCAATTCTTATATGATTTTTGAGAATTTACTCTAATTGTAACCATTAATTATAAATTTTTTGAGAGTGTGGGTGTGTGGGTGTGTGGGTGTGGACGTAGGTGTGCTGAACGATATAGTTTACATACCCACACCCTCAAAAATTCAAACTCATTATTGTTTTAGTATAAAATACTTTATTATTGTTAATGTGAATTTGAAATATGGATGTCATTCTAAGTATTTAAATAAATGATGTTAGAAAATAATGTCTTTCAAGTTCAGTTTCCAAATTGAAATATTTTTAGAAATATCATGTTTATTAAAATAATAAAAAAGCAGAACATGTATGGTTTCTATCAAGTGGAATACCTCAGCAAAAAACGCACGAATTAGCAATAAAAAAAACGACGCAATAGTTTTTCTGCATCATAACTAATTTAATCTAATATATGATTGTCGTAATATACTTTTCTGTTTGCTAATTCATAATGAATTGTAGAATAATAATGGAAAATATGTCATTGTTTTAAATAACATTTAATAGAGATATTTTATGCAACAATGTAATATATAATCTGAAATATTCTATTAGAACTCCATATTTGTAACTTTAGTTTGCAATTTGTTTGGATTTTCAGAAAATATATATAATAATCTAATGAATTCAATAGAATGTAATTATAAGTTATAGATAATGATTCTTAATGTCAAAATAACTATACAAGTAGAGAACAAAAAAGCTTGAAATTATATTGAGCTTCCGAGAATGTTCGTATATGTTGTTATTTCCTGCTTAATAACTAAAAAGAAAATTTTTATCTTTTCAATTTCTTGCAGAATTAACTCAGCATGTATATAATTTTTATAGCAGAAGTTATTCTCACATGAGTTATATAGAATTTTCTATAAAAAGACACTAATTATTAATGCAAATCATAGAATATATGTACCCGCTTTGTACTCGGTTTATGCTCATAGAAAAAAAGAAAGAAATTACGCACACATAAATTCTTCATTTCATATACTTTAATGTATAATGAACAAATATCTTTATTCTACAAACACATTTCTAAAATGATTGACAATAACACTACAACTACAGTCAACTTTATACAAACATCAAAATCACTTAGTGATGATCTTGCTTTTGTATCACAAAATATTCTTATTTATTTACCATTAATCTTTTTCATCTTTGGTTTTATTGGATTTATTGGAAATGTTTTCACTTATCTTCAACCTCAACTTCGTTCAAATACTTGTTGTATTTATTCATTGTGTGGTTCATTCATTGATATTATCAATCTTTCTATTAATTCATTTCCAACTTATTTTTTAGCTAAGTATGGAATTTATATACCATGGTATTTATCATTAACTCCTTGCAAACTCAATACCTTTATCTTGGTGTTTTTTCCACATTTATCAATAAATTTTCTATGCATGGCTATTATCGATCGATTTGCCATAACCTGTGATTATACATCATCCATTCGTCGAATAACTCAACTTCGAATGGTACCATGGATGATTGGCTTGACTGTTCTGACCAGTTGTCTTTTTTCATTGTATGCTCCTATTAATTATGATGCTCTCTTTGGATTTTTATGTATATCAACACAACCGATGTTAACAAGTATTTCATATATTATTCTTATTGGTTTAGTTTCACCAATAATAATGATAATATTTGTTTTACTTACTTATCGAAATGTTCGTCGAAGTCGTGGAAGAGTCGTAAGTAGCTGAACTATTAATTAGTTTTACATTGATGCAATTCTATTTTATTTTAGGGTGACGTAGTTCAAAAAAACCGACCAAATCTTCGAAATCAATTTATTGTAACAATATTTGCACAAATTCTAGTAACAAGTTTCATTACATTACAATGGATTATAATGTATACGTATTTTACATTTACTCCAATTGCTACGGAAGATCCTGTAGATTTATCGATTATTATCTTTGTTTTTGGTCTTAGTAATAATTTATATTATTTAAATAATGTTAAAGCATTTTATATTTCAATATTAACATCTCGTGTAGTTAGAAAAGAATTTGTCAGTGGTTTGAACAATTTATATCGTCGTTATATAAGATAACAAATGAATATATCAATAGTTAATCCTTTTATAAAAACTAGTGATATATACATAATTCAACTATTTCTTTTCTTATAAAAACTTATTTATTGTATGTCTGTATTAAATGAAGTTTATAATTAAGTATAAGAATAAAATTTAATTTTTTGAATAAACACAATTATAAAAAGAATGTTATAAACAAAATTTTTAATTCTTATTTGAATCAAATGATTTTACTCAATAAAAAGTAATTAACAAGCTCATAGTTATGATTGTAAAAGGTGAACTTAGACTTATTTACGTTCGAAATAATCACTGACGACAAACTCAATTATGACTTGATGCTCTTTGGAGTTGATCATTTGAAAAAATTGTATACAGATAACTATTTTTGGGATGAAGCAAATACTAAATAGGTCATGTGAGACTATAGACAATATGTATAGACGTATACAATTTAGTTTGTTTTAAAGTACATAAATCATAGATTGCTTATGATTGACGCTCTCAGGAAAAGAAAAATCGTTATTTCCAATAATAAAATTTACTATCTCTGGAATGTGCGAACTGATGATATCCTCAGGACATAGTTAGAACACTTTTAAAGCAGAAGTTTTATCAGAATTATGCGGCTACATATCATATATTCTAACCGTATTACGACATCTTTTGAACAGTTTTTGTATATGTCTAAAATTTCTTTTCGTTCTCTTTTCCGTCCGTTTATGGATAATTCGTTAAATATATACTTTGTTTGTTTAAGTTAATAGTCAAATTAACAAAAATTTTCATCGATACAATCGTTTCCTTAATACAAATTGAAATAAGAAGAATGCATCATTTTCAACCACATCAAATCATTCGTTTCCAAAAACGACACAAGAAGTTACAAAAATTCTTCAAACGAATGGGTTTTACTGGCAATATTCCATTTTCTTTGGATTTTGGATCTCTTTCAGCTAGAGAAAGGGTGACATTTATCAATGAAATAGAAACTGCTTATGGTTTTGTCGAAACTCTTCCTCCAAGAGCTGTATTTAAATTTTGTGATCTTATAGATGCCGATGCAGATACAACGGTTTATATGGTATTAATGGCATCCATGAATTCCAATTGCAGAGATTAACTATTTTTTGAAAATTAACTTTTTATTGTTTTATTGATAATTATATTGTAAATAAATAGAGAATTATTGATGTACTGAAATTAGAACATATACTTTTATCTATTCAAATAAAATTACAGGCGTGAAATGTTCTTTTTTTTACATATCCGTTTTCGAATTAAGGTTCTAGAAACAAGAAGAATACTTAAAAAGATTTGCATGAGAAAATTGAACAAACTATGCAAAATCATATATCTTACCTTTATTATCTAAAGCAAGAATTATTAAGTATACTAGTTGTGCATGTAGTTTATACATCATCATTAATGTCGAATCTGATCGAATTTGTCCCGTATCAATCATCACTGAATTCATGTTGATAGACCTCTTGACATTCAACATACAAATATTTTTTAATGTTTTATTAATGAAATGAATTTCAGAAGCTTTAGTAGAATAAAAGAAAAGTACAATGAAGTATTTTAAATTTTAATGATATTATTATGAGTTTGAGAAATAGGATAGAGTAAAATTTTAATCTATGCTAGGCGAAAATTATATTAAAAAATTATCTGCCAAGTCCACCGTCGATAAATGCTGGCATATTGCTGGTATCGATTGCTTTAACATATCGACCAATAAATAAGATTGTTTGTTTGTATCGAATAGCATAAAGAAATGGTTTGTCACATGTAAAATAAATTTTTATTAGTGGAGTACCTGATGTAATCACGCGTACAACTGATGCTGCCGCTATATATAAACACAAAAAAAAATTTAATACATAGAAAGCAAAATAGATCGAATACTTACCAGCTCGAACACCTTTTTCATCAACAACGACGGAGGTCCTATACATATAACAGATAAATAAATCATATATGTTATTTCAAAATTCAATTTACTTGTGAAAGATATTCGAAACATGAAGGTATTTCTTTGGAGAAAGTTCTTTTAGATTGGCTTTTGTTCGACTAAATAATTCGCTAATTTTCATTTTTTTCGACAATACATCTTTCATATCATTGTCAAATTCAAATTTCCATTTTGGTATTGCAAGAACAACCATTTGATTTGTTGTTGGTGTATTGAATATTGCAGGAGTAAGTCGTGATTCAACTTGAGCCAACGTTACGTTTTTATTCGGTAGAATAATCGTAAACGTAAAATCCTTATTTTGGAATGGCATATGAATCATTCGTGCGCCAATTGTCGAGCTCATATCAACATAAGAAAATGAACCAATGCGTGTCATCAATGTCAATTTCTTTTCTTGTGGAGGACCCACGTCCGGATAAAATGTATTACCATCGCGAGTATTTTGTGCTTGAAATTCAGATTCCCATTTACCTAAAATACTTGAATGAAAAGTAAAATGTAATAGAAATAGATAAACATACCATCAAAGAATAGACAATTGATGATGAGAAGTTCATTCTTATCATTAGGACCTTTAGGATCTAAACTATCTTTACTTAAAACTTCTTTGATGTTATTATTAGTTTGATTTGACACCCATTGATTGATTTGATTAATAACTGGTGTTTTATTCTGAGCATTGAGATTGACTGATGCTAATGTAAAATTGTAGGTTTTTTGAAGTTGTTTGGTATAAGATGGAAGAACTGAAAATTCTGTATCCACATAAAGTCGATTAGCAAGTTTGATTTCTGACGTATTTGTAATAGCCATGAGTTGTTTAGATGATTGAGTAAGTTTTTCGCGTGATTTCGAATGTAAAAGATTCAGCAGTTCTTTTTCTGTTTTTCCTTGAGTACCTGCAGTAACCGAAGCAAGTGCAAGACCAACTGAATAAGGCGAAATAAAAACATTCTCATTCGAGTTTAATGCAACAACATTCTTGTACAAATTCAAATGAAAATCGTCAATATTTTTCTCTACTTTAACTGGTTTCGATGATGCAGGTTTAGTTTCGCTGTACGAAACAAACAGTACAAAGACAAACAGAGTAGAAAACATTATTGCATTCATTGAATAGTTATATCGTTGTGTTTTTTTTCTCGTTATTATATATACATATATATTCTTATATGTCAACATATCTATCGTCTGATAAGATATCATTCTAATAGAGGTCATCAAGTTCTATTGAAGAGCGCCGATATAAAACATTAACACAAGAAGATCAGATGCTCTGAAAGAGTATAACCACTCATGTATATATTTGAATAGATCACGTGTGATAAGAGAAAAAAAGAGAAAAAAAGAGAAAAAACGGTAAAGCAAGAAAAAAGAAGGAAAATGTAGGAAGATGTGAACATCTAAAATATCATAATATAATGTTGATAACACTCTTATAAGAAAACATTCACATCTCTAATATAGTAACACGCAGTCTTTTTCAAACGACCGGAATTTCTTGAGGGACATCTTGACCAATTTGTTGTTTTAATAATTTGCTCAATTTAAATAAGTATATTATTTTTATAATCTAAAGGTAAAATATAACCAAGATTCTACTAAAAGACATAACATTGTCACTTACCATTGTAATTAAAACAGGAACGGCAATAATAATCAAGAAGTACCCAAAAGATGACGTAGATTCGCCAGTATAATCATCAACTTCCTTTCTCTGAAAAAAATGGTACATGTCAGAACCTTTTTCTGGTTCAGCATTTTACCCATGGACCGAACCCCCGAAGAAAGTTTTTGAAAGTCTCTGCGGGATCTTTTTTCAGAAGTTCGATCCGTGGTTAAAGTACAAAACTAAAAAAGGTTCTGACAGGTACCGTTTCTGTTTCTAGAACCAATGATGATGATTTGGAGTCAGCAATGGCATCGAACACAGAAGAAATTGTTGATAAAAATAAAAAAGTTATATCGATCCAAGCAAACTGAAACAAAACAAAAATCAAGAACAATTTATATGATCCTATAATAAATTAAGATAAGTCAATGTACTTACGATGAGTAAGCCAATACGTTCTAATTTAATTATAAAATAAAGACATATTAATTCTATTACCATTACTAGCCAATCTAAAATAAAATTAAGGTCTAGATTAGTTTTAAGTTATATATAATACTGTATAGCGAATGGTTCTTGTCTGGCAATTATAACAGATCCGCGAAAAAAAGAATAGACTAATTCCTGGTCGAAACGACATACCATTAACTCCTTTTGATGTTTTTTGCTGAGGAAAAATTCCTACCATATATACTATCAATACTTTAATTATTTCGTAAATACATCAATTATCCACATACAGAATATAATGATAAAATAAATTCATTATTTTTGAATTAGTATTGTATATTTAAATAAGTATCACAAAATATACAAAAATTTGTTATAAAATCTAGTCAAAAACGAACGTACTTTGTACAAAAGTAGGTTCCATAATTTCATCTGTTCGATTTTTTCCTTGTAATGGTTTTTTGCCGGATATTATTCGAACGTTCTCACCAATGAATATCACCATACATGATCCCTACACATCCACATGAACATTCCTATTAAGAAATTTTATATAAAGAACAAGAACATACCAAGATGATTGCTACGCAAAAGATCAGAATCTTTTGTTGCTTTTTTATTCGATCATGACGATTCGTTTCATTTGATGAATTAACCATTGTTCGCTTTTATTGTTTGACACTAGTACTATATAGATTTGTGTTTGTTTATTGTTAGAAGCACTACCTCTCTTTAAGATGTTTATTCGTTGAATCGAGAATTAAAAAAGAAAACAACAACTTAATATATACCAAAAGAAAAAGGAAAAGAAGATGAGTCACAAGGAGAGAAAGAAAAGAAGATATATATGATCTGGTGTATACCAGAGATCATAACATTTATAAAAGTCAAAATAGAGAATAAAATTTATAGAAAGTGTTAAGTTCTCTTAGAGTGCTATGAAGAAATATAAAACAAGGTTTTCAGGATTAAAAATCCCTCAAATAAGTATTATAGGAACATGTAGGTCGCTAAATATAGGTGCTAAATCTCTATCCAACATGTACATAGAAGCAACAACGCATCCTAACTGAATTTCAGCACTCATAGTCAGGAGAGTTTTGTGTTCATTTCTCTGAACTACTAATTAATAATGGGTATACTCAATGTAGTATATCAAGATTAAATGATGGATTGTGCAGCAGACTCAGATGGTATAGATAAATCATATCTAACACGATAGCGTTAAAAAAAACAACAAAATATATAGTCTCTTCTGTACATAAAAAAATACCGGTATAAACGAATAAAACGCAATTCCTTTCTTTTTTTCCCCACATCATACATATTTCTTTTCATTATCTGTTTTGAATATGCGAGTTTATTGGCATTTTTGAGAATGATCACGATCAGACAAAACGAAGGAAGAAGAAATTTCCAAAAAGAGATAAGAACAATAAAAAGGGCGTGAGTAAGTTGAATATGATACTTTCAATCTTCATTGTACTCAATCAAATAATAATACTTTCACATCACTCATTTGAAAATCAGTAATTTCATTCTGTTGTATATCCATGTATATGTTTAATATCTTAGAGTGCCATCTCATCTTCTGCATATCTGGTACTAATTTAATTCATGTATGATTTAAATCATCAAAACTTGTCTCGTAGAAAAAAATAAACATAAATATATATGTATACGTGAAAGAATGTAGGCATGGCACAAAATAGAAAGAAAAATCTACGTGTAACATACACACTAAGATCAAAAACATTATTTTTTAGATAATTGCACGATTTTTTTAATATATACATATGAGAGTGTGAGTGAATATTGTAATCATCTCACTCTTATCCGCATGATGAATCAACCGAGGCTAATGCATATAATGAAATCTTTGAATCTTTCATGATAATTGTTGTAGAAGTATGAGACTTCAACCTAATAATAAATTTCCGGAACGGCTTGTACAGAGAGCAAAGCATACACATAAGATTGATTATGAGATAGTAATAGGTCAGTAAGAACTATTTAATAAAAATGAGGGTGTGGGTGTGGATGAGAATTTGGATGGCTTCTCTCTTTATTCTAACGACTATAGTCATAGTAACACCCAGACCCTCAAGATGGTAGTGAAATTATCTTGTAACTAAAAGACTTGAGTTTCTCAAAGAACTTTCTTTTTGCAAAAAATTCAGATTTGATTTTAAACTGAAAAAAATCTCGAATGTAAGAAATACTAAACCAATGGAGCTCAACTGACTCTGTTATAAAAAAATATATCCTTTCTTCTTCTTCTCAATATGTCATCCTTGAATCTGACAATGGCACAAACGTCCAAACAGAATGAATTAACGAATAAATCGTCTAAAAAGATGATTTAACTTGAAATAGACCAATCATATTGCTTACTTCGTTTTTGCTAGAGCCGACGCACGTCCGCGCCGACGGTTTACACCCATAGACGCAAACAATGAACAAGTATGTATGTATATAAAGCTCTATCTCAGTGAAAAACATAATAATCATAATAAAATATGAACCGATCAAATATTCATCTTCTGGATTTACCTGATGAAATATTACTTATTATTTTGAAGAAGTTGAACAATATTGATGTACTTTATTCTTTATTCGATATTAATAATGAACGACTTGATATTCTTGCACAAGGAATCACTTTCACTGACATTCTGAAGTTTGTCTCCATTGATAATATTCCTATAATTGATCGATTCTGCATTGATATATTACCAAGGATTAATCATAATGTGAAATGTTTTGCTTTTGATCCAGTTTTTATGGAACGTATTCTTCTTGCTACTGACTATCCGAATTTAACTAAGCTTACAATTATTCATTTTCAGAAAGCAATCGCTTTAAATTATTTTACAGGTAAGCATTTGATACGAATTAGATTAGTTGATAAATAATAAAGTTGTTAAAAAGAAAAGACTATAATATGTTTCACTACATTGCTTTTCTCCTTTAGATGAATCATCACTTCGATCTATTTTTCAAGAACAAATTACAAATCTTATTCTCATCAGTGATGATGAAAATGAAATGGAATGTTTACCGAATATTTATGCTGAAGATGTATATGCTCACATTCTGATCTTTTTCAAAAATTTAAAAAAATTAAGTTTCATGAAATCATCTGTTGTGTTAGATTCACGTTTACCATTTTATTTTTCACCATGCACTACTTTTTCATCTCCGATTCTTACTCATTTACATATCAATGTTGAAACTTTAGAAGATTGTTTTTATTTACTTGATGGCCGACTTAAAGAATTGACAACATTGTATGTTAATGTCCATCATATGGACACATTTTCGGGATTTGATCACAATATGGTAAGTTTCTACAAATAATTTCATTTATGTCATGAAGACTATGACTATTTCAATTGAGTTAACGATTGATCTCAAGAAAATTCAGATAAGAGATCATATGGTTAAGTTTCATTTTGATAAGGAGAAAAAAAGTATTATGTATTGAGGGATATATCAAAATCATCGACATTCAGTTTGTACGAACTAGAATTTTTGAATTTAATAAAAGAATCAGCCTAGAATGGAACGAAAGTTTCTCTATAATAATAATTTTTCTAATAATTGAGATATGATTGAAAGTTTGTCTAAAACTTTAATTGTTCTTTTCACACTCCTTTCTTGTGCTGTAAAATGAGAAAACCAAACTAACAGATTTGTCATTTGTGTTCATTCACAGATAGAATAGATCATATACCACGTACAAGATAATGATGTCTATGACTTAATCTTGTCGATTACCGAAAAAAGTATTTCTTTCTTTTTTTTTTGTAGAATAAAAAATTATTGAATCTAAAATGTTTCTCATTAAAATCGTCCTATCCATTTCAAAAATATGATATAATTGTATTACTTCTTCGTCGAATGTCAAATCTGGAAAAATTAACTCTAAATATTTCTGTAGAAGGTCGAAATAGTATCATTGATGGTACTTATGTTCAACATGATATTTTAGATCATATGCCACAACTTCGTTCATTCACTTTCTATATTTGTACTTATATCGGTCCGATTACTTTACCCTATAAGTTATCTAGTGAAGATGTTCAACAAACATTAACAAATATTGGACAACAACATGTCAGTAGTATAGTCAATTATTTTACTGGTTGTGTCAATTCTGATTTTGGTATCGGAGTTGCATGCTCAATTTTCTCACTTCCCTTTGAATTTGATTATCTCCAAGATCTTGGCAATAGATTTCCAAATATTGTATTCAGTTATGTTACTTATTTAGTTATACGAGATATTATTCCATTTGAACATGAATTCTTCATGCGAATTGCTCGATTGTTTCCATTACTGAAGCATTTATGTATTCGGAATAAAAAATCACAAGAATTGGATGGTCTTATGACATTTTCGTCTGACAATTGTCAATTAAATTCAATTATTGAATACCCCCATCTAACTATACTTGATGTCAAATTTTCACATAGAGATTATGTTGCACAATTTTTAAATGAAACAAAGACATTTATACCGTATCTGACGGAATTTGGAGTGTCATTTGTTGACGATTTAAAAGCTGTAACAAAAGACTTTACAAGCGAAGAAACACGACGCAATTGTGCTAAGGTGAAAAAAATTTCTTCGATAGCTCCAGTCGTATATTCGAAAGATTTATGTCTTTACTTTCCTTCTTTATATAAGTAGATGTATTCTCGTTTTGATTTATTCAATAAACTGAAAAACATGATAGATGTTGTATTTATAGCCTAATAATATTTCTCAAATACAAAGAAATATCAACTACTAATGATCGTTTCTCATTCCATAATAAAAAAAAAGTCATACAACATTATCTGATGCTACAGAGTATATGTACAATGAGAAATAAAAAAAAGAAGATATGTAAGCTTCTCGTCATTCAGTTGATCATACAATAAAAACTTTTTATTTAATATTGTAATCAATTATACACTCAGTAATGAGGTCAGATACATTTGCATAAATATATAAGACTAATCAATGATATATCATTATCTAAAATATTTTCATGCCGTTGAACAACATCATCCGATGCACTTTTACTATCTCCATCAATGACATAAATCTTCTAAATAAAAAATCAATTCGTTTGAAAAAAAATAGATAAATGTTGATCAACCAAGTTTATCCTTTTGTTTTGGTGTCACTAGTTCTATCTGTTCAATTAGAATAACAGCACGACGATCTTTATGTGGGAAATCTACAGTGCAAAATTTATTCTTAAAAAGGAAATTTTCATTGATTTCGTTCTTTTTTCTTTAATAGAAAACTTATAGATATACTTTGAATAACACCAATCATTTCAACATGAATTGGTTCATCTTCATTTGAAACTTTTACTCAAACATGTAAATCTTCTGTATGTCAATCACTATTTGATATTGAATCAAAATCTATTCATTTAAATTATTGAATGAAGATAGTAATTTATTTTCAAAATTGTCGGAAAGACTATATAAACTAAAAGAAGAAAATTAAGATGACCAATGATTCAGCTGAATTTAAAATAAATGCAATAATCTTTCTAAGTTAATTTGTATTTTGAAGGTAAACGAAAATAAATATCTGAATATGGTAAAGAAGAAGTTACGCACAAATATTTTTGATTTATTTTACTGAATAATATTCATTTCAAAAACTACAATGTAATTATTTTGAAAAATATTGATAAAGAAAAAATAAACAACTGACAGATAAATTCTTATTTCCACAATCTATTATTACACTCTATCAAATGTAGTTTTCTCCTTTGGTTTTTACGAAAATTGTCTACAATTGTATTTGTACTGAGAAAAAGAATAATGGTTGAATAGTGCATGACTAATCTCTTATGTCTGCAATATATTTGCGTAGGATAGGATAAATTGAATTCATGACTTATTTTGATTTTGTAGTTGAAGTCAACATTGTTTTTGTAATCTTTCATAAAATCGATGCGTATTTTAATAAAACCATTTGTCCTTGATATTTTTCGATGATAGAATTATTTCGAATAACATTTTAAATAAGAAAAAGGTTTGAATGAAAACAAAAAAAGACAAAAACATATGTTGATGTCAATATAAGAGAATGATTAATAGTTTAATCTTGATGTTAATCCATAGATCAAGACACATCGAAACAATTTTTATTTTCTTCTTTTTGTTATCGAATTTATTAAAGAAAATGTATTCAAATTTTACTATATTTAATTGATTAAACAAAAAATAACGAATGATTAATCAGTAAGTGATAAAATTAAATTTAAATATTTAAACTTTTCTACTATAGTTTTAAATCTTTGTTTTAGAATAATCATTCTCTTTATTTCTCATTGCTAATTAAAATATTTGTTAATAAATAAAATGAAGTTGTTTATTTTTGTAGATGAAAATCATTCATTGTTTGTTGTTCAGCCTATTTATATCAATCTCATGGAGCATTGATGGTCAATTAATAAAAGAAGATTTAAATAAACTATTGAATTTAGATTGTTCAAATCCAATGGTAACTCTTCATGTATTTTCTGCTACACCAAATCCAGTTTGGATGATAAATATAAAACAAATAATTCCAATGAAAAATTTAGTAAAAAAAATTTTAAATGATTATGAAAATCATTTATTACCAATAAATTCAACAAGAACTGTAGGTTATCAAGGTTTTACAATAAGTTGTTCTTCTGATAATGAAATATTTATCCATGGTTTAAATTCGCTTGAAAATCAACTATTAGAGAGTGGAAAATCATATCTTTCAAAGACAATTATTGAACATGTTAGTGAAAATCTTGGAAAATCTTTATTTTTAACTAAATATACAAGTTTAACTCGTATTAATTGTGATCTTGTACCGATAAAAGGTTCAGATAAAGTTCCAACATTTAGTCCGCAAACTGGAAATGGTGGATGTTTTGTTAAAAAACAATCGAAAAATAATTGTTATGCATATGGTAATTAAATTGAATCAAATATAAAGATGAAAATATATTTCATTTTTCCTTTTTAGGTACGAATATTGTTACAAACACATATCCTCAACCAGGTTATATCAATTGCATTACGAAATTTCTTAATTAAAAATGAATTTATTTCTTATATTTAGGTCGTTATAGCGGAACACAGTTATCAGCGATTACATGCGAAACAGTACGAAAAGCTGCTGTATTAGATGGTCTTGTTTATTATGGAACAAATTTGCCAGTTGGTCATCCAAAAAGTGGTCATTTTGTTGCTTTACTTCTTTGGCCAAATGCAGATTATCATTGGATAAGAAAGGTTTAATTGTACTATCGTAAAAAGATTTATTTTAATATTTTAGATTTTTTTCTTTTTCAGGATGCAACTGGTTTTTGGTCTCATAAACCAGGAGGTACGACGTTTAATAGAATAAATGTATGTTTTTAATTGATTTATTTTATTTAGCTGGAGCTGTTACAAATAAAGATAATACAGGTTCATTAATTAATAATCCATCAAAATCTAATTTATCACCATGGAAATCTTTTTGTGGATATTATATTGCGCAACCGTCAAAAATTAATATTCGTTAATTATTTTCTATTCTTTTCTATCTCTACTTCAAATAATAAAAAATAGAATAATTAGTCATAATTGAATTTATCTTGTAAAATTACATCTCACTTATCTTAATCTAATATACAGTTGAAAACAAATATTGATGTAGATCGAAACTAAAATATTTATATCGAACTATACAATCTTATATAAATTTTAAATAAAATAAAAATGAATCAATATGATGGACATTCGTAGAATTATATCTTATTGATACTATTAACGTTATTGCCATTATATTTGCAAATATTCTATTGAAAACTAAAATAAAAAATTATTTATTTAGGTTTGAGAAATAAATCTATTTCTCTTATCCATCAATGTGACATCATCAATTAATTATATTTCAAAAAAAAACTATCAATATGCTTTTCGGTGTGAAACCTTGTAGCATCATTTATTAAATGTGTTAGTTTTGAAAAGATCGAAGATAATCCTACGAAGACAAATATTTAAAAGAACAGATGCTACATAGAAACAACAGATTATCTTTGTAATACTATTTATTATATAAAAACATTTGATATAATGTGTATATTTAAATATTTTCTTGATTAATCAAAAATAAACTTCTATTTGATGTATACTTGAAAGTATTTTCTAAGCATTGTTTATAGATGTTTCACTCTACATTGAAGACATTAAAAGCTTATAAATATTTTCTATTCGCCATGTACGAATGAGCCTAGTTTCACTCTATCAATGGATGTTTGTTGTTGATGCAGCGCGCGAATTTCAAATGGTTTAAGCCATCGTCGCCAAACTGATACATCGGCAATTTTTCCTAGCCATGGATTATGGTCTTGATTATTCTTGGATCCAAGACAGAGAACATTCGGTAAATGCATTTTTTGCATATGCCACTGCGAATCATCCCAAAATTGACGATCAGGTGCACGTACTTCGTGCCGAAGATCTGCACGAGTCATGTCAACATTGCTCACTTGTTGCCCATTGACCCATAGTTCTTGTCGATTACGATTGACTCGAACGACAACATGATACCATCGGCATGGTTCTATCTTTTGACTGTCTTGACACTTGAATACATATTGTGCTGCAGAGATCATTACTTGATTGCTAATATTCATGTCAACATGAAAACCAAGATGAAGCCACGCATGATTATTCGGATACCAGTCATTCCATGAGCCGATCGCTGTTCGCCATCCACTTTCCTGTTGATCTCGTGACCATGCTGATAAATCAGCCCAAAACCATATCGACACGGAGTACACATCGGTTTGATATTCAGATTTGTCGTTTACGCGACAATGGATGGATGATCGACCATCGAATACAGCACATTTACCCAAGAAACAATCCTCTATCGTTGGTCGACCAATTAATGTAGCATAGCGGTTACCCACGACACCACTAGAATCAAATCCTATATTATTCACATTCTCAAACTTCCACCATCCGATAAGTTGTTCTCTACTGATACCACTCTTAGAATACTTATTAAGAAACCATTTACTATTAATTATTTGACGCCAATGACGACAAGTACACGAAACAGTAAGAAGCGTTTCAAGAGGTCGAATGAATTGAAAGATAGTTGAAAGAAGTTCGATTGGAAGATCATTAATTGATAGTAGTTGATCAGTCATATTCAGTGGGAACAAAAACAGAAAAATCTAGAATACAGAATATGAATGTAAGTAATATACTTATCTCATACCTATGTGAAGATGAAAAGATGAAGATTATAATTCTCTCTGTATATTCGTATAAAAGCACACGCTATATATAGGATGGTGGAACACCCTGTGAGGGAAACAAGATGAGGAAAAGTCCCATAACATATAGAATCACATACATAAACGATAGGAGAGGAGAAATCCATATAACATAACGAAAGGAAAAATCCATGAACGATATAGAGAGAACGAGAACACATAGAAGAGGAGAAATCACACTATATGTCATATATGTATATGTAACAACAGAACGAAAGAAACTATACATATATGACGTGAGAAAAAGGTGATGATACCACCTAACACCTACATACATTCTAAATTAACGCATCTTAATTATATGTAATAAATCTGAAACACAATAATAAATACGACAGATGTTTTTAATATCTTGCTTAGACTAAATTAGCAAAATCCGCTTCCAAATATTTTTGTCTCTGACAAAAGCAACAGTAAAACAAACATGAATATGACAAACCAATATGATCCCATCCTCTCCATCATATTAAAGCATAGTTAATCCTCTATAAAGAACATCTAGTATGTACAGGTAACATAAGCATACTATCTAAATAGTATATGTGTCGCCACACATAAGTAGCATATGAATTGATGTTGAAATTATCCGTCAACTGTTTAGTCAGACAATCTTGATGGAGGGTGTAGATGTGAAAATATGATATAAATTTCCTAATCAAACCCTCATCAATACTCTCGTTCGACGTGACAATCGTATAAGCCGCATGTACTTTTTCGATAGAACAAAATATGATAGAATTTATTAAAATAGTAACTGTTTGAACTAATAATGTACAAAAAATCTTGAAAAATTTATTCGTTTTCTTTCACTTCAACAATTTAATTATATGTTCAATAAGTTGTCATTTACGGATTGATTTTAAGAACTTTACCAACAGCAATAGTATGATCTTTTTCGCGTAAGATAAATCGACCGAGTTTAGGAAAATTTTTAAAAGTTTCAATACAAATCGCAGCATTCGGATCTGATAATTCGAAACGAACAATAGCTGTTTGATCTTGTTCGATAAAAGGCATAGTTAATGACGTTTTATTGCCAGTTTTACGATCAATTAAACAGATTAATTTTTTCAATTCAACTTTCACCACAGTTGTATAAAGGTGAAGTATAGCTGAATAACCTATGGTTATGATTGAATCGTAATCGATGATTGCAACCTTAAAACAATATCGTATAAATAATGTAATTTTCTCATTCAATAAAAATCATCACTTGAGCATCAAATACTCTGGCCACATGACACGGCTCATGAATCATATCACATAAAACAAAACCAGATGAAATTTCCTATAAATTGATAGTATCAAAAACAAATCTATGAAATTAACTAGACACTTACTTCTTCTTCAACATTTTTTAATTTCAATCGAACATTCTCACCACATACACAAGAATCTGTTTCAATGCCTTCATAATAAATATTTGACACTTCAACACGTGTTCGATTAGGCATGATCAGGCAGCGATCACCGACTCGGACGTGACCGGATTCGATTCTGCCAAGAGCAATCACACCCATATCCTACATATTAAATGTTAAATCTCAACAATAAAAAACATATCAATATCTAATATACATACTTTATATCGTTCGACGATATTCATTCGAAGACAGCCATTAATATTTCGATCAAACGCTGGCAATCCATCCAAATATTCGATAAACGTTGGTCCACTGGAAAAAAAAGCATATTACTCTGACTATCTAGTTTATCATTAATTAACGATTACTTACGTATACCAAGGCAAAACTTCTACTCCTGGATGTTCAACAAGCATTGCTCCACTCATTCCACTGCATGGTATAAAAATAGTATCTTTCTCAGGTTTAAAACCACATGTTTTAAGATAGGGTAATAATTTTCCTTCAATTTCTCGATATCTTGCTTCATTCCATTTAACAGTTGGATCATCCATTTTATTGATGAGAACAATTAAATTACGAACGCCGGCTGTTTTTACAAGCATTGCATGTTCACGTGTTTGACCACCACGTTCAAATCCTGTTTCGAATTCACCTTTTCTTGCTGATATTACCTAAAAGAATTGAATTACTAATAAAAAAAGATTTCGAAGATTAATAACGAACAAGAATGGCAATGTCTGCTTGTGATGCTCCTCCGATCATATTTGGAACGAAATATCGATGGCCAGGTGCATCCAAGATGGTGAAATGTTTTGTTCGTGTTTCAAACCAAGCTCGTCCGACTTCGACTGTTATCCCTCTCGCACGTTCTTCTTCATTAGTATCTAATACATACGCAAAGGACCACGAATCACGTGCTCGATCATGTGCTTCATGTTGATATCTTTCTAAGGTACGTTGATCAACTTGTCCAGTAAGATATCTTCAAAATAAAATCAAGATAATTTTATCAGTCAAATTTTAATTGTAAATGATTCACTTACAGTAATTGTCCACCAATTGTTGATTTACCAGCATCGACATGACCACAGAAGAGAATATTGACGGGTTCTTTCGTTCGATCAGTTGCATTTATACTCAACGCAGAAAAATTTAATGTCGTTGTTGATATGGGTAGTTTTTCGTCAACGCATTGATTGTCGTTCTTCTTAGACTCGTCCATTGCACTTGTTTTTCTATATTTAATTTGTTTAACATGATAAACAACATTACTGCCTTTTATACAACATAAATTTCGTTACAAACATTTGCACATGTTATTACACCTTGCGAAATATGTCGAAATTACATGAAAGAACGTAAGAAAAGGAAGCAACAGAATCATATAAATATAGTTATTGCAGTCTGTGGACGGAGTGACTTTGTTGTAAAAAAACCACATTATGAAAGATTGTTTTATATTAATTCAGACACATAAAAAAAATATTCTATGATCATTTCGAAAAAAATTGTTATATTAAAATAAAATAAGCTCACTTATCTTTATATTGATTATACTTTATTTTATCTCATTCTATTTAAAGATCTAATCAAAATTAATTTATAATAATGATGTGTCAAGAAATATTTCTAACAGGTTAGATTGATCTTTTATACAAATAATGAAAATGTAATTGTGTCAACACACAATAAAATGAAAATACACGTGAAAGTTAAGAATGTATGATCTTACATGATTCATCATTCAAATATCGATAAAACTTCTTTTTTATTATTTTAAATTCCTCTATTCTCATACTGTTTTTTGAAATCTGATTGTACGATTAATTAGTTTTTTTCAAAAAACATGTCAATACAAATAATGTTGAAAAAAAAAGCTGAATTATTTATTCATTCAACATAAAATAAATTTGTAATTCTAAACAAGTTCAAATTAAATATTTATATCCATTTAATAATGAGAACAAGTCATTGAAGTGTTAACTTTGTTTCTTTTGTCTTTCACATTGAATCAATGTCAAATAAAATTAATCTTGTCATATACATAAACAAAAAGAATGTTTCGTTGATCATATCACGCGAAACATTTTCTAGTTAATTAACATAATTATTCTCTATAAAAACTCTTTCAATATTCTATTGAAACAAAAAAAAATCATCTCCATTTATCTAATCATCTGTTAAACACATGTGATAACCTTGATAATACCAAAGAGAAAAAAAATATCTTACACATCGATCGATAGCATAAAGAATTAAGATCAAAAAGATACAGAATTGTATCAATAAATAAACTCAATTGTATATACATATTTCTAAGATCAACAGACAAAAAAAAAGAAAAAAAAGAAAAAGAATGACTGAATAGTTTGATTTTCTGATCATATAGATGATGACAGACATACCATCATCACTCGTTGTGTCAATCATGATAGTATGTTTATATATATATATATCTAAGCGTGTGAGTGGCTTCACAATAAGACACGCGTTAATTTCTGTAATTGGTGATGAAACACACACACACACATACGTAGATATACAAACGCATACATTAGGCGAAAGGTATTATTCCATCTATTATTTAATCTACATAGTAAAAAAAACACATGATGGATGTGACCTTGCTTTCAAGATAAAGAAAAAAAAGAGATGAAGATTAATTATTATTGTTTGTATTATTGTTCGTACGTCGTGTTGTTCCTGTCATCGGTGACAAAGACAAGTGAGGATAAAAGAATGGTAACTGATCATTGTTGTTTAACATCAATGGTGGTTTTAAATATGGATGAAAACGATGATGATTATGATGTTGTTGTTGTTGTGGATGAATAGAACTTGTTTTTCCTGTTGATGATGTATGACTATGTCGTAAATGTTCAACAAGTTCATCAGCTGAAGAAAATCTTGCATTACATGAAAACCAATGACATATATATGGTTGACTATTAACTGAAGCAGCAAGTATATGTCGAACTGTTTCACATTGTAAACAACCTGGAACTGTACATGGTGTTGAAAATGAATGTTGTTGATGTTGTTGCTGCTGCTGCTGTTGTTGTTGCTGTTGTTGTTGTTGTTGAGCAGCTAAATAAGCAAGAGAAGAACGAAGAAGTAACGCTGCGGTAGTTGTCGTCGGGTCAAATAATGGTGGTAAATGGGTTGATAATGGATTTGACTCGACGAAAGACGAGGTTGGTAGAATAGTACTGGGTTTCACTGGAAGTGTTGACTTTTTATTTGTAATCGTACTATTTGTCTGTGAGGGTGATGAGCGTTTAGTTGATGACAACGATTTGTCACTATTAGATGTTGATGAAAGAATGGACGAAGATTTAGTGACGAGAGATGTGATAATGGGCGGAGCTGTATTAGGTAGCAATGATGTATTTAACGAAAAAGATGAAGATGATGATGAAGGAGGTGATGGAGAATCTTTTCCAATGCTTGAACATGTTTGAGCAAGAAGAGCTAATGGACTTTGACTTGAATCATACTATTATTTTAAATTAAAAAAATAAATTTTGTTTAATTAGAAAATTAAGAGAAGAAAAAAAAAGGATTTTCGCTTTTTTTTTTTTAAATTACATACTGAAGTTGTTGAAGAGGAAAGAGATGTATTATTCAGTGGTTGTAAATAATCCGGTTTTAAATAAGCACTCGTAGCAGTTGTGGAAGACATATTTCGTTTTTTATTGTTGATAATAATAATGATGATGATCGCTTGTTGTTTTTGTTGTTATTTGTAATCTTTATCTACAAAGTCAATGAATAAATGAATGAAAGCTTTTCCTAGTTTCCTCTCATTTCTCTCTCTCTCTCTTCTTCTCCCTCTCTTTCTCTTTCTGTTTTTTTTCCTTCCTTACGCTCTCATTTTTCTCTATTCGACTGTCAAGCGTACACGAGAAAGAGAAGAGATTTGTGTGTGTGATAAATGATGATCATGCTTGAGACCTCCAAGCGAGTATATATACACCGCTGCTTGACACATGCCAATTATAGAGCAAGCAAGCAAGAAGAGAAGAGAAAAAGATGAGTGATGACAAGAATGAAAAGAGATGCCATCCATTCTCTTTCTTTCTAATCTTCTCTGATGATGACGATGTAGCGTGCTACATTCTGTCTCTCTCTCTCTCTCCCTCTCCCTCTCCTTCTCCCTCGCTCTTGCTGTCTATGTTTCCTTCACACTATCATACATGTATATGCATCGATCAACTGTCAATCGTTTCAAATCGATAGATATACATAAAGGAAGAAATGATAAACGAAGGCGCATTCATACTTACACGCGATTGATGTCAATGTATGTTTTACAAATATAGTTCATTAAACGTCAAATAGAAATGAATTGAAAAAGATATGTTATTTGATTAATAGATCGCTTTTTAAAAATAAACATTAATCACTACTCACATATGTTTTTTTGTATTCAAAAGATTTGACAGGAGGTGGTAATGAAAACAGATAGAATACTTATAGAAAAAAATTATCTTTCAATCGATCTTATTATTAAATATGTTAAATAAAAAAATATATTTATGATAAATGTTCTCATCAAAAATAAAATATAATTTAAATGACATCTGTCATGGAAAATGAACATTACGTCTTATAATTAAGTTTCAAGATAATAATCTATTATTTTTTCAATACTTAATTCTACTATAAGATTGTTAACTTAATGAGATTTTATATCAGTTTTGAGTTGTAGTATAAATAATATTGTATCGTCTATATATATATATATATATAACGAAAGAAACAACACAAAAAAAAGAAAGATCTGTAATAGTAAATCGCACCATTTTAATGATGAATGTCGACAGTTGTGACAAAAGAGGCGAAGTACGCTATCGACTTGTCATCGCAACTAGATGACCGACTGATGATGATAATGATAATGATGATCAGTCGACTTTACTGATGACATAAAACATGCACATAAAGATACATGCATGTCTGTATATCGATTGTCTCGACATGCGCATGATCATCATCATCGGTCGCTCATTTGTCACTCACCCACACGAATGATGATCTTGATCGATCGCACAGCATATGAGATTTCACATCACGTTAGTACAAACGAGCCGAGCTCTCATCATTTATCATCAATCGTTCTGTGTATGTCGTAATAACAATATTCTGACAAGCAGAAAGCAGTCAGGCAGCGGGAGAATGATTTATCGACGAACGATGGCGATGATGATGATGCGAAACATGACCTATCTCGACAAGCGAGAAAGCAAGCAAGCGAAAAGAACAAAAGAGATGTAAATGAGATAATGATAAATGAAGGAGTCGAATATATGTATGTATGTATATAGATACATATATATATATATATATATATATCTTTGTTTCAATGAAGACAGACAAAGAGAAGTCTAATAAGAATAGGAAAAATATTTGAAAAGCCTTGACAAAAAGAAACACAAAGAATAATAGACATAGACAAAGGATTTGATTTCATAATTTATTATTAAATATTAATTGTAACTGTCAAATGTTATCATGATTTTTATACAAAAAAAAAACTAAAATAAAAGAGAAATGTATTTTCTTATATATAGGTTAATATTTAATGGTAAACAAAGATTTCATTCAGATATATATGTGTATAGTCAATCTTTAACAAAAGATATTTTCTGATACAAATCGATTTTTCTCTTTTTCTAGTCATTTGACACTTCATTTCACTCATATTTCCTTTTCGCTATGTTTTATGACAAGCAAGTATATACATTGACGTTGACGACGATGTCCGATATCTATCTTGCTAAATGATTGTTGTCGCTCCATCTGTATATTTGTTCTTTCATATGACAACGATGTGCTCTCGTTCTAATCGATGCTGACAAATACATTAGGATACACCCCAGCAACCTCAATTAGAACATAGGCACGTATAGATATATATATATATGCATGCATACATTGCTGTCCGAACCGATTACATGCGTGTATGATGCGATGTGATTCGATTCATAAGTCATCTCATCAACACGATCTAAATATGAAGCGACTTTTTGTCCTTGTCTATTTTTTATATGATGATGATGATGACGATGATCATATTCGACACTTATGTGAAGTGAACATTACATGGCTGACTCTTCCTGCCGCCTTGTCAGCTTTGCTCACTCTATACATATCAACACGACATGCTTCATCTCTTTCGTTGTTCTATACACATCAATTAGTATTGATATGTCTATGTCGACAACAAACTAAAGAACAAAGAGCAAACCGCTTCTACTTATTTTTGATGTATAGTTGAAAGTAATGAGACTATACATACATATTCATTACAATTAAAATGAACAAGATAAAACATTGAGTCCATATGAAAGTATGATATTTATATAATTGAATTATAAAATTTCATTCAATCTTTTCTCAATATCTTTTAAATTAGTAAATTTTCTTTTTTTTATCAAATATTTCTTCACAAGAAAAATAGAGGATGGATTTTGTCATACACTTAAAGTTAATATTATTAAGTCTACACGAATAAATTGATGATCGTTTTATTTGATATTTAAGAAAAGGCTGTCAATGAGACATACACATAATTTGATGTGATCAAAATGACTATATAGACTAGACGTTCGTTTCCTAAAGTGGAAGTATATCAAAGTAATGTTGTATCGATGTTGTCTTTCATTCAATAAGAGAAAATAAATATATTTTAGTAATTGAACTTCTGATTAAAAGAAAAGAAAACTTTTTCGTTAATGCATTTGTATTTTTCAAAATGTTTTTTTCGAAAGTAATAACATGCCTATTGATTATGGTTGTTAGTTCAATCTTGCTTTACGAGAAAACATCAATATAGACGACATGTCAGAAAAGTAGTATGGTTATAATATGATTGGGAAAAATTCTTACTGATGTCGCTTGCAGATGAACACTGCAAAAGTGTCGCCCTCTGATTTTCTATTCTTTCCGAGTATTTGTATCCTAGCAATGAAACAATTAATGGTGATAAAAGTGACACTCCGTAAGTTTGTCAATTTATTATTTAATTGTCGATAATTTGTATTTAAAAAAAATGACAAATAATAAATTACCAACACCAGTATCTCAATATCCGGGAGATCGTACAGCACCAAAAGGTTCACTTCGTCTTGAATGGGTCTATGGTTATCGATCTGCTAATTGTCGAAGTAATATACATTTAACTGAAAGTGGTGAACTTGTATATTTTTCTGCTGCTGTTGCTATTGTTCAAAGTATAAATGGCAAAAATAAATTTCAACAACGATTTTTTCTTGGTCATGATGATAATATTATTAGTTCATGTCTTCATCCAGATAAAACAATTGTTGCGACTGGTCAAATGGGCAGTAATGCACGTATATGTATATGGAATACTCAAGATGCAATGAAATTAGAAAGTCTTTTACAAGGACATAAAGATGGAGTTGGAGCAATGAGTTTTAGTATGGATGGCAAAGTAAATAGAATTACTTTTTTTCAATCCAATAAAAATAGTCGAATATTTTTTTTTGTTTTTATTTTAGAAATTAGCTAGTGTTGGTATTGATGCTGAAAATACTATTAAAATTTGGCAATGGAATGCTGGAAAAATTTTAGCTACTGTTTCAGGTCATTCGGAACGTGTTTTTGATATTTATTATTCGAGTAATTGTGTTATTACATGTGGTGTTAAACATATTCGTTTTTGGACATTACTTGGTAATACATTACAATTTCAAGAAGGACAATTTGGAAAATCAGAAACATTAACATTATTATGTATTGGAAATTTTGATCGAACAACTTCTGAAGAATCTAAATCACATACAGAAAATGATGATTCATGTTTTACTGGAGCGATTAATGGAGATATACTTATATGGAATAAAAATAAAATTGATCGAATTATTTCTGGAGCACATAATGTAGGATATACTTCATTTCTAGTAATAAGCACATATATATTGTTTTTCATTAGTCAACAATATATTCAATTGATATAAGTTCAAATGGATTTTTAACAAGCGGTAAAGATGGCTTTGTTAAAGAATGGAAAAAAGATTTTTCTTCAATTAGATTGATACATATTCCAAATTTAATAAATGATTCTGAAGGTATACAATAAAATATTTCTTATAAGAAATTATTTTAAATCTACATCTTTTACTATTAGAATAGATAAAATTTAAATAGATCTTTTTTTATTTTACCGATTACCTAAAAGCATCTGTTTCTTACTGATTGCAGAATTCTAAAAAAAAAATTCTATTCATCTCTTTTTCCTGACCAAAAATCAACTAGAAACATTTTCCAATTTTCATGTGAATATATAATTGTAACGTATCGAGGAGTTTTCTCAATAAAATATGTAGATGAATAAAATGTGAACTATAGTTATCGATCATTCATCAATATATTTTTATTTATTCTCTTAGAAGTTAATGTCTGTAGTGTTACATCACGTAATGGTTACTGTGTTGCTGGTACTCGTGATTCTGAAATCTATGGATTTGAATTAAATGAAAATAGTGTTCCTCAACTTCTTGTTCAAGGTCATTATGGTGATAGTTTATCTGCATTATCTTGTCATCCACTTGAAAATATTTTTGCAACTGGTGGAGATGATGGTTTATTAAGGTTTGAATCGGAATTATCTTTTATATAAACAAAGAAAATAATTCAATTAAATAGATTTTGGGATGCTGAACGATTTTCATTAATAAAATTTTATTCAACACCTTCTATTCGATTATCACCATCTCCTGCTATTCGAGCTTTAGCTTTTTCATCAAATGGAAGTGAAATTGCTGTTGGATATGAAAATGGTTATATTGAAATTTATCCAACACCGTTTGTTATTCGAAATATTTGTTTTTTTTGGTTAAACTTATTCTTATATTTACTCTAGATTGAAATCAGATAATGAGAAATCACCTAATCCAATACAAAAATTTCAAGATCGTACAGATCGTATTCAATCATTAGTATTTTCTCCCAATAATAACTATTTTGCAGTTGGATGCTCAGATGGAGGTTTTGATATTTATGATGTAAAGGATCAATATAAAAATTTACATTTTAAAAATTCTGGTAAATCAATAAATATATATATTTTCTTTGAAATTATTGAAAATTTTAATTTAGGTAATAATTTAAATATTACAAATATTGATTGGAGTGAAGATGAAAAATATGTACATTTTACTAGTGAAAATAAACAAGTTTTTATAGCTAAAATACCTTGTAAGTATTTTTTTTCAACTAACTTATATTTAACTGAATGTATATATTTTTAAAGCATGTGAAATTGTTTCTGAAAGTGAAGGCAATAAGATTCAAAATTGGGCAACATTTACAAGCTTAAAACATAAAGAAGTTCGTGGAATATGGGATAAATTTGCGGAAAAAACTGATATTGCTACGATTGATGGTAATATCCATGCAGGTGTTATTGCTGCAGGTGATAAACAAGGTCTTATTAAATTATTTCGTTTTCCAAGTGAAAAAAATGGTGCACATTTTAGAAAATATGTCGGACATTCGAGTAGAATTGGTATGTCAATAAAAAGTTTTAGAATAGATTAAAATTAAAAATTTTTATTTTGAAAAGCTAATGTTCGTTTTCTTCATGATACAAGTCGTTTAATAACAATCGGTAGTAATGATTGCACAATAATGCAATGGAAATATTTAGGTGAATCAGATTCTATTGCACCTATTGATGCTCGAAGATTAAGTGTAGCATCAGTAAGTGCACAACCGGGAATAGATGGAACCATAAATGCAGATTTAATCGATGGAACGATTGAAGATGTACAAATGTTAGAAACAGCTCAACAAGTTGGTTCCTATTTAGATTCAGATTCTGAAGATTCAGATTCAGATTTAAGTGGTGCAGAAATTGATTCAGATATTGAAAAAGAAAAACAAATGTCATATGATAGAACTGTATATAGAGAAGATTATCAAGTAAGACATTCATGATTATTTAAAAAATATTATTCAATAATTATTTTATTGTATAGAAAGTAAAAAAAACCATGAAAGAAATATTACCGCCGGGTGAAAAAAGAAAACAACAACCAGATGAAGGTCTTACACTTGATTATGTATTTGGGTACAATAAAAACATTTGTTTTTTTTTTGATAACAAAATTAATATTTCTTTTCGTTAGATATCGTGGTTATGATTGTCGAGATAATTTATTTTGTTTAAAATCTGGTGAAATTGTCTATCATGTAGCTGCACTTGGCATTGTTTTAAATATAGAACAAAATACACAAAAATTTTATAATTGCCATACAGATGACATTCTATGTTTAGCTGCGTCACCCGACATGTCATTAGTTGCTACAGGACAAGTAAGACTTATATAAATAGAAATAAGAAGGAGATTTGTTATTCTTTTCAAATCAAATAAAAACAAATGAATATTATTTTAAATTCACAAGGGATAATATTATTCAAACATTTTTAGTATACTAGATGTGTCTACAATGAATTTATAGATGAGAAAAGAGATTATTATGATTTTTATTTTCGTTTTGTAAGAAATCTCCTTTTTTATGTGCTTTAGATTTAGTATCAATAGATATGAAATAATAGCTTATAGGCTGAGATTGATATTGTTAAAATATAGTCTCATACACTCCTAAGACATATATTATACTTTGATTGTATGTGAATCCTACTGGAATCTTTTCGAATTAGATTGGTCGTGATCCACCTGTTCATGTCTGGGATCCAATCACAATGCAAACAAGTTCAATACTTAAAGGGCAACATTCTCGAGGCATATCTGCGGTTGCCTTTTCTAGTAAGAGAAACAAGAAAAATAATTTTGTTTTTCATCAAAGACATCATTTATTTTATTAATCTAATAGACAATGGTAAATGGTTAGCATCTGTTGGCTTAGATGATTATCGAACAATTGTTATCTGGGATTGGAAAAAAGGAGAAAAACTAGGTTCACAAAGGTTTTTTTTATATTGTTTTTATATATAGGATTCAACTGAGTATTATCTTTTACTTCTACTCTTTGAAGAGGACACAATGATAAAATATTTTGTTTACGTTGGAATCCTCATGATGAAAATCGTTTCGTAACAGTTGGTATTAAACATATTAAATTTTGGACAAAAGCAGGTGGTGGTATGACATCGAAACAAGGAGTTTTTGGAAAAACTTCTGGTAAACAAGGAAAACAAAATCAAATGTGTGTAGTTTTTGGTAAAACACCAGATATTTGTATAACTGGTGGTGGTGACGGTTGTATTTATATCTGGACTCAAACTTCATTAACAAAAAAAATTGATAATGCACATACTGGACCCGTATTTGCTATAGCTGCAGTACAAGAAAAGGTTCAATTTTCTTCATATTTTATTGTTAAAGAATTTCCTATTAATATTTAGGGTTATATAACTGGTGGAAAAGATGGAAAAGTTATACTCTGGGATCCAGAATTTAAAAAAAGTATTAAAACATATGAATTAACAAATAAAAACTTGGCGTCGGATTCTCGAGGTTATTTTCATTGATCTTTGTTTTTGTTATTTAACAATTCTTTATTGGAATTTAGGTTTACTAACTGAAGAAGAAACATCTAAAACATCAATTCGTGCTGTTACATTAACACGTCGAATTTTCGTTGGAACAAATCGAGGAGAAATTTGTGAAATTGAAAAAGATGGTCGAATTCGTATTTGTGTTCAAGGTTAATTTAATTAATAAGAATAATTTATCATTTTCCAAAAATTAAAATTTAGGTCATGGGGAAGGTGAAATGTGGGGTTTAAGTACACATCCAAATAAATATGAGATATGTACTGTAAGTGATGATAAAACTGTACGAATATGGTCATTACAAGATCGACGAATGATACGTTATAAAATATTTAAGAACTTATTACGTACATGTGAATATTCACAAAGTGGAAAAACAATTGCAGTTGGAACTAAAGATGGTTTGATAAAATTTTAATTACATAAAAATAGACTTTTTTTATATGAAATTTATTAATTACATAGGACATTTTATGATATTAAATGAGGCAGATTTGAATACTATTGTGTCTGTTGAACATAGAAATCAAGAAGTATCAGACATTAAATTTTCACCAAGTATAATTTTCAAAATTGTTTTTAACAGAACAATATTGAGTTTTTTTCATTATAGATGATCGATATTTAGCAGTAGGAACCCATGATAACTTTGTGGATATCTATAATGTTGAAACACAAAAACGTATGATTGTCGAATTTTATTTTGTTATTGTAAAGTTTATGTGTGATTTCTTAGGAGTTGGTATTTGCAAAGCAAATTCATCCTATATTACACATATTGATTGGGATGCTAATAGTTTGTAACTTGAAATTTGTAACACTGAGAATAATTTGATTGTTTAGGTAAATTAATAATGACAAATTCCGGTGCAAAAGAACAATTATTTTATGAAGCACCACGTGGTACTAGAATTACATCTATTAAAACAACTGATGTTGAAAAAATGGATTGGTTTACGTGGACAGGAGTATTAGGACTTGTTTGTGAAGGTATTTGGCCACCATCAGCAGATGTAACTGATGTTAATTCAAGTGATTTAACAAAAGATAAGAAAATTCTAGCAACAGGTGATGATTTTGGTCTAGTTAAACTATTTGATTTTCCTGTTAAAGTATGAAAAGAAAATTCTTGTAGAATGATTTTTTATTTAAAAAATCTTTGCTTTAAGGGTAAATTTGCTAAATTCAAACGATATACTGGTCATAGTGCTCATGTAACTCGCGTTCGATGGACATATGATAGTTCTTATTTAATATCAATTGGAGGTCGTGATGTTGCTACATTAGTTTGGAAACATGAACATAATAGTAATGTTAACACTTCTTCAAGTTCCGATGCAAAAACAACGGTTAAAAATGTTAGTGCTACTTCTACTAATACTGCAGTTGCACCTCTTGGACGACAACGAGGTGAAAGTGACGATTCAGATAATACTGATTCTGAAGAAGAAGGTTATGATTCTGATGTTCAACATGATCGAAGTATGGATTACAATGCTCGAATACTGATTCATCCAGTTCAGTCAAAAAATGATAAAAAAGAAGCATTTCGATCATTATCAGCAGCAAATAAAAAACCACTGTAATATAATTAAAATTATTTTCTTATTTTTGTATTCAAATATACTTCTTATTTTCATTTTAGTCATTCAAAAGTAAAACTATCACAAAGAAAAGTTACTGATGAATTAGCATTAGTTAAAATGGCATTAAAGTTAGTTATTTCTATATGAATTAATTCAATCATCTAATCATTCTCGAATTCATTCTTTCTAATAGATCAAGTATCGGTCTTGGCTTATTAAATGCAATGCAAGAAAATGCAACAAATAATGAAGTACCAGGTCAAGAATTTAAACTTCGAGGGCGTATTGTTGTATGTATTTGTACTCACGAATAGAAACACAATAGATTTAAATATCTATTATGTTTTCTTCTAGGATCTGCAATTAGATCATATTCATGGTTATCGAGGTTTTGATTGCCGTGATAATTTATTTTATTTAGCCGATAATGCATCAATAGTTTATCCAGCAGCAGGTGCCGGTGTTGTACATCATATTAGTACAGGTACTCAAACGTTTTATACTAACCATACAGATGATATTATATCAATGGCTGTATATGATGGAGGAAAATATAAAGATATTGTCGCATCAGGACAAATTGGAGAAAATCCAACTATTCACATATGGGAAGCTTCTACACGAAAAACACTTTCAGTTTTATCTGGAAAACATAAACGAGGTAAGTTGTTTCTCGAATTATTTTTATTGTATGTGTATATGTTTCTATTGTTATACTAAAAGACTATTATTAGAACAAGACGTACTTACATAAAACAAGGTTTGTAAAATATTTGCTTTATAATATGCTCATGACCAACATTATACAATAATATAAATACTAATTAATTAAAACTTAAAAATATATGCTTTGTTAAAATAATAAATTTTATGTATATTCATTTAATCTCACTGCACATGACTTTATCATCTCCTACACTTTTGCTCACTCAATACCATAATATTAGTATAGAAATAAACATAGAGAGTAATAAAAATGTGATACTCATATTGTATTCCAATAGTTTTTCCACTGCTTATATTTAACATTGATTGAATTTATCGAATAATTAATATGAAATTTGATATTTATGTTTAAAGTAATGACATTTTTTTAAATTTAGGTGTTTGTTCATTAAGTTTTTCATCGAGTGGAAAACTTTTGTTATCAGTTGGTGTTGATGCTCCATATACAATTGCAGTATGGCGATGGGAAGAAGGTATTTGTATTTGACAATAAGAAACGTTGTTTTTCAATTTTTTCTATTCAGGCATTAATATAGCATGTACAGTTGCATCAGAGGATCGAATTTTTCGCGCCCTATTTCGTTCAAATTCTGATGTACATTTTGTAACAGCTGGTGTGAAACATTTAAAATTTTGGTCTGTTGCTGGTAATACATTAGTTGGTAAAAAAGCGGCCATTACTCAAACATTAGATGGAAGACGATCAACTAAAATGCAAACAATGCTCTCTATAGCATTTGGACCAGTAAAAAATTATATTTTTGTTAGAAAAAAAATTGATTTATCGTTTCTTGTTTTTAAAGGAAGATCGAACTTATACGGGTAGTATGACTGGTTTAGTTTTTATCTGGCGTCTTAATGCATTAGAACGAGCAGTAACTGCACATTTTGGTCCAATATTTTCAATATTTAGTTCTGACAATTGTATTGTAACGGGTGCCAAAGAAAAGTATACTTTAATTGATTTTATTTTGTTAATTTTTATTAAGGAGATTTTCTATATCTTTAGACGTTCTCTTGGTTCAACAAGAGCACTTAATCCACTTAAAATGTGGGATTATGATATGAAAAATGAACGAATAATTAAACTTGATTTACCTCCAACAGATTCAATTTGTGTTCGATCTGTTTGTCGAAATTCTAAAGTAGGAAAAAAAATATTATTTCTTTACTTTTAAAGAAAATATTTCTTAGGCCGGTAAACTTTTGATTGGCTTGAAAACATCTGATATTGTTGAAATTGATGAAAAATCATCTGGTTCACAACAAGTAACATTAGTTTTTGGACATGGTGAAGGACAATTATGGGCATTATCACCACATCCAACTGAACCAATGTTTGCAACAGGAAGTTATGATCGAAATTTAGTCGTTTGGAATATCGATACTAAAGTAAGTTTATTTTATTCTACAAAAAAATCTTCTTTTTCTATAAATTAATTTTATTTTGATTAAAAAAAAAGAATAAACTCAAGTATGGTGTAAGTAACAAAAAAATGAATAGGAAATCAATTCTTTGTTTTAGTTTATTCGTTTTTTATCGGTGTTTGCTTTAACTGACTTTATATTTTTTGTTTTCTAATTGTAGTTATCAATTAATTTTATATTTTTTTATTTTTATTTAGGGTCCAATAGCAAAACGTGATATGGGAAAAGAAATTCGAAGTGTTTCATTTGATTGTGACGGAACATTATTAGCTGTTGGATTTAAAGATGGACAAATTAGTTTAGTAGATTTTTCTATGGAGACAAAATCATTAACAGATGGCAATAAAAAAACAAGAGAACGAAATGCTGCAATTACATGTATTAGGTATTTTGCGTAAAAAACTTTTATGGAATTATTAACAAATATATTATAGATTTAGTCCAAATGGAAAATTATTAGTTGCATCATCAGAAAATTGTTGTATTGATTTTTTTGGTATTCAACAAAAAGAGTTAACACGTCTTGGTTATGTAACACATATCCAAGATGCAGTTTTACAAATGGACTGGTCAACTACTTCTCAATATATACGAGTAAATTTATAGGAAAACTTCTATTTTATAAAAAAAAGTTATTTTATTCAATAGGCAAGTACAGCTAGCTTTCAAGCACTTATTTTTCGTGCACCAAATGGTGAAGAAATTAAAAATCATGAAGAAATCGAAAAAATTGTTTGGAATTCATGGACAAGGTAAAGATTCTTTCAAACAAATACATACACTAGTTTTTATACTAGTTTTTAACCTTTCTTTTTAGTACTATTGGAGATGATGTAATGGGTATTTGGCCAAAAGATGGTAAAAAAGATCATGTTAATTGTGCTCATGCTACATCATCAACAATTGTTACTGGTGATGATCGTGGAAGTGTTAATCTGTATAAATTTCCATGTCCAGAACCTGGCGTAAGAGTGTGTTTTTTATATTAATCTATCATAAAAAATATAATTTTTAGGCAGAACATAAATCATTTTCTGGTCATTCAGATAATGTAACAAATGTTCGATTTCTTGCTGATGAAAAGTATTTGGTTAGTTTAGGTGGTGATGATTGTTGGTAAGATGATTTTATATTTTATAATAATGATTTTCTCATTTTATCTTTAGTATCTTTCTCTGGAAATGCATTACGAAATCAGACAGTGACGATGATGATGATTAGTTATATGTTTTGATATAACTTCATATTTTTAGTATTATTATTATTATTGTTGCTTTTGTCTAATCTATATGTAATTTGATGTGCTTATTGTAACAAAACAATGTTTTAGATAGAAAAAAAAATGAATCGTTTTGGAGATCCATCTATTGTATCTCATTATCAGTTTACACGTTCATCAGGAGCAACATCTCGACCACAATCAAGTTTACCATCTAAGGATGCTGTTACTGATATGTTTAATGTTGGTATTGATAATCGAAATCAACTTCATAGATCTGATTCACCAGTATCATCATCATCAAAACGAATTGTTCGACATCCAGTACATATTCCAACAGCTTCAGTTGTAGTTTCGCCTCCAATTCTTAATGAACGAAGTTCAACACCAGATCAAAATCTAACTCCTGATCGACCATCATCAGCATTTGTAAGTTCACGTTTTACTCATTCAATGCCAGTTCGATTGAAATCTACTGCTATATTAATACCAATATCAAGTAATGCAGAACCAATATCATATCAAAATTTTCCAAAACATAATCATGAAAAACGAAAAGTAGCAAATGATAAGAAACGAAAAAAACAACAAAAACAAATGTTTTTCGATAGACAATCTGAAACAGAAACATGGCATCGTTTAAGACGATCATTAGTTGAACTTAAACGTCTAGCAGCAACACAAGATATTCTTATTAGTCCAAGTATGTCACGTTTTCATTGTGATGGATATACATGTACAACACTGAAAGAAACTATCAATGAACAACAAGAAGAGAAAAAAGCAGCTTCGTTCAAATCAGAATCAGGTACAATATTTCGTATTATTTAATTGTTCGTTACATAAGTAGATATGAAGAATATTGTTTTCTATAAAAGAAAGTTTACCTAATTATAATTGATTTTCGTTTAATAAAGGTATGTCATCATCATTTGGTGCTGTTTATTCTTCTCGTGAATTACCTCGATCAAATGTCATAACATCTAAAGGTACACTTTATCGTTCTTCACTATCAAAACGGCCAACAGAACTTTATCCAAAAATAGTATTCGAACCATTACTTGTTGCATCAAAACCAATACATTATGTTACTGATAAAAGCAATCCACCAATAAAATCAAGATTAAAACCACCTGCAACAGCACCATCTCGTTCTCATTCAAATTATACTATTGGATCATCTTCTGAAGAAAAACAACCTGATGTATTCATAACTGATCATTCTAATGATGATAATCGTTCTCTACCATCAACACCACCACCTCCACCTATAACTAAAACTGATCAAGATATTCCACCTCGTAAAATAGTAACACCAATATCAACACGGATGAGACCTCCATCAACTCTTCCAATAAATTCAACAATAAAATTAAAATCTCAAGTTGCACGTTGTCGTAGCGCTACAGAAAGTAAATCTTCATATACACCAATGAATAAAAATAATCCACGTTTTATAATAATTGCTGATGAAGAACATCGTATTGAAAGTTGGTATCATCAATATCCATTTGTTCTTAGTGATGATTTAATATCATCATTTGAATCTAAACAATCACAACAAAAAGTAACTATATCAGCTTATTTTATTGATGATTTACAAATGTCAAATCCAAATATAACAGCTAAAACATTTCTTCAAGGTAAACCATTTCATATAAATAATGATTGGAAAAAATATGATGTGATTTTTATATCAAATAATATTTATGAACAAGTTATGATTTATTTAAAAACAATTGTTAATTTAATGAAATCATCAGGAAAAATTGTTAAAATTTATCAGATTAAACATGATGAAGATTTAAAGAAACAAGTCAGAAATATATGTAAACAACTACAACAACAAAATATTTAAACAACTTTACTTTTTTGTCATTTCATTTATTTGTTTGTCTTCTAATAATATTTATTCGAATATTTTCATATATACATATATATATATTTATATAGAAAATTATTATTATGATCGATAGGATAAGTCAATATTAATGAGGTTGTTACTATAAAGTAACTATTCATTGTTGTCTTATTTTAAATTCATACTAACAGAAAAAATAGTTGTAAATTTATATATGGTAGATTCAAGACAATGATTAGTTGCCGTTCTTTGACAAACTGATTTTAAGTTTGATGTCATCATCAGTGCATATGAAAAGAAATGCATTTTCATATTTTCCATTCACATATATCTTCTCTTTCTGTTTTGCTAGTTTCACCATCTCTCTAATTGCATCACTCTTCTTTTGCTAAGCTGGATGGTCATTGCCCAGCTTCATCTTTGTCCTTGCGAAGTATATATATATAGCGCTGGTCTCTTTGCAATAAATCATTCCGATCTTCCGATAGGAATGCACACTCAGACATATAGTGTTGCATAGTGTTTGTCTTTTACTGATCTAAACAAAGTTGTGTAGAATGATCTACACCACATGAATCTTTTTCTTTATTGAATACAAATACCTCAAAAGATACAAATTCATATCTAAATCTATTTTTAAGCAATATGTGAATTATAGTGCATTTCTGATATCTCGTTTATTCATTTTGCACTACACAAATAGTTAATTAAACTTTTTTTTAAAATAAATTTAGCATTGAATTTTAAAGCATTAAAGCTATGATAGTATTATCAAGCAATCTAATTAGAAGCTTCTTATTAGTGAATCAACACATGTTTTTAAACATTTCCCAATTCATGATTAGAATTCTTTTCGACAAAAAAAATAAAAGTTAAACAAAAAATAAAATGCGTGAATAATTAAAAACTATAATGTTCAATAGAAAAATAAAATTTAGTCCAAAAGGAATTGATGATTGTATATAATCGATCAAAGTCTTTGCTCTATTTTATAATCGAATATTTTATTTATTTAATGATCTTTCACTCCACTTCTTCTACCTGCTATGATCGGTTGTTGATCAGTATCGTCAATATGACTTTCATTAATTGAACTACCTGGACTATTTGGCGTTGATTGAAATTTAAAATCTTCTATTTTTAATCGTCGAGATTTAATATAAAGAAATAATGCAAATATAGCTAAAGTTAAACCAAATGGTGACAAGAAAAATGCTAATTTATATGATGCTGTTGTAACGAATGCCCAAAATAAAATAAATAATAATGAATAAACAAATAAAATATAAACAGTAAATATTCGAATATGACGATCACAACGAGATTCAGTTAAATTTAAACTTGATTGAAGTTGATTATAACGATAATAACATGATGAACATAAACATAATGTTAACGGATATAAAAATAAAGCTAACTGAAAATAAATAAATAAATATTTTATTTAAAACTTATTCAATTTCAATTTACTTGAATAGCTCCCATAAATGTTTGCATATCAGGTGGAAGATAAATACCTCTTATTACTGTACCCCAAAGAAAAACAGCGCCAATATAACCTTCAGTTAAATAACCAAAATACCATGGACCTTGAAATAAAAAATAATTTCGATTTAAATTAGTATAAGAAAAATATGTTACCAATAAAATGATATAATGCTATACCCATTAATGAATAATAATAGAAATCAATTGAACAAAGAAGCATCATTCGTAGACGGAATTTATTCCATAATGAAAAACAACTACCACAACATGCTGAAAAATAAATATTTTTAAAATTTTAAAATCACATGTTTTCTTTTTCTAACATATTCCTATATACTCGATAGTTTAGATACTAGTTGAATTGTAATGCTTATCGTCCAGTGTTATCTGATTCTGATGAGTATTCTATACGTTTATCTTTTAAGGCGATCGTTGTTTTCTAATACAACACTTAATCATGATACAAATATATATATATTATTCGTTCGGTCTATAACTGTTACTCTCTTGTAGTTCGTATCGTAATTAAATGGTATAAAAGAGAACAAAATAAATTATATGAGTCATAATTAAGACCATGTATTGAATTTTATATCCAAAGTCTACCTTCTTTTATAATATTCTTATATCAAAAATTTGTCTTATTGGATAAACACGAGTCAGAAGTTATAATAAGATTATCGACGACTCTTACAATTCTAATCTTATATATTAAACGTACGATTATGCTAGAAATAGACATACTGTAAATAGATAATAATGTTTACTGACTATTATAAGCGACGTAATATCTATAAGTGAATATAAAATAACAAGCATCAAAAATAGTTTCTTACTCACCAGAATAATAAGTTTTGAAAATTTTAAAATAAATACTATCATTGAGAAAAAATTTTAGTATCGAAATTATTTAGGAAGATTAATATTTATTAACCCTTTTTTTCTAACTTTTCAAAAGGAAATGTTCTAATCCTATATTCTAACTCAATCAATATATCGTTGTTTTGAATTGAACACGTCCAAAATACGTGCCTATATCAAAGACACTTTCAATGATTATATTTAATAATCATTTGAAAAAAACATCTTTGACATTTTCTCTCTCTATATATATATATTTGTTCTCTACTTACCAATCGGTCGTTTAGCTCGATATCGATAGAATGATAATGCAATAATATAAATACATAAACCTGTAATAATTGCTGCCATTCCCTAAAAATACAATAAAATACAAGATAAGAACTAGATCAATTCGTTTGTCATACAAAAGTCGGCCAATGAATGATGAGAATAATTTTTGATTTTGTCCATGCTGTTATTGTTGATGTTGAAAGAGAAAATTGATTTTCACTTTTAATGGTATTATTTTGATTATCTCTTATTTCAACACTTAAATCATGAAGAGAACCATCATTATAAAAACTTGCATTCCATGGTAATACATATAAATGTTCATTATCAATAGATGGTTTTGCATAACCCAAAAATTTCTTATCAATCGAAACATGTACATCAACAATTGGTAATTTAGAATAAATAACAATTCTTAAATAAATGAAAAATATTATTTTTGTAATTATTAATAATAGAAATATATTACCGAATATGTGTACTTTGACTTAAACGTTCAAGTGGTTCTCTAGGTGTTTTAAATTTAGCTGCTTTTGGATTTGATATAACAGCATAAATAGTTTGATCAAAACGAAAATCTTCAAATGATAATATACCAGAATCAATTGTTATTAAACGAAATCTTAAAAATAAAAAAAATTAAAGGTATGGGTGTCTTTCTCTTTACCGTCGATTATCTTTCCAATCACCTAATTCAAGTTCAAGTAGACCATCGGAATGACGAGCATATAAATGTTTAATACCAGAATGTAAATGACCATTTAAATAAACAATACCATGTGCCATTAATTCCATAAGACCTTTTGAATAAGTAAATGCTAATGGATAGTGTCCAAAAAATATTGTTGTATTAGAAGTTTTGGTTTGTTGAGATAAATCTTTAATATTATTCATTTCATCCTGAAAATAATAAAATAAAATTTACTTGTTATTATAGAAAATTTTATTTTAATACCGTTGGTATAATACCAAGAAAATTAAATGGACGACCAGCACCAGGTCTTGGACACATATCAAGACCAACAAATGAATAAGTATCATTATCATTTGTTTTTATTGTATATTGATATGAACCTTTATGTAAAGGACCTTGATTAGAATAGATACTTAAAGAAGACAAAAAAAATGATTATTTAAATTAATAAAAATATTTTTAAATACCGATAAAAACTTTGATCTGATTCAGGATTTGGATCATTAAAAGCATCTATTAAATTCAATAAATTTTATTTTATAAATTCATCAAAATATTTTACCATGATTTCCTCTCATATCAAGCCATTGTGTATGTTGTGTTACATTTGTTCGCATTAAAATATTTTTATATATATTCCATTCTTCCTTATATTGCGCAGATCTAAATGTATGATCACGATTATGTACCAAATCACCTAAATATTCACAAAATAATCTTTAGGCTTCTATCTAAATTTTTAACAAATAACTCATGTCATCAAAATCGGAGAAAAATCGATAGTTTAATCGCGATTTAGCACTCGATTAATTATGAGATTTATCGCGATAGGCCAAGATTTCGGTAAAAAGTCGTCGATTATTTTTCGGGAAATCGTGATAAAATCGTCCGAAACGCCGATTATTTTTGGATGAAAATATAGTTATCATAAATGACAGAATTTTAATAGACTAGATAATTTAACATCATTTGATACTGCACTATCTATGCCACCAAAAATCCCGAAAAAATTGGCGATTTTATCGCGATATAGAAGCCGATTAATTATGAGATCTATCGCAATAAAATCGCCAAAATGAAGGACTTGTTGCCGATGTTTTTTCGAAAAGTCTTGATTCGTAATGATTCCGACAAAATAACAATTTCTTACTGGCGATATAATCCTCGATTTTTTCGTAAAATCGCGATTCATTGCCCAAACCTTGGCGATTTTGATAACATGGGAAATCTATTATTATTTTCTTTTTCTTACCTGATACAACAGTAACTTGTGGTTTAATCATTGATTTGATAATTTGATTACAAAATTGTTCAAATTGTTCCATCCGATCAGCATTACCGAAATGAGTAACATGTATATCTGTGACCTAATTTAATAATAGAATTAATCGTTTATTTAGTTTATATGTCACATGAGATTAAATATAGAAATAATTACATGAACAAAATGAAATAAATGTTTTCCACTACTACCAAGAAATTCATCAGATAATGAATTGCTTTGTTGAATATAAACAAGTAGAAGTAGAGAGATAAATGAAAATCTCATTTTTAAAATAAATAAAATCTAAAATTAAATTTTTTTCATTTTTTCTTTTGATTTATATTAATAAATATGTCATTAGTCTTTTTATATACACCGCCCACGTTTATCTCAAATGAAAAGAATTAGACGGACAATATGTTTATATATTTGATAGTTTTAGGTAATAAATATAACAACAAGGACATCAGTCTCGAGATACGCAATTGTCTAATATAATTAGTAAGATGTATATACGTTAATTGATTTTTCTAATATATTCTTATGCAATACGATGAAAGATGTAGGAACAAAATATTATTTCGTCAATATATCGATACTTCATTGGTTAATTCTTCTCTCTCTCTCTCGCTCGTTTTTTTTCTCTCTAAGGGGATTTCTCTCTAATCGAGCAGATATAAACTGTGCGACCCACTCATTCCTAACATTTAGTACAATCTTAATTTTCATCCAAACAAACTCTTATTCATTCTACATATTACAATGATATTCCGTTCATTATTTGCATTAACATTAATAATAACTTTATTTGTTCATACATTAAATGCGATCAATCCTGCATATCTTCGAGAACAACATTATGGTGAATTGGTTGATAACACTAATAATGATATCGATAATGAACATTCGGGTTTAATTTTAAAACGAAATATTAATGAAGAATTAGAAGGAAATACAAATAATAATGACGATGATTATTATATTATTAAACGTAATAAATATCCAAATTTTCATTTAAGCCCATTATGGTTATCACGTCGAACACGTACAAATCGTTTCTATGGCAAACCATTATGGATTTCTCGACCAGGACGATAAATTAAAATCATATTAAAGTATTTTCTTTGTCTTGTTCCTCAATAATAAAATCATGTCCATCATTTGTCTTTATTCTCTTTTTTTTAAACAAATTTCATCTTTATAAATTAAAATAAAACATAATCATAATAACAACATTTGGATAAAAACATAATTAATATCCATTTAATAATCGAAATTCTATTTCAATTTGTTTCAATAATAAAAGAAAGAAATATTTGAAAAGATTAAAAGAACTAATAAAAGTACATGATAATCATGTTTTAATGTTCTATAGAAGAATTATAAATATATTTCTAATGATGATGTGAATTTTTACGAATAGATTCAATAGAAAAACGATATGTTAATTCGAAAAGAATTATATTTTTCTCGTACAAAAACAATAAATGAATCAAATAAAAAATTTTACTCGAGTCTTGATTATGTCATGAAGATACGCCTGAATAATTGGTAGTAAATAGGTAGACAAGTGAAAATGAATCATACTATTGCTTATTCATTAAAACCAGTGATATATTTTTTTAATTGATCAAGAATATTTTATTTTTATTTATATATCTGAATGTTGAGAATTAATTAATAGTTTAAAAAAAAATATTTTATAGAAATATAAATCAATTATCAAGATACTCAAATATTCAACTCCTAACGACATCTATTATGATAGCCATATTCAAAGTTAAAAGGAACGGTTGGGATAGTTAATTTGTATTATTTTGCAACTGAAAGACTCTAGTAGATAAGACGATAGTGCTTTAATCTATGATCAATATTCATCAATTGATTTAACTATGTAACAGTAGATTATAAACGAATGATAGCTATAATGACTTACTAGTAAAATTCTAGAAGAAAATATTAATAAGTTTATTGATATGAATGTCTGAACATGGAAAATATAACTAATCGGGACCTTGAAATTATTCCATACATCTATATATTGTATTTTATCAATCAGCTGCGTCCATGACATTTCTTTTTGAGAAAAATTCTCTGTATATCTGCAAAAGAAATCAGACATTAAGCAATTTCTATTAAAATTATATACATTCCCTTACTGTCTCATGTCTTTCTTACAGTTATAAAATTCGTTTTTCATGTTTATGAGTAGAATGATTAAGTAACAGAAATAATGAGCATTGACAAATGTTCCAAGTGCAATTGAGATGGTATAATAAAAGATTCTTTTGGTAAATTTCAAGTACTTGTTTCATAATACTAACATAGTTTTCTTTTAATGACTCTACTTACTATTGATCTAATGAAGTTGATTATAAGAAATTATAGTTTCATTTCCGTCAAATATCACTCTATGCAGTAATCTGAGTATACTTTCGGCTTTATTAGAGTGATCTATTTCAATTAATAATATATCACACTGTTTTTATTCTATTGAATCTAAAACTTCTTCTCATATTCAATTAATTAGAATTTATAGCTTCCATGTAATAGAGGTAACTATGATTGCTAGTTTTGTTAAATTCTTCAATACGAAAGATGATATGTATGGAAAAAAAAAGAGTGTCTTCTTCTATTCCAAAGTGACGAACTTTTCCAATAGAGTCAATGAGACAGACCGATTCGTGGAGATTTCAAAGAGAATATCGATTATCTTAAATTCTTACAGGCGAGTAAGACGTTATTAAGAGTTCTACAAAATCTGTAATCGATAAATCTTGATGGTACACTTGTAGTGCTTCACATAAAGACACTCTTAATTGGGACTCATTCCATCATACATCATTTCTCACCAGAATTGTTATGATGATAGAAAATATATTTGTTTTGTATGTTTATGTGTAACACTTTAGATTATAGTAGAAAACTTGACATCAATACTTCAATATTTATCATATGAATGAACACTTGAAAAACATTTTTATATTATGAAATAGTATTGTAAACCTTTCGAAAACATCTACTTGATGAACTTCAATAATAATAATAACTTAGACAAATTAATTTCGAAGCTATTTTATTATTTCTCGATTTTCAAATATGAACAAAAAATAAAAATAAAAAATCTCATTCTATTGACATATGTTACAAATGTATTCTTTTGAATTAAATTAAAGTAACATTTCTTTTACTTTTCATTTTTGTATTAATTAATAAAAACAGAGAAAAAAGAAAATCTTAATGATAAAAATAAATAGTTTATTTGTTTTCGTGTATAGAAAATAAGACATAAACAGATAAATATTATGTCAAAAAATGATATTTAATTTGATATGTTACTATCTGTTGAATCATCTAGATTAGTAACATATTTTGGTGGTGGCATCTCTCTCTTTTCATCATCATTTATATTTGCTTGTAAACGTGCTGCATTAATAAAACTTGTTTCCATTGGTACATAAATTCGATGGCCAACCGGACGAATATATGATGCACCATTTGATAATGGATCATCGATCATCATACCACCGGTTGTTAATGTTGCCAGACATGGATTTTGTAATTGAAGTTCATTTTCTCTAAAAGAAAAATTATTTATAAAAAAGAAAAACTAATTGATTAAACAAACCTTGACGTCCGTTTTGTTAAACGATAAGCAATAAATGTTCGAATACCAAATAAAACAAGAAAAATTATAATTAATATGACTACAATTGATGAAATAACCACCACAAAAATACCAATAGCACTAACTATATAAATCAAAGATAAATATTAAAAATACAATTTATTTTTTTTTTCGGTACCTTTTTGACATTGTTTTCCCGAATGAAAAAAATCACAATCACATTTATAATCTCCTGGAAGATTTACACAAGTAGATGAACCACATATACGTTCATTACTAGCACATTCATTTATATCTAATTCACACATGAGACCTCCATAACCTGACAAACATTCACATTTACTCGTTACATTTGAACAATGACCTTAATAAATTTTAAAAGAATATATTTTCTTATCAAAAAAGGAAAAAAAGAAATTTTACAAACCTCCATTAAAACATTCATAACGACTGTCGCATATACCATTTAACGGTATTTCTAAAAAAATAAAATTGATGTTTAGATTATATGTATATATAATAATTAAGTATGATTGTTGAACGGATGTTAGAATAATGCTTAACGCTTTTCTGACAGATGTATGACAGGAAATAGAATGAATTAAAAAAAAAGAGAAAGTTTTTCTTGTCTTACGTAAGAAATGAATTTATTACCTTGAAGAATACAACGGCCTGTGGTCGGTGATAATGCAAAGCCGGGAAGGCAAACGCAGCTGACACCAGTTGAATTCGATAATCGTATGCATACTGCTCGACTGTCGCATTTTGCACAATTTGGATCATCACTGACGTCGATTACTTAAAAGAAAAGAAATTAAATTTTGATTTCTATGTTTTCACTTGTTAATTGAATTAAAGATTCGTTTTCTTTTTTTCTTTTTATTCTTTTATTTTATTTGAATAGACATCTTATCCGTTAGACTGACACCCAACATCTTTATCGTCTATATTTAAGTGTGTGTGTGTGTGTGTATGTGTATACACAGGCATTGCTCAAGAATTTATTCTCACATTCGTTCTCAATTATGAAGTGTTGGTTGATAAATGCCTTTTCTTTAACGTCCCGTCACATCATGATCAAACATATGATGACCGATGTGCTGTTTGTCTTGTCCATACTAGTACCAATTAAATGAAGAGAGAATAGAGACTAGAATTATCATTTATATTTGAACAAAAAAAAACGAAAGTAATCTCATATATAAAAATCAATAGATTCGAATGATTGATAATATGAATTGATATATGATCCATAACTGAAGATGTTACGTATAGAGAATAAAAACTAATCAAAAAATTTTTATTTACCTTTAATATAAGTTTGTCCAGTGACAATTTTAAAATTAATGAGAAGTAAATGAAGAAGAAAGAAAACGATCGTTGACATTACTTCCAGATTAGCTTTCAAATGCACACGTATACACCGAGAATAAGAATGATTGTTTTAGAATGAGCTCGTGTGAAAAAATAGGCCTTCTCTCTCTCTCTGCTTCTTATTCTCTTGCGCAATGGTACCAAGAAAAAAAATCCTCTTATGTCTTTTCTCTCATTCTTCTACCTTCTTTCATTAACTGGAGAAAAGAAAATGACAACGAAAGCACCTAATAAAAATGATTTTCTCCTTGAAAGTGGCAACTCAAAGTCATGTTAAAACCCACTCATTTATTCATTGATAGTTCCTTAATAGATTTTCATATGAAAATAATCATAGATGATTTCTTGATGATACCAATATATATTTCTTTCATCAAATCAAATAGCAAGAATAACAACAACAAAAAAAGAAAAAGAAAAAAAAACTGAGTAGATATTTAAGAGTATATGTATTGTTTATAAAACACAAATACGGTTTCGAAAAAGAAACAAACAGCACAAAAGTTCAAACACATTATCTTTTTCGAAAGCATTTCATAGGGTTTATACATGAACATAGAGGAAAAATGTTCTTTTTTTCTTTTTTTTACTCTTTTCTTGATTATTATAAATGATGATAGAAAAACAAAACGAAAAATAATAAGTAACGTTGTTGTTCATTTCAACACAGAATTTATCGACTACCACGAGATCTTGATTTTGATCGTGTTCTTGAACGTGATTTTGTTCGTGATCGTCGTTCTTTTGATCGAGCTGGACTATCAGATCCAGAACGTGAACGACTATATGAACGTCTTCGATCATTGGATGATCGACTACTTCCTGAACGACTACGACTTCTAAAAAAAAGAAAAGATAATTTTATATAAAAAAAAATAAAATATTAACCTGTCAGCACGTTTTGATGAATAACCATTACCCGTTCGTCTAGCACTTCGACTTCGAGTTCGACTACGACTACGTGAACTTGATCTATAAAATAATTTATTTTTCAAAGTTAAGAACAATATTAAATAATGTATAAATTGTACCTTATCCTAATCATCTCAATTTTAATCATTACAATGATATTATAAAAGTTATTACTTACTATTATCTATCGATAAATAAACATCTTCAAATTCTATCTTAGCTTTATTTACTGATTAACAACTCATTGGACAGTTCACTATAGAAAAAACAATAAACCGAAACGAAAAGAATCTGATTAATTGTATTCGAATAAATTCTCTCATAGAAATACTCGTTCAAAGTTTATAAAAATTTGAAAGCAGACTGCTTAACTTAGTCAATGAGAAATCTTCCATTAGACTAATTATTTAGTGTGTCAAATATAGTGATAAAAACTAAATCGAAACAAGTCATTGTCAATACTTATTCTATAAAGAACTCATTGATTTCTATGAATCATAAATAGTTTCATAAGAACTAGAAATTCTGTTTCCATTTCATACAATTGTTCCTTTAGGTGTCACCTATGAATTGTAAAAAATGGGGACATACAATATGAAAATAGCTTAAACTTTAAAACCTATTCGTACAGAGTATCTCGATATGTGTTCCCATTTAATAAAACTAGAAGTATTGATTTTAACTTTAAAATGAAAAACGTTTTTTCTTATGAAAATAAAAATTCGATAATTAACTGATAAGATGACAATATATTTTGTTTACGATTATTCATCGTATACACACCTTTGAAATTGATATATATTTGCATGAAAGAAATGTAATGAATAAATCGAGAATTTTTGTTTGTATTCAGTTGTTTCGTATGAATATCTGATATTCTGACTCCCAACCCAAAGAAGAATTCCATCGATATTACATTTATCGATACCATGAAGATTATTCTTTTTTCGATCTAGTCATATGAATCGCTCGCTCGTATTAATCTCTGTTCATCAATGAACTAAAAACAGATATACTTGGTTTGATTGGTTTTTGTCTTCGTTTCTTTTATGAAATCAATATCTTATCTCATTTAAAAATATTGATAAAAGAATCTTCAAAACATACCTCATACGACGTTGACGTCTTAAACGAATTTCACAATCATATGCATAATGACCACGATCTATAAATGAAATTATTCAAAAAATGAAAGAAATTTCGATTTCAATGAACAAACCTCCACATTCATAACAAACATCATGTGGACTAAAAGGTTTTCGTGAACGAGGTGATCCACTACGAGAACGACGTCGAGCTCGACCACTACTACTGCCACCGCCACCACCACCACCACCACTACCACCACCACCACCGCCGCGTCCGCCGCCGTCGCCACCGCCACGATTTGATCGACCACGACCATGAGAAAATTCAACACGAACACGTGAACCACATATCATTCTAAAAATGAAAAAAAAGTCAATGATAAATTATTTTTCAAACTATTTAATTGAATATTTCTTACTTTCCATCAAGTGCTTTAACAGCATCAGCTGCATCACGCTGATCTTCAAAATCAATAAAACCTATAACAAAAATAATCGTCTTATGTAATTTAATATTTGTTTTGTTTTTATTTACCATAACCCCACGGACTTCGTGAAAGCCTATTTTTTATAAAATAAAATAAAATAAAATATTTAAAACAAAAATTAAAATTTTCTTTTTTTACCAAACATTACGTAATTTTCCGTAATAACTAAATGTTTTTTCAACTTCTTCTTTTGTTGCATCACGTGATAAATCTCCCAAAAATACCTAAATATTTAATTTCAAAATTATTCAATATTAATTATTTGAAAAATATCTTACCGTAATGGCATCATCTTGTCCTCCTCGTGACATTTTTTGATGTCTTGTTTTAGAAGATCTGTTCTTTTTTTATTTTAATCTAAAATTTTATTTGAAATATTTAAAAATTCTTATCTGACAAAACGTTTTCGAATTGGTTGGGCAAATATTGGAGGGAGAACTTCATGTATAAAAATCAATACAAGACCAACAAGAAATGTAACACAAAGAAATGTTAAAATAAGTATACGAGCAAGACCAGCATAACTATTTAATGTTGTTTTCGATTCCAGTGATTGATTACTATCTTCACGTGGTAATAATGTTAAAACGAGTGTCATGATAATTGCTATAACTAATGCAACTAAACCAATAAATCGAATAGGTGATTGAACAAATGTAAATAATGTTAATAGAGCTAAAGTTATAACCCATACGATAATTAAAATAATTACACCTGTTCCTAAATCAGCCATTATTGAAGTTCTTTTTAGATGGACGAATAAAAAATGATTGCCTTTGTCTTTCCCGATTTTCTATGAATCCACCATTGTTATGATGACCTCCATTTGTAACTAAGGATCGAAAATTTCTTTTATTCGTTTATTTCATAGAAAAATATTCAAGTTTATAACAAGATTAAATAAATAAAAAAATATTTTTAATGAAGTATTAATACTGTTGCTAGGAATAACTCATATATAAAACTGAGAATTTAAGCGACATCTATAGGATACCATTCAATTTCAATATTTATCGAACAGGAACTATACTTGACGAATTATTTTAGTGCTTAAATTCAAACTTTAAATTAGAATTCGGAATTGATCTTTTGCATAAAGAATTTTAGTTATAAGTTAAGTCCAGTACGTAGCAGAATGGAATAGAAAGAATGTGTGATTTTTAAACCCAAAATTTGTTAACAATTAGCATACATTTTTCTTTCGCCCATGTTTAGAATTATTTATTCGAAGATAAAACATCATTAACAAGAGAACATGATTTTTTTCCTTTACAATTTGTTTGCTTTTAAGTTTTGTCGCCTTTGGAATTTATAAAAAGAAATAAACAAGTCTAGATTTATTTTTGTAAAAGAAAAATTTTCATCGAATAAAATTATTTTCTTTGCCAAAACATAAAGTTTCAATCGGTAATTAATTATACTGAGAAGCTGTGATAATAAGTGAATATGGTTTACTTAATAATCGACAATTATCTATTATTAGTTATTCATTTTTTATAGAAACCATGAAGATTTTCAAGTGATATAGTTCAGATGCATCGCTAATAAATAAAAGTCATCGTGATTAACTTTCGATTCGTCATATAAACAGTCAATTGACAGTCCGAACAAAAAAATACATCTCATCTTTATAACAATAAAAGTTAAGGCAATGTATTTTATTTCTATGAAAATTTCATCAAAAACATCTATGTGTATTACTTTTCTCAATCGTAGAATATTTTCACAACATCCATCAATACTAAATTATTCTCTTTCTATATGCTATTAATTAAAGTATGTGAAATGCATCAAGAAGAAAACTATGCAATAAATAAATAATAAGTTTTTAGAAAATTTTTGTTAGATGACATCAAAGGACAAATATTTTTAGAAAAATCTTTTATTTGGTAGAAAGTGTATGAGTAAAAATCTGAACTCTGGAAAGAATCGTTTATCTGAATAATATTAATCTATGACTTTTTTCGATTTCTGCTCTATAGATGTTTATTAATTAATTAATCAAATGGAAAATTCATCGATCTAGAAAATTTTGAGTACATGCTAATTATACATCATTGCTTCATTTAATAATTATATTCTGATCTATTTAGTCCATGAAGCCAGAAAAATACTTTTTTTTCTTTTTAGAATTGCGATTTAATATAAAATCTTCTATTTCAATTTCCTTTTAGTCATGCATTCATTACCATCAATTATATCTTTAGAAAAAAGATATTTTTCATTGGAACTATAGAAAAATTTTAATGTTTCCTATATATGATCGAAGATGATAATTCACATTCTGTTCTATTCAATAAAAAAAATAGAATTATATTTGCGTGTGAAATATTGTTGAAGATTTAGGATAATTGACAAGAGTATCTGTTCTTTCGATATTTGTAGCATGCTATGCGAGGGTAGTTTTTCACATGTAAATGATAAGATCATAACCTATAAAGCACGACAAGTACAATTTTTAGCCGAATTACGTTGTTACATTAAGTCATCGACATTTCATACAATGAAAATTCATTAGGACACAAATGGGAGATTGAAAAGGAAATGGCGCATATCCTACTCAATTTCTTATTTTTTTGTCCTCACTGATGTCATAAGATGAAAACAGTTCACTAGAGCATAGATACTTTTGTCACCAACAAGAAAATAAATGAACGTCATTTAAATGATTGAGATTTCAAACTTCACAATGTGTATAATTTTCGGAATCAACGCTACTAAATACACTAAAAACTCTATTCATCATTATGAAATATGTAGCATCCGAATCTGAGCTCTACTTTACAATAGATATTGAAGTTCTTAGTACATTCATTATTACTGATTCTGAATATTGTAGTTACAAGTCACTTTTCACTGAAATGGCACTTAATTATTTTCTTATTGAAACTAAAAAAGCTCATCAATGGAATATAAAATAAGCATGATGATGGAATCATTGAACAAAATCATTAGAATAGTAAATTCTTTCATATTCATATAAGCCAAAATACAACATCGAAAACATGTTTCTACATTACATGTCATCTTGTTCGTTATATATATTTATTAATAATATGAAAGATTTTACATACATGTCGCAGGGTTTTTCTGTTAGTAATATTGAATAAAAACAAGTACAGGAAATATGCTTTTAGTAATACTAGTCCACCGCATCTAGATACATAAAAAAAGTGTCAAAACAATAACATGTTTTAACCTCTATTATCATAGACGATGTGTATAACATATTATTGGAAAAATCATGTCTCTTTTATTATAAATCAAAGTAACATTTAGTTTCAAATCTATTATCTAAAAGGATAAGTATTTTAGATTAATTTTACTATGAGTGGGTGTCTCTCTTTATTATTAATAAAATATTTTTTTTCTGTCTTAGATTTTATAAAAAAAATCCAATTTAAGTTAATAGATGAGTGAGTATGATCTTCTAAGAACTTTGAATTTAAAAAAAACTAAAGGACGTAAAAAGATAATCTTTTTGTTTTTTTTCCAATGATTGTGAAATGATTCTAGGTAGATCAAAATCGGATTAAAAAAAGAAATATATTATTTTTATAATCATAAAATGACCTCAATTTTCATCGAATTTTTTATTAAAAAACAATTCTTTTTTTATATTTATATATATTTCTATTTTAATGAGAAAATCTAGACAATGTTATTAACTTCCGTTGTTAAAAGTAGTAAGAGAAATCTTCTATTCTAATTAACTATATTAGCAATATAGATAATTTCTTTATTTGAATAGAACAAAAAAACAAAGTTTGATTAGAATATGATGAAATTTGATTTCTCGTTAGTTGTATTCTTCTGATGAAAAAAGCTCTTATTAGATTTTAACTTCCGCTCTGCTTTTTCTTCTTCTATATAAATATGGCGTGAAATAATCCTTTTACTGCATCGCATTAATAGTAGTCATGGAAAAAAGGAAAAAAGGTCAAATGAAAAAATGTTATTGAAGTCGAGAGTAGAGAAATTGCGAATCAATCAAGCTTATATTCCCTTGTTTAGTCAATAATAAACATGTTTGTAGGTTAACAAAGAAGAAGTAAAAGTATTTCTATGTGATGATGAATACGAAGTGAGAAACGAGAAGAATAAAAGGGGAAAACTCATCGTCGTTAAACATGATAGGTGCACACTCTCTTCTCTTATTCTCTTTCTCTCTTTTTCTCTTATTTTCTTTTTATTTACAATTAAGAACAACTATATAAAAAAAAAAGCTTCACTTCACTTCAGATAAGTAGTTAGATTGAATGGAGAAATGATGATAATTTATTATAAAACATTGTAAAAAACAATGATGACAAGTTTAACGTCAACAGAATCACTATTACCTGACTATGAATCTTTACCAAGATGGTTACTTATACCATTTATAATTATATCAATAATTGAAAGTATTATTGGAATTGTTGGAAATATACTTGTTATACTTATTATATTATTTCTCGCCAAATCAAATATTCCTCAAACATCACACAATTGTTTTATTGTTAATTTAGCATTAAGTGATTTCGTTTTATGTTTATTTACAATGCCTTTAAATACTTATCGAAGTTTAAATCTTTACATGACATTTCCACCAGCATTTTGTAAATTAGCTGATAGTTTTCCAGCTATAAATATATGTGTATCATCATTAACTATTGTTACAATATCAATTTATCGTTATTTAATAGTTTGTTATCCTCATAAAAGAATAATTGGAACATGTTCAACAATTATTATCATGATCGCAATATGGGTATTAGCTATAGGTGCAGCTAGTCCACTTTTTATTTATTCACGTTCATCACCAGCTTTTCAAGATGAGTTTTTAATTAACACAATGGTTGAAGCTGATTGTAGTCAATCATCAGATAATTTATGTAAAATAATCCAGACAAAATACTATAAACGTTTACATGTTTGTCATGAATCATGGCCTGACCAAGAAGGTTTACGCCTTTCATATACGATATTTATGCTTTTTCTTCAATTTATTCTTCCAATTTTTATAATTTGTATTACTTATTATCAAGTTATGGTCAAATTACGAGAACGTAAATAATAATTTTATTCTTTTTTTAGATAGCATTTGTTTTCAATAATATCTTAAGTCATAAAACTATTTCATTAATTCAACGTTAAAGTATTAAGTTTTATTCCAAAACAGTAATCTATTTTTCTCTTAGAAGAAAACAACAAAGTAGAAAATATGACTATTATATTCTTTACGTCAGTATATCAGTTTCATTCTAAATAATAAAACTTCTAATCGGAAATTAATTCTTATTTTCGATCTTATTCAATAGATAAGACTTTATTATTTATGAGTACAAAATGATATTAAATTCTCGTTCTAAACATAATAAAATTTTGCTTATTTAGGTTTTCGATATCGTTTTCTAATGAAACGTAATAATATTGCTTCATTACGACATGAAATTCGTCGACAACGTCGAAATACTGTTCTTCTATTACTTATTGTTGCATTATATGCGATCAGTTGGTTACCATTTAATATTCTATATATTTTATTTACCTATGTTAATCATTTTCGTCCATCAGGTATTTTTCTGAAAACACATTGAAAAAAAAATATCTTTGTTTTTCTTTTTCTTTCAGATCCAACTCATTCAAAACCAGGAGAAGAACTTAATGAATTATCAAAATATCTTCCATTACGTTTTCTCATCTGTATGATATCAGCAATATCAAATCCATTTCTTTATAGTTATTTTAATGAAACATTTAAAGATGGTTTAACAAGAATCTGTTGTTTATGTTGTCCAAATCTAAATAGAAGATTAAATAAATTTTCATTTAATCAAATTGGTAATTCAACAAAACGAATGAAATTAGAAACGACGAAAACATCAATATTTTTAAATGAAAATCTAAAACATAATTTATCAAAATCTCGTTCAAGTCATGATCCATTAATAAGATTAACAACCATAAGTTCTGCTCGTGCTTCAACTAATGTCTAAAGTTTTTCAAAGACAAAAAAGAAAATAAAACAATTGTTAATATGTATAAAATTTAAAGAATATGTCCTCGGAGATTTTTGTTATTATTTTTCATTAAGATCATTGTGATCATTTATTTATTGTTGTTCTGTTAATTGTATAAAGTTAATAAAATCTATTATTACGAACTGTAAGTTGATATACTTTATCTATCTAGTCTTTCAAGGGACATACTCATCCATGCAATAGAAATATATTCTTAAATTCTATGTAGTTACTTAGAATAAATGAATTATTAGAGAAAGAAAAATAATTCTATGACAAGCAAATATATAAGAGCTCTTAGAGAAATTATTATATCTATTTTTGTATTATTATTATGAAATTATAACGGATCATTAGAAGAAAATATTATAATTAAAATGTCTGAGAATATTTATTTTTATAATTTAATAAATATTATAATATATCACGTTTTAAAGCAATTCATGCGCGTATCATCTTGCTTATCTTTTTTTGTATTTCACGTTTTCTTTTTTTGCTCTTTTAACTGATGCGATTATATAAAAACAATAAACGGATAAAATGGTTAACGTATAAACTCCATAGTCGGAAAATTCCAAAGCAAATATTTCAATGATTTTACATTCTTAATCTTTAGAGCATAGTTTATAGAGTACAGAAATATATTTTATTCTTTTAATAATTATTGACAATCATATTTGGTAGCTAGTGATATATCCGCAATATGTCGAATTGGGTATGAGTGTGAATATAAGATTCATGACATCGAGTACGCCCCACACTCAACACATTTAACACCTCTTGGTAATATAGATTAAATAGTTGTAGTTGTGGCAAATGACATCGTAAAAAAAGAATTTGTTAGCAAAAGTGTGCATTATCGTGTTAAATTGATAGAAAAGATTTATTGTCAAAAATAAGAAGTTTACTTTGAAAAGTAGTTTTCATCGTTGAATAACTCATATTGTTTACTCTAAAAAGTCTATATTTGTAGAAAAACAAAGAACTACTGTCAACTTGTTGTCTCTTGTTCGTTGTTGTCAATACTTTTTGCTATAAATTTTTAACGACTTACGTAAACAAACCTCAATTGTCAGAGGTTTTGAAAAAGGCAGAAATGTATTTTTCAGTATTGAAGTAAGCACTCTAACAAAGCGTATTATTTACTTAAGTCAAAAATATTGTGGTCAAAGCATCACCGTGATGCTTTTGAAAAAGCCTCATTGTAAAGAGGTAATAAAGACGTTTCTAAGACTGTTGTATACAGCTTTTAAAAAGAAGAATATTTCTCTGATCGACAGCATATGAATTGATTGATTATTGGGAACATTCGAAAACCACCAAAGAAAGAGATACAAAACTTTGGAAAGATTCAGTTTCTAACTACTACTAATAACATATTTTACTCGTCAAAATACAGTTGACTATCCCATTTTTCCTAGAAAAAACGGAATATTCAACTACAACTCTTTGAAAAGTAGTTAGAGAAATCTTTCCATATATAAATTTCAATGTTTTTCTTTCAATAGTGAAAGTCGTAGCTCTCTATCTTATTCCTATCGAAATTTATTCAAAAAATACCCATTTGTCTTTTATTGTGAAATGGACACTAATATATTTAATATTGCTAACCCCAAATATCCTATTCATCTTCAAGATGCATCTAGTTTGGATAACTAAAATCTCAAAATACTAGCTATTTTCTTATTGAAGCTACAAATATTCATGATTTGGTTTATAACTTTTATAGTATCACATCAACCACAACACAAAAAAGTCGTACAATGTCAAAAAAAAGAAGTAGGATACTATAGGTGTCAGCTGCTTTAAAATGCAGTAAAAATTTCTATGAATAAATAATTAACATATTGAATACTATTCTAATGAAGATTTATTATCGATTCATAAACTATTGAATGATGAATAAATATTGCTATCTAATAGTTATATTAGTTATCATAAGCTTACTTTTCTAATTCAAAATGTCGCCATTCAATATTATTCTTTATGCATATATAATATCAATAAAATTAACCTTCAAAAATTGTTTTTGTTTTTTTTCCAACATTTGAAAGTCGATTAAATATTTTATGTACTTATTATTAATCATGATTTTCATTTTTTTATACAAAATTTTCAATTGATAATTGTTAATATTTAATATACAGGAAATTTTTTAGAAAACATAACAGGAAAAAACTAATTCTAACTTCTATTTAATATATATACTCAAGTATCATTATAAAATAAACTTGACAGAATTTGTGTATATATTTATATTGCAAAACTAACAAAAATATTTTCAATATAATGATTACAGTTTATTTTATTATACTAACATTTACTTCTCAAAAATTTTCATATTATTTTTCTTCGTCTTATCAATCATTATTCATGTAGATTTATTAGTTGGGAATTAAAATAGAAAAGAAAACCTACATATACACAGACAAGGACAGAATAAATTGAATATTAACAATACTATTTAAACATTGATCATAACACACATTATTATGTCTTCAATATAAGATTAAAAAAAAATTCTTTCTTTTTTCCTTCTATAGAACGATGATTAAAACCACAATCTGTGTTTTTTTCTTCTAGTATTATTAAATATTTGATATATGAATTGAATTTTTCCTTTTTTTTATCTAGTACATATATTATTACACTTTGGAGAAGATTCTATTTCAATTTTCGACACAAACAATTTGTATATTTCGGAAGCAATTAAAGTTCTATTTTATTCTCTGTATGTGTGTGAGAAGAACGTTAACATGTTTTTCTTTTAAGTTTTACTTTCTTCTTTTTTCAAATGTCGATAAACAACTTTAACAAGGAATTTTCATGTGTTTTATTAAAAAAAATATATAAGAAGAAAAGAGAACTACTACCGCATATATATATGTGTTATTAAATTGTTGAAGAATGAAGTGAGAGAAATAACAGACTGATGGGAACGAGTTGGTCTATAACAAGATAGAAAAAGAAAGTTGAAAACACCACAACAACAACACCACCAAGACTGTGTGAGTTTGACGTGGTAAGATAGGAAAAGGAAAAAAAAAAAGAAAACGACGTGAAATAGAAAAAAAAGGGAGAAAACCCTCGTTCATATATGTTGCGTGCTTGTCAATATATTTGAAGAAAAATCTGATCGATTGTGTGTAGTTGTAATTTGAAGGAAAAATGAAGCTGCTTACAATTATTACATAATAAACTTTTGAATATACTCATTGTTCCGAACAATAATAGTAAGTTCAATTAAATTTATTTATTTTAACAAAATTTAGTTCCTGTTTTTTCTTTTGAGAAGAAAAACTGAAAAATAATTTTTATTAAAGTTTGATTTACAAAAAAAAAGAAAAAGATTTGTTCATGGGTTTATTAGATCAATTTGCGGTTTAGGCGAAAACGTAACATTTTTTTTAATTCTCTTTCTCTTTTTACATTTTGTTTCTTTCTTTAAGTGTATCGAATTTCACTTTCTCTCTTAAAACTTATGACGATTGTCAGACATATTGTGAAAGAGGAATTTTAGTTATGATGCTGTTCAAATAACCATTTGTGTGTTTGAAGTTAGTTATTTCGTTTGCATATAAGTATGAGTGAGAATCAAACAAATTCCTTGAAGTCATACTCAAAGAAAACGAAATCAAACCATCAATAAAAAAATTTATCGTGTTCAATCGAGTTTTTTTTGTATAGGATAAAAAAAAAAGCAAAACTTTTCTCATCATCATTATAGATGTTATTACAAGTATGAATTCAAGTGGGAAGATAATTTTCACATTGATTACATAATAATGCAAACATCAATAAATACCGTTGATTATGACAACTTAAACATTATTACACATCCACCGCCACCACGACGTCGTCAAAGTGGCATTTCATTAATCCCATATCGTCCATATGTTAAATCTTTAAGCAGTGTACGACAACCATTTTCACACACGAATGGTATCGGTGAATGGGAAGTTATGGGTAAAGATGAAATATATTTTACACAATCCAATGCAAGATGTATTGGATCATTACTGACTGATTGTCACATATCAGATACTATTCGATGGGATATCGAAGGAGAATCAACTCGTTTACCAATGATGTGTAAATTATGGATGATCGGTATGTACATATATATAATCTTCATTTTTACGTAAAGAAGATGAAAAAATGATTTGCTTTTTTTAGTGGATGGTGCTGTTGTTGAACGAGGAAAACCACATTTAGTTCAAGATGCAGCTATACAAGTATATACTGCAGGTCGTAATCTTCGTACAATAATTGCAGCACAAAAACGTCATGATGAAACATCATCAACAACAACAAAAAAAATTAATCGACATCGTCGTCAATCATGGCATGAACTTAATGAGTATCACAGTGTATCTTATTATCAATATACACGTCCTGTTCGTGCAGAATTTCAAGCAAGTATCCAATGTGATCTTGACAATGAATATTTTACAAGTAAACAAGAAATATTTCATAATGCTAACGAACAAATAGTTCATGAGAATGATATAAATGATTTTCATTATGAAAATGCTCGAGAAACAGTACATAATATATCAATACCACAAGAACGTGCTCAGATATCAATTACAACACAAACGGAGTAAATAACACATTTTTTTTGTCTCGTTTTTATTGATTTATAAATATTTTTTTTTCTTCTTTCATTGAAGAAGTCCATTTAAGAATCAATCGACATCAATTGATTATCAATTTATTCGAATGTTTAATCTTAATTTAGAAACAAATCAAATACTTTTATCATCTATAGTTAATCCATATCATCGTGCTTCAACATCAAATGATTTTTCTGACATTATAATTTTTTTTCGTCATGGTAAACAATATAAACATCAATCAACATCAACTGGTGATGATTATCCTCATTGGTGGTTACGACTTACTACTGATTTAATTTTAGCAGATTTTATTACAAATCAAGGTGAGGAGAAGGAGAAATCTATATTACCTCCTTCTCCTCGACATGATCAAAGTATTCAAACAGAAGTAGAAAAGTCAAGACCATCATCAGCACGATCATCATCAATATCAACACATTTCGAATTAATTAATGACATTGATGATGAAAATAATCCTCAAAGATTCTATCCTTTCTCTGACAATAGTCAAAGAGTAATACGAAAAAACAATTTTTTATTTTTATTCTAATATTATTTTAAATTTAGATTGATTCTCGTTCAAGTGATAATCAATCTGTTCGTAGTTATGGAAATCATGTTAAACAACGAACATCATCAAAACAATCGGAAGCAGAATATAATTTATGGGTTACATCACTTAATCAACAACAACATGCTTCAACACCAGACATTCTTAGTAATCGAACAGGACGTTATTCTTCATCAAATGATACAACACAAATACAAATAAAAAATTCTGAAAACACAACAGCAACAACAACTGTATTAGCAAGTTTACTTGAACGTTATGAAAAATCATTACGTGAACGACAACGAGCTTTTACTATTATTAACGATCAATTATTAGACATTGATGATGTACTAAAACATTATAAAGACAAAATAAAAAATTCCGAACAATCAAATACTGTAAGTAAAGTGTCTGACTATTTGTTATGCATTATAAGACAGAGAGAACAAAAAAGAACAAAAAAAAAAAAGAGATGAAAGAGAGAGAGAAAGAGACAGAGAAAAAGAAGAAAGAAGCACTTCACTTTCACGACCTTGTCAGGGCTTTATATTTTAATTTATTTTTTTCATACGAGAATCAATTTTTTCAATTTTTGACTGTCAATCAAAAAGTGGTTGAGTTGTTGCAGTTCTTTTTTTTTCTTTTTCTCTTTTATTTTTTAACATATATTTAATCAGACAATGGAATTTTATCGAGATATGTCGGATCGATCATTATCAACAATAACAAATATTATACGAGATAAATATCGAAAAATGCCTGAAATAACAAGTGAAGAAATGATTCAAGGATATATTCCTTCACCTCGAACATATATTACAAGTTCAACAATTGTTTCACCAAGAGAACGACAATCACATCGTTTAACTCTACCTGATTATTGTAGTTTATGTTTAACAGATTATAATGGAAGTTCAGCATGGATTAAATATAATGAAAGAAGAATTGAACAATTACAAAAAAGAATTGATTTAATGTTACAAATTGATGATAATGAAGAAGCTGAATTATTATTATCATTATCATCATCATCATCATCACCAAGATATTCAACAGTAGCTACTGTTTCACAACGTATTGATGATATACTTATGAAAAAACCAAGATCTCATCGTTCATTGATACTTGATCATCATGATCGTACAACAGGTAAGAAACATTTTTTGACCTTAAGAAATCAAAAGAACAAGGTTTATTTTCTAAACAACTAATTTATTTTGAAAAATAATATGTCTATTTATTTCAAACTTTTGTTATGTAAGATTTTGTAATCTTATATTTCGAGTATTTACAAAAGTAAATATGAATTGTATTGAGTGTGTGTGCCTCTTTGTTTTAGTATCACCTCGTCGATATGACTATCGTTTACCTTATCGATTGAATCAATCATTACCAGCTACACCTCGTCAATTAAGTCGAAACGGTACACGATCAACAACACCAGTATCAAAATCTGTTCGAATATCAACTCGATCCGTTCCACCAACACCTCGTACACATCAATCATCATCACCTTCACGACCGATTGTATCAATATTACGTCGTAGTAGTGTTCCATCCAAACCTCGACCATTAAAATTAGCTGAACCAACACATGTCTGGCGAAGTAAAGCTGATGGAAAATTATATTCTCTTAAACCATTTAGTATTCCACGATATTATCGTTTATATAATGATGCTGGTTTTAAAGAAATGTATGATTTTTCTCGTGTACATGACACATATTCAGTTCCAGATCGAACAAATACAGATGATTATTCATCACTTTTAACAAATTTTGTATTAGAACATCAACTACCATCTCCAATAAGAAGTGTAGCATAGACATTTTTTATCTTTTGAATGAACTCTCATTTATTTTATTTTTTCTTTCTTTTTTATATTCTTTTTTCTCTTCAATGAAATCATATATGTTTAGATAGAAATCGAGACATAAATTAATTGATCGTGAACTATGTTTATGTTGTTATGTAAAGTCGTTCTATTTTTCTTTTTCTCTTTACATATATATTAAAAAAAATATATTAAAACACAACATTTTTCTTTCATCTCAAACGTCAAAAAATGCAAACAAAAAAAAATACGAAAATAATGTAATAAAATTTCACTGTAAATATTGAGAAATGGCTTTGTATTACTTTTTGTTTAAAAATCCTCCTTCATACTTCAACGAAATCTAATAGATTACTTTTCAAAAACACAGTTATGTTAGAATATTAAAGAAATAGAACTTCGACATTAGATATTTTCTGTTTTCTATCGATAGAATTGTTTTTCTAATTTTGTTTATTCTGTAAAAAGGCCTTGTGGTCTCTCAAGTATTAATGGAATACAACTTCATCTTAATTGTTTTTTTCTTTTAACAGTATTGCAATGTGTGACATACAACTTTTTGTCACGTCACAACCTATTGCCTATTGAATTGAAATATTGGAAACTAAAATAACCTTGTTTCTGATATTACTTACAGATATGTCAAAAACAAAATAGATATTACATATGAATTGAATTGAATTCTTTTTTTGAGAACTATTATATAAATGAAAATGTTGTTATGAAATGAAATTTAGAGAGTATATCATGCACATCATTTCTCCTCTTTGTTAAGTGATTGAAAATTCATTTTATGGAAATGTCCTTGAAAATATTTAAATTATAATAAATAAAAAAGATTAATTAATACATTATATGGGAAAAATATATTATTTTTCTTTCTAAAATTGAATTTTCAATAGATATTAGAATAAGATGATAAATCTTGAAATAACTTTACTAGTTCTAAGTCTCGTATTAGTTAATTAAACAAAAAACATTTCAATTATCAATATTTTATTTATTTATTTATTTAATATAATGATGAGAGAAATAGTTAATAATAAATATTTTGAATGAAAGTTGTTATATTTGAAGGTTAAAGATCTTATTCGATACTTATGCACACTTGAACAATTTCTAAATACTTCAAAAGTATAAAAGTTATATGATTTCTACTTGATTTTACTCTTATATAATCCAATAAGTCTAGACATTACAAACTAACATCAAAACTATTATTGCAATTAATCAATTTTATAAAACTTATAGATACAAATATTGTAAACAGAGTTTCTATTCATCAATACATCACATCGATGTCTTCATAGTTTTCTTTTGTATTTGAGCAGACTAAAATATATGTGTGAACAATAATAAAGTTCAATGATAATATCTATATTTTTGCTATACCAAAAAAATAGCGTACCTGCTAAATGTAAACAAGACTGCTATGAACTGTAAATATGTATCGGATTTCTACATTCGAAAACTTCTGAATAAATGCAATGAAACTTTTCTATAATTATCTTTCGATTATTCTTCGAAACGACAAGATATGATTTCATATTTTATATTTGATTAATCAGAAAACTTTATTGAACTGTTTTGAAGGTTATGAAATTAGTTAAAATTGTTGCCATGTTTTTGGTATGACTCAACATGAAAATATGTTGGTAATGTATTATTTTCAGTTAATCACATTTTTAAATTCTTAATGTATAAAACTGCTTATTATTACATTAACGATCATTTACCACCTGATGTAAATAAATTGTTAATAGAACTTCGTTAGACTTCATATAAATTAATATGTATTTCTTTTCATAATCAATCATACTTTGTGCAATGAGTTCTTTCTTTTCATTTGACTTTATTTAATCGATGAACACGTATATCTCAATCGATTTATATACATCAAATAAATTTAGTTCATACAACTTTGTTCAATGTTTGATCACTTGTAAACGCATCTTTTATGATTTGTTGATTTACTATTGATAATTTCGCTTGCTTTCTTGTAATAATCTTACATTTTATCATACTTGATATATCGATATATTTCGCTTTTCTTAGAAAATGTTTTAGAGATCTGTACATTTATGCAGAGTTAACTTTGAATAAATGCACTTAACTGACCTTTTCATTATCTTCCACCAATTAGTCATTTCTGATGATTATGTGAGGAGGATCTTTCATATATTATAGGTAGTATACGCAAGATAAGACAACAAAATTTCTAGTATTTTCTCTTTTTATGTACGGAAGTAACTAGAGTTTTAGAATGTCTCACATATCATTTGAATGATTTTCATAGAATCGATCTTCAATCTTCGAGTTCCGATAAACTAGATTTACAAATTTGAAGTAAAACGAAAGTCTTCTACGATATTTACTCATTAATATTCTACTAGCTAATTTAAAGTCTAGTATGAGTCAATAGGAAAAGCAATGATCTGTATGCAATGTTCGCTGTTTTGAAAAAAATCAAGAGAAGAGAATGATAGGACAGCAGAGAAAATTAAATCTTTCTGTTCTGATTATTTTAATGAGAAGCATCGCATTGATTCTCTTATTAAAATAAAGTGGAACTCACCAGGCGGGCCCCATCACGTCAAATATGTTGAATTATATTTTACATATTTGTTATATCTAACATTACCTTGCAGAAAATTTTATCGAATAAATCATTATTCTAATCGTTTATTACTTAATATAAATGACGTTGTCAAACAAACTAATTAGTTGAGTTATAAAAAAAACTGGTTATTTTATATAAAAAATATTTTTGTATTATTACTGTAAATGTAAGGTCGTAATATAGTATCATTAATGTTTTTTCTATGAATTAAATAATCATATGAATATAAAAGATAATTTGACAAGAAATACATTAAAATCGAATTAATTTCATTGAAATATGTTCATTGTTTGACGTGAAACATAAATTCTTTTATCTCTAATATCTAATTTGAATCATTAAATTGATTATTGATATGAGAAAAACGATATATTGTTGATATTATTTTGACAAAAGATGTAGTCTCTCATCATTTCTCAAGTTGATATTGACATAGATACTTTTTCTCTTTAAGATATTTTCTCAATTGAAATATATTTGATTGACCACTTGTCAATTCCATTTAGTGTCTCAACAAGATTCAAACTTAAAATTGATCTTACTTTTCAATGTTTTATGTATATATGACACTTTCTTTCTTATTTTTTTGTATGCTTTATTTTTCTACCCTTTAGCAATAGTAATCAACAATAACATCGATCGGGTATAATCAAAGAGAAATGCACTGCATTTATTAGACAAACGATCGTATAAGTATGAAAAGAAGAGAAAAAAAAAGAATCGACAAGAGGAGGAGCATGGATAGGAGGTCAATTAGAAAAGAATAACATAGACATATAGGAGGTCTTACTGATTAGCCTTTTGATCATAGATTTCTTTTTAAGAAACATAAAGAAAACAGGTGGCGTCAATCGAACTAACTGTGCAGCAGGTGAAGAAGCGTGTCGTCTATCTATCGATATCTTCTATCTAATGGGTAATATAGTAGTCGATTAATCGAACATGCTGTGACACACACCGATCAAAGCGAAGAAGATCCTCCTACTTTAAAAGCATCGTTAACTCGAAATAGAGATAGACGATGACGACCGACAACTGTGTTTTTCTTTTTTATTCTTATAATACATATAGAATAAGCGAGAGTCAATAATCGATACATTATTGACTTTGATTGTGTCATTTAAATCGAAGTCAACATTTTTTTTTGATTTAATGTCCAATTGACTAAATATGATACCAAATGAAGAAGAAGAAGAAGAAGAAATTTATTTATTGGTTAAAATTTCCCATTGGAATGTGTTGTAGTTATTACAACATATAGTGTCTAATCGATTAGTGTATTGAGTTCAATGACTCGTTCGTTTCTCTTTTTTTCTTTTTCGTTTTATTTGATTTCTCTAAAGGCGTTATGAATTTGTAATTGACACTTTTGTGTCTATTCCCTTGATGAGAGAATCGACTAGGTATACTAAACTATGTTTGTGATCATACAGATCAAACGACAACCAATGTATATTCTCAAGTGGTCTCGCTCACTCTTTCTCTCTCTTTTTTTTCTTCAACCTGAACGTAAATGACTTTTTGATGATCAAGCTATACTCCTTTGTCATATATACAAAATGATGACAAACTTTCTCCTTACTTATATTTGATGATTGTGTATTATATTCACTATGAGAATCAATCACTATATCGTCGTCGTCGTCGTAATGTATGAAAAGAATAGCGAATAAGACATATTCAAGGTGTACTAATCGAGACAATATAATATCCATCTATAACCCGTCAAAAGAAATAAATGAATAAATACATTGAATGCATTCTTTTTTACATCATAGGAATGTTAATATTCATTTTTAAAAAGAAGATTTGTTTTATCGATATTTTATATATACAGCAGAAAAAAAAGAAAGAAAATCATACAAAGCAACAAACACACACAATACACACAGATTGAAAAGTTTACAAAGTAAAAGCAAAATGAGCCTCGCCATTTGACTGTAATATTTTTATTTTATTTTTAAATTAAAGTTTTCCTACTGATGTTGGTGAATAATATGATGAAAAAATAGATGTTGGATAAGAAGATTTCATTGAGGATGATGATGATGATAATGATGTATGTGCTGTGCATAAATGTTCTAATAAATTCATATGATTTGGAAAACGTTTTCCACAAAAACCATCAGGACTAGTTGATTCCATCCAATTACAAACAAATGCTGGTGGTTGTGGTGATGGTTTTAATGGTGCTAAAATTGAATCCATAAAATAAGGAGATCTTTGAGATGATGATGGAGAAAAAGCTGAACTTGATGAATGACCAAATAATGGTGAAGTAAAGAAGGGTGATGAAGTAAAAGTTTTATTTAAATGATGAAGAAGAAATGAATCGAACATAAGTGGTGATGGAGGAAAATAAAATGATTGTTGTTGATTTGTTGAAAGTAATGGTGATGATGATAATGATGATGATGACGATGATGATGGTACTGTTGGTTGAGAAAGTAAGATTTTCTTTGCTGGTGGTGATGGGGTTGAAGGTGCAGCTCTTTTTAAAGATTTTTTAACTTCAGGTGATGAATTTGATTTTCGTTGTTTTGATGTTATAGATATTGTTGTTGTTGATGATGAAGATAACGATGAGGATGATAATTCTTTACCAATATTATTACATGCTTGAGCCATTAATACTAATGGATTCTCCTGTTTTGTTGTATATTGATCAATCTAAATAATACAAATAATTTGTTTTAATTTTTTAAAAACTAAATTATTATTAAAATAAATTTACTGTTGGATTGATATATTCACCATAGAGTTGTTCTTGTTCTTGTTTCTTCATTGACGTTGTCATTGAATCAAATGTGTAGATGTATTATAAGAGTAAATGCAAATGATGAGTGATTGAAGGTGGAGAAGAATACATACACAGGCGCGCGTTCGATCGATCATAAATCACTATGTTTCTCTTTTCTCTTTCTCTTTTTTGATAGATCAGAGAAAAAGAAAAAGAAACGATTTATATAGTCATTGGTTGAGAGCGACAGACGTCGATTTTCTTTTTAACCAATATCGAGCGAGTTCTGTTTTTCTTTTTTTTTTTGTAATGCTTGCTTTCTTTATTCGTTTCGTATTTTGATTGACAAGTGTCTGCTGATGGAATATTCGATTTTGTTTTATAATGATTGATTGTTTTACTTATCAGTTTTTCTTTTTTGAATTTCTTTGACCAGTTGTGAGATTTTTGGTTTTTTTTCTCTGTATATATATATATATAATATTTCGATCGATTTGATCGATTGAGTATGTGTGGGCAGTCTCATCTGTCTTTAGTGAACATATAATGATATCGTTTTCGCATCTCTTTCATCTTTCTTTATGAATCGTTCGACGAAACAAAAAAAATCATAAATCTCGAATTAAGTGCCTTTCGTTGTCAGACATCGATCATTCAATGTATGTATGTGTATATATATATATACAAGAGAGTTCTCGCACTTGTTCTTACATGATATAAATATAGCCGACATGGATAAATTTTTTCTGATACATTGACTATTAGAAGTCGGCATATATATATATAGCTACAGAGAGAAGAAAAATACTTTGGACGTGCGAGAAAGAACATAATTTGAACACATCAAAGATATGAAGTTTGTGCTGTCCAAGATTAATGATACGCGCATAAAGTGTGTGTGAATTGACATAAATATATACACGTAGGGAGTCGATCATATCGAAGAAATACTTTATCAGAATTGACTATAGAAGAGATGAACAAAAACATATCAAACACATCATGACATTAAGTGATACTAAACGGGATGATCAACGATAAAAACATCAAAAGAAAAATCAGTCAGATTTATGTTGTTTTTATATCAATTAATTACATTATATATCAACATATTTCAAAGAATTATTACTCATTTAGAAATCAATTTTTTCAAATAGACCAATTATATATATTTTTACTTTTTAGACGTGATCAATCGAATATATGACTATTGTTGTTTTTTTCACGCCTTCAATGAGAAAAAAACATTTCATACTCATTCTTACTATCGAATCGCATAAGACAATAGTTATTGTATTGTTTCGATAGATAACGAAAACAACAGTGTGATTAATAAAGGTGATTTTCTACTTATAAATCGACACTTGTTTAGTGTAAATATTATCTCATCAATCGTTTTAATGATCTATTTTATTTCAGAAAAAAAAATGAATTCGATAACTTTTTCTATTCATATGTACGAATATTAACATATACTTGCGATATGATCTTGTACAAATATAATACTATTACTATTTCAATGTATCATTGCATATATCAAAGTAAAATTTATACGACTCATCATTCGTAGACGAAAATGAGGTGTATTAAGTCATTGTTAATAGGAATAGACAATGATTGACTTCTATGTTAATGTTAATTGTGTAGATTTAGAATTGCAAATGAGTTTTTAATGATAAAAATATAGATTTGAAAAAATTTATTAAACTATTAGATTTTTATTTATTGAACTTAATGACATCCCATCAAGTCTTAAACCTAGAATTCAATACTATATTCATTTTCTATCGGATTGGATGTTAGAATCGCTAATATTTTTTCTAGGCAAAAACGTTTAGAACTACTCACATTGTTCGTTTTTATCATTTGAGTGAATGATATTTATTTATGTGACACTCTAGAGTGCTTACATGAAATGGATTTAAGAACGACTGGTGTATGAGATTATCTTAACTTAAGTTTTCCTTATCTGTCTATATAAATAATTACTTCAGTACTGTACGAAGTTAATCTGTGTTTCATGTAGTTTCTCTAATAACTTTTTCTTTCTGATTATTCAACTAATGTATTCTAACGACATCTATATAATATATTAAAAAAGTTTTCATAAGATGAATATAATAAAAAAAATAATAAAAAATATTTTTAATTTCTTAGAATTCGAAAATGATTATTTAAATATTCTTGATAGTTTATTCTATTGGTTCTTTTGATTAAACTAATAAATATTTAATCTTTCTGACTCATTAAATCTCTTTATTTGACGAGAAAAAAAAGAAGTTTCTTTTTCTATAATCAATCTAGTCATAAATGTGTATAAATTCTTTAATGATTGATACCGATATAATAAAATGTCTCATAGAAGATTTACTCGATCGGATCTGTTTAATAAACAGTTCATCACCAATAATAAATTCTCCATTATATTATTCATCAAAATCAATTGAAAATAAATTTCAACAATCAATAAATATTCTTAATAAATCAATAAAACAATTATTAACATATGAATTAAATACAGTTGTTAATAATGGTCAATTAACAACAACATCAAATATACGACATAGTCGGTATTATAATCCAGCAACAACAATAAAACAAACTAATGATTTAAAAAAACGACTTCAATGGATTGAACAAAGACAAATGATTATGAAACAATTAAATATAAATCAAGAAAAAACATTTTCACAATCAAAGTATAGATTAATTTATTTATTTATTAAGGAAAGAAATGAATTTTATTTGAAATAATTTTTTAGTTCGGATTTAAATTCTCTTGAAAATATTTGGTTTGATCATCGTTTAAAAATCTTAGATAATTCATTAGAATTATTATTAAAAAAAACCGAAGAACAAGAAAATAATAATAATGATGATGATTCATCATGTGCTCGTTGTAGAGTTTATCAAAGAAAAAAAGAAAATGATAGTCAATTATTAAAAAAAATTAAACATATTCATCAAATTCAGAATGAACATAATTATTCAACAACTTGTTTACATTATCCATCATCAGGTTTGAATTTCTTTATAAGAAAATTTAATTGTTTTTTTTTGTTTTATTTAGAATCTGAACATATTTTATCTTTATCAAAAATAGCTGATCGTATCGGTCATAATTCAAATTTAAATGTATCTAATCACACAAAAAAAAATCTTTCAACATCAACAATAAAGAAAAAACAACAATCTAAATTACAATCATCTATATCACTTATCGTTCCAGATTCAAATAAAACAAATAAAAGAACGTTAGAAGAATCTCGAAATATATCGAACAGTAATTTCATTTCGACCAATTATGATCTCACTAATAAACGACAGAAAAGAATAGGTATGTTTATAAGATCCATTGTTTTTCTTAGTTAGAGGTTACACAATTTGTCACTGATAGTATTTTATCATTTTGTTACATATTATGATGCTTCTCATGACAATAATCAGAACAGAATTTCTTTGCTGTCCCATCATTCTTTTCTCTTGATTTTTTTCGAAGTAGCGAATATTACACACAGATCGTTGCTTTTCTTTCGAACGATTTGTTGATTATTGGCTTAGACTAGGTTTTTAATTCTCGAATAGAATATTAAAAGTTTGTTCAAATGACACATGAGTTGTTCTAAGATTCCAATCACTTCCATATTTAAAAGGGCAGAGAGATAAGAACTAAGGAGAAAATGCTAGAAATGTCGTTGTCTTATCTTGCATATACCATCAATGACATATCAAAAAAATGAGAAATTAACGTGAGATATTCTTCACCTGATCGTCAAAAATAACTAATTATGTGATGAGACAAGGAAGAAAGTAGAAGATAATGAAAAGGTCAGTAAATATATTAATTAAAAGTTAACTCGATATTTTTAATAAAATAAGATCAAACTCTAAACTCATGACATTTAAGAGATAATGTTTAGTAAATCTGAAATATTATTTTTATCTGTTCTCTATTTTAGCTTCTCCACAATCCTCATTATCCGTATCGTCAACAAATACTCCTGTATCAACAACAAGTAGTTCATTTCCTCATGATATTTTAACACCTGGTTGGCGAGTTTTGACAAATACTGATTTTGAAATATCTTTAAATCAAGAAAAAAGTTCCGATCAACAAGAAATAGAAGATGTATCTGATGAAAGTTGTGGTCATCGTCATATGCGTTGTGAATTAGAACAAGAATCTTGGTTAACAAATTCTTCAACATCAAATAATATTTCATTAACATCAAATAGAAAAAGTGGAACACTTCAAACATCATTATCTGTACCAAATAGTTTGTCAACAACGAATCAAAAACAGTATAGATATCGTTTAACACCTAATGGAGTTGCCTATACAGAAACAATTGATACAAAATAAAAAAATATTGTCAAAAATTAATTAATCAATGGACATGAAATTTTCTTCTCCTTCTTGTATTTCTTCCTTCTTTTTTTTGTGTGATTTTCTAACATATGATGATTGTTGTTGTTGATATTGTTGTTGTTGTTCTTTTCTATTTGATTGTTCTTCGAGCATATAAGCTTGTGCTGTTGTGTAATCAACAGGTTTATCAACTGAATATGATAATTTAATTCCAAGCATTTCTTCAATCATAAATGGTTTAAGCCAACAAACAAGTGGAGAATAACCGGATTGATAACAACCTAATGGATGATAAAATAAATAACCATCTTCAGCTTCAATTAAATCTTGTTTATCTTCAATTTTTGTACGAGGTAGAACTTGAAATTGTTTATCTAACCTTGTATCATCATTTAATGATGTTAACATAAAAAATCGACATTGACATTCAATATCTGTAGAATAATCTTGTCCATTCCACATTATTAAATCAATTATATGATATATTGATGAACGTTTATCATAAATACAATATAAAATTGTTTGTTTAGGTAAATTTGTAAACATTGTCCACATTTGATTACCATATTTACTATATACATATGTACGATGTGATTGAACAACAACGATACAACGTTGACCACGTGGACATGAAACTATAAACCATGATGATAGATCATCGGGAGCTGAAAATAACCATTCAGCAAGCATCATACCGATCGGACAAGTAGAATATGCATTTTTACGATGTTGACGAGGTGGCCATTGTGGCTTATTTTCTTCGATTAATTCATTATCATTATCTTGAAAACGAATTTGAGATATTAATTGTTCTCTTTTATCTTTTTGTTTTTTTAAAACTTCTTGTCGTCGTTCAATTTGATTTTTAAGTGAAGATATAGAATTTGTTTTTAATTTGTACAAGGAAAGTGATGATAAATCAATAATTGAAGACATTGCCAACGCCATAACACGAACAATCTAAAAAGAATAAGATCTTTCGAAATGAATGCATTTCGAATATTAAATATTTTTTTCTTCCTCTCTCTTTCTCTTTTTTTTCCTTTCTGCATATGTCATTCTTTCGTAATACCGAAGCAATTTTTTCACCTCTATTTTTTTATCTGATAGAGAAAGAAAAAAAAATGATTATACACACACACACACACACGCGCACACATACAATTTACAAAAGACAATTACATGTATAAAAAAAAAAGGAATTGTCTTTTAAGTTTGTTGTTGTTTTTCAACAAGACGTTTTAATTGTCGATAATAATCATACAGTGGTTTCATAATACGTTTTTGTTCACTAGTCGTTGGTTTCGAATATTTATTTTCAAATCTTAATAATTCTTGTTGCATATCACATTTTTCATCATAGATTTGTTTTGGATTCATTTGTGAAAGATCATGTGGACGACCATGTCGTAAACGATGTTTACTCATACGTTCTTGTATATCACGTGCTTCTAATTCCAATGGACTTGTTTGTTGTTGAGGTGAATTCCATATATCTGACGATGGACTTGGAGCTGTTACGGGTCGTTTTGGATTTAATGATTGTACTAATGGTGATTGTTCATTCGATGATAAAGGAGTATTTGGTGTATTGGATGTTACAAGTGGAGTTTTTGTTGTTGCTGTACCTGGACGACGAGAAGAATTACTTATCCGACGATCAGTCGTAGATGATGAAGATATAGACTAAAATATATTTAAATTATGATTATATCTATTTATAATCAATTTTTAATTATAATGCATATAATTAAGATCTAATCAATTGTTCTATTCACTTACACTACCTTGAATAAGTCTTTTTATTGTATCAAAAAACTATAAAAGAGACTAGACACGCAACAATGATCATATTACTTTTTTTTATAGGCCAGAGCAATAGGTCATCGTCACCGTTAAATTTATAATTTCGATTTAATTAGACAAGATATAATAAAGAATGAATTTGAATAAAATATAAATTAAAAAAGAAAAGTCTATATGATTATCTTAACTACAGTCTAGCCACGAAGGTTTTTTTTTCATTGCTTCTCATTTATTATCTGTTTATTTGTTTTTATTATCAATAGAGTCTGATGACCTTCGTCACACGTTATATTAATAAAAGTGTAAAAGATGATTTTGTCTTTTAATGCATCATCACTCATAGTTCAATTGATTAATTAACCTCCGATTTTCGAGTACAAAGGTTTCGATAAAAAATATATACAGAGAAAAAAAAAGAAAGCGTCTAATTATAAGTAAAACTAAGAAATTGTTTTAATAAATAATCTTACATCTTTTGGACTATAAACAGGTTTTTTTGTTTTAATTGTAATTCCTGTATTATTAGTTGGCATAATTGTTGAAACAGGTTGTTGTTCAAGTAAAATATTTGAATTTAATGATGATAAATCAAGTGGAGGAACATTATTTGTTCGTTGATTATAAGTATTTGTATGTTTTGATGTTGATGATGTATGATAATGTTGAGATTGTTTTGGTGTCATTATCATTGATGCACCATTTGAATTTATATTTGTTGTTAAAAGTGTAAAAGCTTTTGGAAATGATTGTGAAAAACGATAATAATGATCTGATGGTGTTATACCACGAAATAAAAATCCATCAATTGCTAAATCAATACAATCACGTAGAAAATTATTTGTTGATATTGAACTTAATAATGAACTGTTAGAATCGTTAATCATTGACATTGTTTTATAGTGAATAAAATATTAACTAAGAATATTTTTAAAATATACAGGAAGAGAAAACAACGAATTGATCATTAGCAACCAATCCTATTTGATTTTAGAGGACATAAAAGATAATTTGAATAGTTCATAAAATTGACCAATCATTGAACGAATGTCAACCGTTAGAAAAATTTCGTTTCACTTTTTTTTTTGTTTTAATCAAAATGGCTTCAGCAACTAATATAAATCCTTTACTTGATTATTTGGAGGATGGAAAAGCATATGATCTAGAATTTGGTGATACATGGAATGATGGAAATTCATCGAAATATGCATATCATACTATTAAATGTAATAGAAAAATTAAATATTTCTCTTAATTTATTCGTTTTTTTTTTTTGAAAAATATTTTTAGATGATTTTAAACCAGCATCTGTTATTAAGTCTGAACAAGCAGAATTAAGTGTTGGTCTAACACAAGATGTTTCAATTACATTACCAAATGTTGAAGTAAGATTATCGAATAAAAAAAAACGAAGTTAATCATTCGAAAAGTATAGAAAAAACTCAATATGATACAGTTTTTGTAATTCTATCTAACGAAGGAACATATTTAGATTGTATCCTTTGACGGTATGCAGACTTAGATGATATGTGCGAACCTTGAAGTGAGTTCATTCTTTCGTACGATTTGTATGTTTGTTTTACCCGACACTTGAAGATATTTATAAAAAATTCTAATCACGCATTTTCAGCCTAGAATTTTACTCATAGATAGATGACATTGATATAAGAATGCATTCGAGTTACAACTTGTTAGATTTATTTACGCACAAAGTCTCACCTATGGAATAGATTATTCGAATTTTTTCCTAAATATTTTGCAGTACATCGAAAGTCAAGTAAAATGATCATAACAAAGGCAGAGATACAGAATCTTCCCAAAAATTAACCTCAAAATTTTCCCCACAATTTTTCGAAATTTTCCAGAAAAATGCAATTTTTCAAAAATCTGCCTCTCCGCGCAGGGCGCACGGGGGCGCGTCTCCACCTTTGTAATGCAAAGGTATGAAAGGATGAATTCGTTTCAATATTTACGTATGTCATCTAAGTCTAATTATCGTCAAAAGATGGAGTTTAAGTGAATTGAATATATTTCTTTATAAATTAAGAAATCTTAAGTACATGTTTAAAGTAAAAATGTTTTAGGGTTCATTAACTCAATCAACGAAATTTTCTGGTAATACAAAATCGTATACAGCAAAAGAATGTTTAATGGTAATTGATCCACAAACTGGAAAAATTGTTATCGAACGTTTATCAGCAAATGTTCGAGTCAAAAATGTTCGGTAAGAAAATATTTTGTAAGAAAAAAATAAGTAATTCTTTTTTCAATAGAATGGAAAATCGTCCTGGAAATCCACCAGTGAAAACTGCAATTCCACCACGTGCAACAGTTACTGAACCTCAAACAGAGAAAAAAGCATCTAAAACAGCAACAGCAACAACTAGTAAAGTAACAACACAAAAAGTAACTAATCCAAATAAACCAATACTCAATGCACCTGTTAAACCAATGCCAACAAAACGAACCACATCTCCTATGGATGATCGATTGAGTGATGAAGAATGTAAATTAATTTCTTTAAATAGATTCTTTTCGTTAATAAATATTTTTTTTATAGCTTCACCAGATCAAACAACAACAACAACAACTATTCCTACATTTACATCAAATCCTGCACCTGTACAAACAAATGTATTAGCTAGACGTACATCACATACAACACTAGGTTTAAATCAATTATTTATTTTAAAATTCTTTTTATTATTTGTTTTTTTTAGAGCAAGATCTTCAACTTAGTGATACAACGGATGAAGATGATTAAAATTATTTGATTTTTTTTTCTTCTTTTTTTTTGTTTAATTTATATTTATTTATTTATTTGTTTCTTTCTTTCTTCGTTATGTATTTCAGATATGACATCAACTAAGAAAATTGATCGAGCAATTTTATTTTCTCGTAAGTAAAAACTGGGTTTTTTTTAAAATAGTATTTGTTTATTTTAAATTTTTAATTAGAATGCGAATTTTTCATTGATTATCGATCAAGTCAAGATGGATGTGATCGTTCACTTCGTTTAGGAAATGAATTAGAAAATAAATATGGTGCAAAAATTGTTGAACAACCACAATCATCTTCAACTACACATATTATTTTTAAGAATGGAACTTTAGAAACGAAATTATTTGCACAAAAATATAATATACCATTAATTGAACCATTATGGTTAGAACATTGTATTAAAAAAAGACGTTTAATTGATTTAAAAAAATATCAAGTTATTAATGATGAAAATCAACCACCAACAGGTTATTTATTCTTAAAATTTTCTTTTAAATATAGAAATGAACTAAATATTGTAAAAGTTTAATATTAATTTTTTTTGTTCTTTAGAAGAACTTGCTCTTGATCAATTAGAAATTACAAATAAAAATATGCCTCTACCTTCAACACCTAAAAATAAAGTAAATCATATGTTTTTTTTTTGTTGAAAAAATTCTTTATCTATTTTTCTTATTAGATAAATCAATTACAAAATGACAATATTGTTGATTCAGGAAAAAAACCAAAAAAAATTCTTTATACACCAATTCGTGGTGAATTTGATCAAGGAAATCCCCATGAATATTTCGATCATCAAAAACGAATTATTACACTTGAAAATTTAGGAATGAATTTACCAGGTTAAATTATAAGATTTTTTTCCAAAAGAAAAATAATATTGAAATCAAACTTTTTTTAAGATGATAATCATATATTAATCCAACGTTATGGCTGTAGTGTTGCTCGTCGACAAATACAAGAAACTCCAATTCAACAATTAGATTTAAAAGGTTAATTTTATTCGAAAAACGCTTCTGGTTTTCTTTATAAATTTTATTCTTTAGATGAACAAATAAATATTCGAAAATATGAAGAATTACCAACAACAATGAGTTTTCCATATGAATCTCAATCAACACCTATTATTCATTTTGCTAATGTAAGAATTTTCATACGCTAAGAAATACGAGTATATCGAGATCTCTGGAATTAAATTCTAAAAGTAGAACAATTAAATCTAACAAAAATCGATCTGAGATAACTCTTTCCTAGACAAATAGATATGATTAACAAGTTGTTTTTTAGACAGTTCGTCGTCCCCGAAATTGTCCAATTGAAATTATTATTTCACCTTCAACAACCTTCGATTTCGACAGTCAAAAACAATATGCAGCTTTAGGTGATCGTCCTCAATCAACTCCAGTTTCATCACCTATATTACAACCAGCAGTACCATTAACTATTATTGATAATCATGAAGTACATGAAATTATTATTGAAAATAATCCTAAAGAAAGTCGATTTATTACACCATTAAAAACAATTGATTATTCATCATTTACTAAATTAACACCTCTATATTCAAGAAAATCCAAAGTTCGATTTGAAATATGTCATAGTGAAGATGATGAAAGAGAATTAATATTACCAAATATTCAAAATATATTAAATGAACTTCAATCATCTGTGAATTATGATCAAATTATTCCACGACCACCACCACTTCTTGCACTTTCACAAGCAATTCGAACTAGACATCCTGAACAATTAATAGAAACAAAAATTAATAACCATTTATCGTCCATTAAAGATTTACCTAATTCACCAGCTAATTATTCATTTGTTTTTTATCAATTTCAATTAACGTATATTAAAACAAGATTAGAATTTTATTTTATACTTTTTTATTTTTTTATATTATAGACAATTAGATGAAGTTAAACGATTAACGCGTCGTATGGGTGATTGTTTTTCTACTGACACAATTGATATGTCAACTACACATGTTATTCTGCCAGATGATGATCCTCAAATCTCATTAACACTTGATCTTTTTCTTGCGTTGATATATGGATGGTTAGTTTTTTTAATATATATTTAAAAATCCAACAATGTGTTACGATTATGAATAAGACTATCGTCATATCAGACAGTGTTTAATCCAGCGCCGCCCATCCTAAATTTTGAACCGTGTTGTATTTTAATCATGAGATTTATTTGTATAATTTTCTTTCTAGCCGTTTAGTAACATTCGAATGGATAAAATCTTCGTCACGTATTGGTGAATGGTTAAGTGTTAATAAATTTGAACCTAAACGTTTCTATCAAGAAAATCCATCATTAAATATATATCGTAAATGTCGACAACAACAAAAAGCAATTCATATATTTAATGAATGTGGAACGATGTATTTAACATCAATTGCTAAACAACGATCATTATTATTAAAATTAATTACTTTACTAGGTGGAAATGTAAGATTTTTTAATACATTATTTTTTATTTTCAAATTCATTTCTCTTCTATAGATCACAGTTAATCGTAATTTAGCTAAAATGGTTATCGGACGTTCATCAAAACCACTTCCAATTATTATTTATCCACAAGTTACTGAACAATGGGTTTTTGGTAATTTATTTTTATAAGTTTGTATCAATACTATCTTGTGTGTTTTTTTAGATTCAGTTAAATCAGGACAATGTCTTCCACCGGATGATTATCTTGTTGACAATACTAATGAATAATTATGTTATGATTATTTATAAAAAAAAGCAATGTTGTTTATGTCAGATATTTTTTGTTGTTTTTTTTTCTTTTGATACTCGAATTTGTCTATAGATTATTGTACAGATAAAATGAATAGAATTGTTAAATTTCAAGAAATAATTATTTACTTGTAAAATTTGTTTGTTAATAAATTAACGGAAAACGATTTATACGAAACCCATTAGAAAGAAAAGCTATTTAAAAGTTTTAAATAATGAATTTTTATAGAAGCTTCTCTTAAGTAGTTGTAGGATACAGTGGCAGCCAGCCATATTCGAGATATTATAACATTATTTATAGTGCTTTTTGCTGAGAAAAAGAAACAATCGCCAGGGAATGGTGATCGGTACTGGAAGGATAAATATATATTTAGATAAACACAATAAGTAGATGCCTCTAAACATGAGAAATATTAGCGTGGGAATAATTAAAATAAATGTAAGATCAGATATAGTTAAGGAGTTTTCATTTACATGATATTTTTAAATAGAAATACATCTCCTATGTGTATATTTCAGTAGTAGTGACTGTATCACTTTAATATTGTACAGTAGGAGGTGTAAGAAATATTTTTTTTTCTATATAATTTCATAAAGAAAACACTAGTCTATTTTTCTGTGATCATACATCACCTAATATCAAAATATACTGTAAAATGTCACGTGCAAAACACTATATCTTACCACGATGCAACTTGTGGTATACTTTAGATTATATTAATGGCTTGGGAATCACTATGAAAGACGTGTCTATCTTATATTATGATAGTCGTTGATGTGGTTAAATTATGTTCTAATAAAAAATCCTAATTTGTTACAATCAATACTTCTCGCGTTATATAGATTATATATGAGAATGGAGAGAGAAAAAGAAAACGAAAGGAAAGAAAAATAAAAATCATTCGTCATTGATGATATTTTAAAATAATGATTGATCTACGAAAAGATGAAAATAATCATTATGAATTTAAATCAAATTTTCAAATTCTTCTACAATTTCTCTGTTCAATTATTCAATTAATATGTATATTAACTATCTTATGTTTACAAATATTTTTAATCATAACAAATCGATGTTTCTTTCATATTGGTTATGGTTTTTGGTCAGTTCCATTTTTAATCATTGCACCAATTAGTGTTTGGATATTTCTTTGTAAACGAAATTTATTTTATTGTTGTTTAGTTATTATTATTCATATGTTTTCAAATTTATTTACAACTATAATATTAATTCTTAATATACTTATATATATTAAACAAATTGGAATATCTTGTTCAATATTAAATGATTATTCTGTGTCATTTAATATTTCAATAATTATTCTTTGTATTTTATTGAAAATATTTTTCTATGGAGAAATATTTTTAGTTTATATTGTTGGACATAAGAATCAAAAAATCTCAATTTTATTAAGAAAAAATTTTGAAATTATATTCGATAAACCAAATAGAAAAACATGGAAATTATTACAATTAGAATTTAATAGACTTAATTATACTGATGTATAAATAATATTATTTCATTAGAACCATATTAATCACATATATGTATATATTTATTATTTATTAATAAAAAAAATCAATTATTCGTTTTTTTTTTCAATTGTATATCAAGGTTAATAGAAAATTAAATACAATCGATATCAATGACAAAAAAGAAACTCATTATTAATAGATTGAATCTGTATATAAAACATAAAAGTGAGAAGTTCTATAATTCTACAAAATCAATAAAATGATTATTATTTTTAGATAATAGACTTCGAACAATATCGACATAATTATTCATTAGAAAAGTATAGATTAGAAGAAATATATATAACTTCATTTGCATTTTAATTGAAAATATAAGAATAGAACTTAAAAATTAATTGATTTCATGTTATTATTCCAATTGAAATAAATGAAAGAGTGAATCACTTCAAAGTTTTACTTAGATTGTATGACTAAATTCTATAATTTCTTTAGCCTCAAATTCATATATGTTATCAATTGGAGGGTGTGTGTGTTTATGCGCGCAGGAGATGATTACATTATCCGCATCCACCCACACCCTTGACGTATGCTTAATTTCAATTGTTCGATATTAAAAGAAGTAGAATTGTGAATATTTTATTTCTAAATGATTATATTAAATCGAAAAAGAAATATTCGAGTTTATTGAAATAATTCAAATAAAAATTAAGTCGAAAAATTAATAATAAATCGCGGGTTTAAATTTTTTTGTATCTTTGCATTGATCTTTGCATTTTTTCTATAAGAAAAAAATTATTTCAAAATTATAATTAAATAAGAGATTAACTTACAGCTAGAATTTTTATAGGTATTTTAGTACGAATTTGTTTAGTTACACATTCAATTTCACATGGATCTGCATATGCAAATTTTTTTACTTGACGTCGTAAACGCATAAGACTGTTATCATCATCATCTGAACTATCGATATCATCAGTATTTAATCCAGTAGATATCAATAAAATAATAAATAGAAAAGAAACTAAATATAATTGAAAAGATATATATATATATTAAATTATAATCAGTTGAACATACTGAATTGATTAATGATCATTTTTTAATATTAGAACAGATAATAGATTAGAATAGTATAAGAATGAAATTAGCGCTATTTTTGTTTTTAATTATACATTCAATTATTTTTTTTCTAAAACAAAACAATCTTTTAAATATGAATAAAAATGATGAATCTCAGGAAGATTTAATTATTCTTGTTAGTGGTATGTTCGCTTTCATTTCATGTATAATGTCAATTTTAGCAATAACAACATCAGGATGGCAAATTGATAATTATCATAATCGAACAGGTTTATTTCAAACATGTTATAAAGATAATTGTACAGATATAAGTGCTAAACATGATATATCAATTATATTTGCTATTCTTGGTCAATGTTTTATTATATTTGGTATAATTGGTTCATTTATAAATGCATTTATATCTCGATATCGTCTAAGTTATCTTCTTGTAACTTGTTTTTTCTTTCTTACTTCTTTATTTTTTTGGTTAACAATTTTAACAATTAATTTCTATTTATTTCTGAATGGTGGTAGTGCAATTATTTTTAATGCAGCTATAGCTTTTTCATTATTTGCTACATTTACAGCATCTTATGCATCAGGTACATTTTTTTCAGTATATAATTATTCGATTCATTCAAGAACATCTAATAAATACAATCAAATGATGATGCCAATAGACTTATATCAGTATACATCAAAAACTTGATAAATTCAAAATATTTTCTCTTGTTAAGAATAAAGAAAAAGATAATAATTATGATAGAAAAATTATATTTTTAATAAAGAAATCGATGAAAAAATTTCTAGTTTCATTGAAAAAAATAATATAAATAGAAATTATTGCTAATAATTATAGAAAAGCTCACTGGTACATTTCAACAAAGAAAAATATATATAAATATAGAATAGATTATTGATCAAGCTGTTGATGTTATTGCTTGTCTAATACGACTTCCATTTCAGTAAGATTCATCTTTTTTAAGAAGAATTGTTTTGACTTTAACTAAAAAGAAAAAAAGAAAAAGAATTAGATATTTATACTTGTTGAAATTGATAAAGAAAAAACTAAGTAAAGTCATTCTATCTATGATTCTGGTAAATTTCTCTTCGTCTGAAAAGAACTTACGGCGGCGGTAATGCTCGCTATGAGAAAGGCACAGAATGAAAATGCAGCAACAAGAAATAGAAGAAGATTCGAACCTTGTTCAAGAGCTGGTTTGACGGTTTCATAGTCCTTGACAAGGAGATCTTTGTGTGGTACTTCACGGA